TTTTTTAAAAAAATGATTTATCCGATGAATTTTTATAAATGAAATTTATCTGATGGAAAAAAAAAAAAATGATGAATATAATATTTAAATTTTTGTAAGCAAATATTTGCAGGAAAGAAATATTTTTAGATTTTTGTTAATTGTTTTAAATTTATTAAGTTTTTAATATAAAGTATTTTTCATAATCAATATGACATTTTATTAAAAAATTGAGTGACAAATTTTTGGTCACATTAGAAAGTTGATGAAAAGTAAAAGATTTTATTTTAGAGAATATTAAAAAAGTTAGAATTGAGAAAATTTGATTAAATTAATGAAAAGATTGGATTACAAAAGAAATTAAAAAATTTTATTTTTGATAATTGTATGATTTTGAATTGTTTAGCAATTGATAAAATAAAAAACAATAGTGATAAACAATAAGAATAGTTAGATTTGCTCTTTTAATCTTAGATTTTGAAGAATTTTTTCTTTCTTTTTTTTTTTTTACTTTTAAATAAGAAATTGATGGATTTAGCTTAAATAAAATTGAAAAGCTAAGAAACTGAAAAAAGAAATGCAAAATTAAGTTTTAAATTTGTGTTAACCGTTCTTAGTATAATCTGATAAGGAAATATCTATTGATAATTAAGCCTAATTTAATATTAATTAATAAATAATAATAATAAGTATGCTCTTTGAAATTGCTACCTTTCTTTTTTCTAAAAAACAAGAAAACAAAAGCAAAAAAAAAAAGATAATAAAAAATGCTTTTATTTTAATCAACAAATAGTTGCACCAAATAATTATCAGAACTAATTATAATAATTAAGAAAAAAAAGTGCTTCAATTTTAATGATAATGAAATTTTGTGTATTTGATCGTAGTTATTTAACAGCTATTTCCGAAATAGCTTGATAAAAAAGCAACTTTTCCGGAAGCAATCCTAAATTGAGAGAAAGTAATCACAGATTTAGGTTTGAATTGATCAGGAATAATTGCTTTTTTTATCACTTTTTCTTGCTAAAATCGTTTGTTCTGATAAATATTTGATAATTAATCCTATACTCACTCATAGTTCTGATAAATATTTGATTATCAATCCTATACTCATAGTTCTGATAAATATTTGATAATCAGTCCTATACTCATACCTCTGATAAATATTTGGTAATCAGTCCTATACTCATACTTCTGATAAATATTTGATAATCAATCCTATACTGATAACGAAGTGATTATTCCTGATATAACTTAGCTAATTTAGCTAGGATACTTCAGAAAATATATTTTAAATTTCTAATGCAGTCTGAAGATGAAGAAGTTATTCCGAATGTAAGCTAAGAAGAAAGTATTTTACTCTTGATTGAATTTAATGATAAATTAATCAATTAGTAGAGACGGTGAAAACAGTTTAAAAATAAACAAAAACAAAAAGCAAAAGAAAAAAATGGAATGGATGAAATGAATGATGATAAGATCTGAAATAATAGTGATAACTGATTAAATCATGATATCAACAACATTTTAGATAAGAGATAAATCTCTCTCTTCTCTTTTGCTTGTGCGGGTTTTTTCAAAGCTAACTTTTCCAAATAATTAATGCAACCATTACCACCTCTGATTATCACTCTACTGTCATCTTCAATGCTTTCTCTTAGCTTAGCTTAGCTTCGATTAAAAAATAATTGAAAATTAAAACAAAACATTCTATCATATATCATTCAATTTAGTTCATATTTTTGTCGTTTTTTTTTTCAAATTTTCCTTTAAAATCACATTGCTTTTTCAGTTTTTTTTTTTTTTTTTTTCTGCACTTTTTAAAAATTATTTGTTGCAAAATTAATTTACCCGAATAATTTAAAATATTTGGTAAATTAAAATTGAAATTGAATTCTCAAAATGTCGTTAAACTGTGATAGTAATGGAATTAATTTGTTTGAAATTCCATTAATTATTACTCATTCAATTCTAATGCAAAATGTAACAAAAATTTTCAATCATAAGAAGAATATTTTTATTTTCCTGAACTGAAAAAAAAAAATTGTTATAAAATTATTTGTTTATTAAGCATTAAAGATCAATGTGATAAGCAGTTGCTAAACAAAAAAATTATAATAAAAACTTTTAGCTAATTTCTTCAAAACATTTAAACTTGTAAATGATAAATTGTTGTTATTTCAATTTCAATTCAACAACAAATTCAAATTAATTTTCGTTTATGTTTTACGTAAGTTACAAGAAAAAAAAAAAAGAAATTAACGTGATATGTTATAATTTGAATTAAAATTATAAAAAGTGATAAGCGTAGATCACGTTTCAAACTTATTTTCACGTATGGTAGAAGGTAGATTGAAGAAATAAATGTTATTATAGGTTGTTGATAGACAATTACCGCCAATTGATTCAATGTGACAATTGCAAAGCGATAATTATGATTACACATGAAAGGAAGCAGATGGTGGAGTGACAATAACATTTATGAAAAATAATAAATAATAATTTTTGATGATTGAATGCTTTCAGGTTTTATTCTAAGATTTCCGATTAAAATCTCACCTGATAAGTGGTTTTATGATAGGAATAAATAAGCTGAAAATTTGATTAAATTATCAGTTATCAATTAAAAGTTATCATTTTATCAATAAAAATATTATGGAATTTAATTTCAAAAATTTTCTTTTTTATTTTTGACACTTTTTTAATTTTTTGATAACAAAATGGAAATGATTTTTAGAATTATTTTGAAAAAATGATAGAATATTTTGTTATTAAGATTAGACAGTGATTGTTGAATTTGATAATTTGAAATGAATTTAGTGAAAATAATATAAATTACAAATAAAAAAGATAGATTTGAAAGAGAGAGAGAGAGAGAGAGAGAGAGAGAAAATAAAAAGATTAAGCGCAAAATGTAAGCAAAAATCACATGACAATGACAAGAAGCGGTGATTGACGAAGTGTCAAGCAAGATAAAATAATGATAATACATACACATAAAATTGAAATTTATAGGATTTGATGAAAATACAATGTTCAAAATGATTGATTAAAATTTTATGAAAAAAAATTTTATTTAAATCTAGCTTGATAATGAAATTTATTTAATAAATATTTTTTATTTTAAACAATTTTTATTTTTTAATCTTAGAAATGATAAATGTAATATAATAAAAAGTATTTATCTCTTCTCATCTGCCACCCTTTTTTTTTTTTTTTTTTTCAATTAAATTTATAGAAAAGAAAAGTAAAATAATTAGTTAATTGAATGTTTTAATAATTTAAACACAAAAAAAACAAAATGTATTTGACATACATTTGATAAGCTAACATTTACCATTAAATGTTTAAAAAAAATTTCCGATACAAAATTTACCTCTCATTGTCATCAATGAAATCAAAAAAAATCAACGAAATTTTCCAATATTAATTTTAAATTTATTTTTTTTTTTTAAATTTTTTTGATTTAAGAGAAAAAATTGCTATTTTCATGTTTAAAATCAATTTTAATTACATCTAAAGTTTCTAAATCTTCATTTCTTACTTTTCTTTCATTTTTTTCATGCATAATTAAAATGAATTAAAATCTAACTTTAAATTCAAATTCAAAAAGCATAAAAAATTCAAATAAAATGATAATTTTTGATAGTTTTTGGAATATTTATCGTTTAGCAAAACAAAAAAAAAAAAAAAAAAATTTTTTTTTCATTTTTCTGATTTTCTCACAATTGAATAATGCCATTTCCGCTTGAATATTTTCCATTTCTTTCATATTTAACAGTTGCAAATAAAAAAGAAAAGAGAGAAAAATCGATGTATAAAAACTTTTTTTTTTTCATTTCTTTTCTTCTCGAATGAATACCAAATAAGATTTCATTTCATTTCAATTCATTTCATTTCATTTCATTTCCATTTCATTTCACTTCCATTTCCATTTCATTTCATTTCAGTTCATTTCATATTCATTTTATTTCCATTTCATTTCATTTCATTTCATTTCAATTAATTTCATTTCAATTCATTTTATTTCCATTTCATTTCATTTCATTTCATTTCAATTCATTTCCATTTCATTTTACTTCCATTTCCATTTCATTTCATTTCAGTTCATTTCAATTCATTTCCATTTCATTTTACTTCCATTTCCATTTCATTTCATTTCAGTTCATTTCAATTCATTTCCATTTCATTTGATTTCATTTTAGTTCATTTCAATTCATTTCATTTCACTTCCATTTCCATTTCATTTCATTTCAGTTCATTTCATTTTATTTCCGTTTCGTCTCATTTCAATTCAATTCATTTTCATTTCATTTCATTTTATTTTAATTCAATTCATTTCCATTTTATTTCATTTCAAAAAAGAAAAGAAAAGAATGCAAAAGGAAAGAAAATGTAAATATAAGAACAAATTGAAACGTTTGTTTATTTCAAAATATATATGAAAGAAAAGAAAAGCAAAAAGCAAAAAAAAAAAAAAAAAAGAAAAACGGAATCGTTTCATTCTAAAATTAGATTTTTCAAAACGAAATAACAAAAAGCATTGAAAAAGAGTGAAAATGACGAGAAAATACATTCAAAATATTTCAATGTTTCCTTCTCTTTCTTCTTTTTTCTTTAAAAAAGATAAAAATTTTAAGCAAATTTTTATTGAAACATAAGAAAATTGAGCAAACTGATAGCTTTATTATGTGATAGAATGATTGCATTCAGTGATTAATTAGTTTAACAGAATTAATTAATTAATTTTTTTATTCTTCTAAAATTTTAAATTAAAAAATAGAATTGAAATAGATATTTTAGTGACTAAAATTATGATAAAAACAAATAGTTATTATAAAAATTATGCTCATTTAGCTTTGTTTTTAAATTTCAATTTTAATATATTATATTGATTAACATTATGATCAGTCAAATTCATGTTATTATCATTATCATATGATTGCTATCAGTGATATATCATTGATAATTGCTTTTATTATCATTAACTCTTGCCTCATATTATACAATTTTAAATTTTATCAATTTTTTTCGATAATATCATAAATAGCATTGTGTAAACGAATGTAAGTACGACATTGATTATAAACTCCAACTTTGATAGCATTTGTGACATAAGCAATTGTTAGATTATTCCGCCTGTCGTGAATAACTTGTTGACATCCAAAGGCTGAATGACCATATGCATGTGACACCTGCAAATGAGTTAGATGAGGACAAAGGTCAGATGATTAAGCTAAGTAATTGAATGCTTTATTATATCTATGATGTGATAATATGTAATCAAAATTTCAATTTTTATAACTTGTAAATGATTACTGAAAGTGCTACCTTATAATTTTTTAGTAGCGAAATTAATAAAATTTTTAATTGGTCACGTTTTCAATTTATTATTTCAATTAGATTTAAAATTTTGATAAATATCCGATTTAGACGATTACCGCCAGTTTACGGTATATATTTTTTCTTATAGACTTTGCATTAGTTGTTAATTTTCAAATTAAAATAAATAAAAAATTTGAGAATCAATTTTAAAATTAAAATTTTGAAATTCAAATGTAAAAAAAAAAAAAAAAAAAGAAACCTGTGATTGATCAATAAAAACTAAAAGACCAATATTTTTTGCTAAATGTTTTATTGTACATATATCAGTACTATTGATGGAAATTTGTTCCAAAAGAAATTGATTAGCAGGTGATAATAGTTTATCTGTTGATAACTGTAAAATATTATCAAATATTCGGTGAGATAAAAAGCGTTTAAAATTAGATCAAAGATTTTTTAAAAATAATTTCTAAATTTTAGATCAATTTTTTAATCATTTTTTTTTTTTTGAATTTTGTTCATTTCAATTATAATTATATTTTAAAAAATGAAAATGTAAAAAATATATTTTAAAAATAAATGTAAAAATTATATTTTAAAAATGTAAATGTAAAAAAATAACAATAAATTTTTTTGAATAATTGATATAATTTTAAATTATTTATTATTAAATGAAATTTGTAATAATTGATTAAATTTACTTATAGTATATAAAATATATAAATAAAATAAAATTATTTAACCATATGAAATAATTGTGCTAAACTTCTTGCATTACCAAATCCATGGTATAATAAATGATGAAAATTTGGATTGTTAATTTGTAATGGTATAATTGGATTTAACCATTTTAAATTATTCATTACTTTATACATTATCGAATCCTGCAAATTCTCTATAAAATATTAATTAAATTAAATTAAATTAAATTCCAAAAAAAAAAAAAAATCTTATTTTGTACGAAATTAAAAAAAAAATTTCATGATAAAAATGAATTAATTTAGAAAATAAATTTTTATTACAATATTATTAAAAAAAAAAAAAATTATATTCAAAAATTGAATTTTGATAATTTTATATTACTTAGAATTAAATTTCAATGAAATATATACTTATACTTCAATGAAATATACTTATACTTATACCTTATGTGTGAAAAATTGAAATAACAAATTTGACATTAAATGCGGGGTCTGATAGATTTCACTAAAAATATCAAACCAAGATGGCATTGCTATTCTGGCCAAGCGATATTCTTCTGTTTTCATTAAACCAATCGAATAATCAATTCCTGAAATTGAAAATTTTTCTTTAAAGAAAAATGTCTAATAATTGAAATTAAAATCAGAATTAAAATTAATTTTATTAGATACCAAATTTAGATGCTATTTCATCATGAAAATATTGCTGTACACCTCGTTTCTGCTTATCAATATGTCGAATAAGCTGATCAATAAGCCAATAGAATAATGATCCGTAACAACCGGATTTTTCTTCCGGTAGCCATTTTGGTTGTTCATTCTCGAAGATTTTTCTTTTTTTTTTAAAAAAAAAAGAAAGAATTTAACGATTCATTTTAAAATATTCATTTTTGTTTCATTTAATAGAGAAAAGAAAAAGAAAGATCTGATTTATTTGGTTAATTTTTGATTTTGAAAAATTTTAAATTAAATTTATTAATTTAAAATTTTAATAGAATAATTTAAAAATGACATACCTCATTGCTTCATGATCAGTGGCATTCTTCAAAGTAAGCGGTTTATTCAAATATTTCAAATTCATCTAAGTTAAGTTTTCATTTTTTTTTTTTTGTTTTTGTATTAGTAATACTTTTTTTTTATTATTATTATAAAATAAAAAAAAGTAATTCTCATTCAAATTTTTGAAAAAAGAAAATATTGAATTAAATTTATATCAAAATAACATACCTTATCAGTTAATAACATTTTTATAGTAATATTAGCTTTATTATTATCACCAAAATTTGGCCAATATTTGATAATTAAATCATCATAATTAGCTAATTTTCTTTCCACAAGCAATGCAATACATAATGCCATAACATTTTTTAAACATGAAAATGTTGATGTGATTGTATCCTAATAATTATTAAATTTTAAATTAAATAATTGATAATTGATAAGATATATATATACATTATACATCAAACATTACATATTATTGTTTAATCAGTCTAAAAAATTTTTGTTTTATTTTGATTAAATTTAAATTTTATCAGTTAGCAGTATCACATCGAAAAATTTATTTCATTTAATCAATTATTACTTATAAAATTTAAAAATTTGAAATTTTTTTTTTTTTTTTGAGATATAATTCTTACCATTTGCCATTTTCTTGCTGCTTGTACATCTGCATATCCACCCCAAATATCGAGAATTTTTTGATTTTTATGATAAACAGTTAATGCTGCACCACCACGTTCCCAACCATTTAAAAAATTTTTCCTAATTAAATTATTAAAATTATTTAACAATCATTTTAATCAATAAATTATTGAATAAAATTTTTCTGATAACATTTAAAGTTTTTAAAATTTTGTATCAAAATTTAAAAAAAAAAAAAAAAAAAAAAAAAAAAAGAAAAATAACCTGAAAATGTTTGAAACTAATTGAAATCGATCATCAATTACATTGTAATCAAAATGTAATGATAATTTTGTATATAAATTATCATTGATATAGTTAGAAATAGCATAAATGATAATAGTGATAGTGATAATATGAATTTTTCTTGTGATAAGCATTTTGATAATTTAAAAATTTCAAAAAAAAAACGATAGAAAATGATATGAAATGTTATTACATTCACTATGCACAAATATAATCAAACAAATTCATTTCATTTGTTTAATTTGTTATCAAATTTTGTGATAACCAACAAATTTCTTTTGCTTTCCTTTTTTTTTTTTTGCTTCTAACATTAAAATTTCTCTATGCATTAGCTTACTGAGAAATATTTGTGATAATATGTTAAAAATTTAAATGAAATACTTAAATCTCGACTAATCTCGAGAAGAAATTAGTAGTAAGTAAAAATGTATAACTCTAAGTAAGTTAAAGTTGAATTTAAATGATAAAGCTAATACTTACTTTATGAATAAAGCATGCAAGCAATGATTGGAAAAGGTGAAATTGTGATAATAAATGCTCATTTAAAATTATCAAAATTATCATTTGAAAAAATTAAGTAATCTTTGATTTTTTAATGAATAATTTTTGTGTGATAAAAAAAGAAAGCAAATAAATTAGTAATTATGAATTAATAAAATTATTTTTTCTCTTTTTTTTAAGTTTTATTTTTTCTATGTATAAAAATTAAATGAAAATGTGGACAAATTATAAATTTATCATACTTATTATACTAAAAAACATAATCAAATAACTTATAATTTAAAAAATTTATCAAAGATATAAAAAAATTAACTTAAATTAAAACAATTAATTAGAAAATCAGTAAGATAGTCTTCAAGTTGCTTAAGTTAGTTTAAAAAAATAAAACAAAACATATAGCAAAAAATATAAAACGTTATCTATAATACTGTAATAGTTATTAAATCAAACAAAACTTAATAAAAGATAAGTAATTAAATACTCTAATAGTTATTAAATCAAACAAAACTTAATAAAAGATAAGTAATTAAGTACTCTAATAGTTATTAAATCAAACAAAACTTAGTAAAAGATAAGTAATTAAGTACTCTAATAGTTATTAAATCAAACAAAACTTAATAAAAGATAAGTAATTAAGTACTCTAATAGTTATTAAATCAAACAAAACTTAATAAAAGATAAGTAATTAAGTACTCTAATAGTTATTAAATCAAACAAAACTTAATAAAAGATAAGTAATTAAGTACTCTAATAGTTATTAAATCAAACAAAACTTAATAAAAGATAAGTAATTAAGTACTCTAATAGTTATTAAATCAAACAAAACTTAATAAAAGATAAGTAATTAAGTACTCTAATAGTTATTAAATCAAACAAAACTTAATAAAAGATAAGTAATTAAGTACTCTAATAGTTATTAAATCAAACAAAACTTAATGAAAGATAAGTAATTAAGTACTCTAATAGTTAAATCAAACAAAACTTAAAAGAGATAAGTAATTAATTAAGTTATTGTCAATGAAAGATTTTAAATTAGCATATTAAAAATGATAGTTAGCTAATTTTTAATAGTTTCTTTTTTTAAAAGATTTATAATTAATGATCAAATAAAACTAATTAAATAGAAAATTTTGTTTTTTAATTTATTCATTTCATTCATTAATTTCTCGATTATATTGATATTACTCAGATGTAAATTTATTTTGATTCATTGGATTTCTTTTTTAAAGTTGACATTGAGAGAGTTGATAATATAATTTTCAATAAATGATTTCAATTAATTTAAAAAAAAAAAAAAATTTCAATTTAATTGCTTGGTAATCATGATTTCAATAGTTGAAATTAAAAATAATTTTATGTCAAATTTTGATTTAAATAATGAATTTGTCATAGATTTTGCCAACTTTATGTGTCACTTTTTTCTTAAATATTGCTCTATTGTCAACGCAATTAGCAAATAAATTTTAAATAAATATTAAAATGATTGAATTATTAGTTTTAGATTATTTAATTTTATTAATATAAAATTATTTTAAAATATTATCGTTTATCTTTCAATTATTGAAAATTTCGTTTTCTTTCAATTGCAACGAATAATTTAAAAAAATAAAATAATTATATTTTATATTTTAATTACACTATATTCATTTTCAATTTTGAAATGAAAATTTAAATTTTAGATATATGCAAAATGAATTAATGAGATTATAATAACAGATTACATTATTGTTATTTATTAAATTTCCGATCAAAAAATATAAATTTTATTTGTTAGACACCGATTAAGTGTTAATTTTAATATTAATTTAACTTTTTTCTAATTAACAGACTTTAATTTTATTAATATAAAATTACTTCAACTTATCAAAAATTTATTTATTTATAAATTTAATATTCTATGGCAAGAATTTTCTTATTTTACATTTATGAAAGATTATTTGATCATATTTCAATGATCGATCGATTTACGGAAAGAATAAGGTAAGTTTAAAGAAATAAAATTTTAAAAAAATGAATTTAAAAAAATCAATAACTTAATCATACCTTCTAGAAAGTTCTGATTTGATAAATGAATAAAATTAAAATAATCTCACAAATACACAAATAACTTTGTCGAGAATCATTTTTATCAGATGTAAATCTTATTTTTCACTTATAATCCACAAGTGAAAAAAAAATAAATAAATAAATTTACACTATGAGAAATTTTCAATTACTTTTTCAAAATTTTATTTTATAAAATATTATGTGATAATAATTTTGAAATTAAATTAGAATACAAATTCATTTAAATCGTTTATGAAATTTAGCCATTTAATAGAAAGAAATAATTATCAAATTTAAAATTTTTTAAATTATCAAAACTTATCGTTAGCTATGTGATAATAACTGATAAAGGTATTTCATCGATTGATCAAACAATTCAATTGATTTGCATATAAAAAAATAAATTTTGTATGGAATTAAATTACTTTAAAAAAAAAAAAATTAAATTACTTTAAAATTTTTTTTGTAATAACTTTGTGACTTATTTGCATATATTTACTTTAGAATTTTACAAGTTATTGTTGTAATATAGTAAGTAAATTAAATTTAAATTTATATTTTCTATTAATTACCAAAATAAAATATTATTGTTATTTTTAATTAAAACGAATGAAATTTAAAATTAATTTTAGAGTAAAATTGAAATAATATTTTTTACTGTAAATGTTTACTCATTTATTAACATTCATTTATTTATATAATAAAATTTACAACAAAATAAAATATTACAAAAATTGTAATTACAATCATATATGGCAGCGATAATGATAAAGTGATAACAGAATGATAAAGAAGCAAATGATAAGAGCCAATCATAAAAAAGTGAATATGAGAGAAATAATTTGATTTATAATAATAACTATTTTTGATCATTGTATCTTATTTGATAGTTTGATCTGATATACTTCAAATGTAAATGAATAGTGATAACTGCGAATGATTAGTTTGATAATAGATGGTTAATTGGTGATTAATTTGATAAAGAATTATTTTGATTTCTGAGTATTATTTCAAAAAAAAATAATAATAATAATAAAATTTAGTTTTAATAATATTAGACGAAATGTTTCATTGATTTTTTTTCAATTTTTTTTTCTAAAATTATATAATTAATCAATCAATATTTTTTCGTCATTTCAACTAATAAATTTTATAAATTACTCTAATCATAATATCATATCATGAAAATGATTTATTTTAATCTCTCTTCTAAATTTACTTTTAATGATAATATTCAACTATAAATGGAATTATTAAAAGGTTAAAGTTCAAATTTTGTTAAAAGTATGTGACACAGATGACATTTTATTTATATAATTGAATATTCTTTTAAATTTCATTTCTATAATTCTAATTTATCATTAATTAAATTGTTTTTTTTTCTTTTTTTTTTTTTCAAAGGAATTTAAAAATTTTTTCATCACAAAGAATACAAAAGATTTATGAAAGACTAGAAAGGCAGTGCTTTAAAAGAGACAGAGAGAGAGAGAGAGAGAGAAAGAGGAGAGAGAGAAAAGAAGAGAGTTAATTATTTTAAGAAAAATGAATGAATAATTTATAGCATCCTGAAATGACGCCGTATTTTACGTAATTTAAGCAAACGTCGACGTTTTTTAAATCCTTTACCCCATGCACCAATAACAAATGATTCAATTTCACAATGATTTTCACCACGTAAAATACGAAATGTACCATTTTCACCCCAATTTAAACCCCATGAATTAGCAGCAATCCAATATTTGATCGGAATTCCGGTCGAATGATCTTCACCCCATCTGAAAATTTACCCATCTTTTTTTAATTGATAAATTATTAAATTTAATATTTATTTATTAATTTTTTTTTTAGTTATCAATTTTTCCTATCACTGATAAAAAATTAACAATATTCAGAAAAAAAAAAAGAAAAATATTCAAAATGGTATATGTAATTTATCATTTTATTGTATCGTTAAAAAAAAAAAACTTTAATTTTTAATTAAAATTTAGAAAGTTTAAAATAGCTTAATGATAATTTGATTTACTGATAATTTATTTGTTACAAATTACATGATTAAAATCAATTTTTGTGAAAAATTTAATGCTAAAATGAAAAGAAAAAAAAAAATTTATACCCAAGAAGTCGTACTGAATGATAACCTTCGACCTTTTCTTCAACTGCTGGTAAATGCTTGTAAACTCCACCACTGAAACATTTAAATATTACTTTTGCATAGCACTAATTAATTATTAGCTTCTCTAATTACTAACTTAATAGTTAGTGAAACATTTAAAAAAAATAAATTACAAATTTTTGTGATAAATTTATAATATTCAAAAGATTATATTCGAGATATTATAAATATAATAAAGCAATTCATCGAAATAATTTTTAATTTATTTCTCATTATCAAATCATAAATATTTTATTTACTAATTGTAATATTTTTTTAATTTTTTTTTTTTTTAAATATTTTATTTTCCATTCAAATAGTAAAAAAAAAAAAAAAAAAAAAAAATCCAATTCATCAGAGTATTATCAATTTCATTTCAATAAATTGAAAAAAATAAATAAATCATTTACCTATACATGAAGAAATCGCCATGAACAAGAAAAGTTGCTTGAACTGGTCCATTTGTTAAAATTTCCGACATAATATCTTTCTCTTTGCTTGAAACTCTATAAATTATAAATAATTGTTTAAAAAAAAAAAAAAAACTTAAAATAGAAATTTAAACTATTAAATTTTAAATGATTATTTTAAAAAAATTTTTTGAACTATTAAATTTCAAAATTAATTTTTTTTTAGAAATTTTCCATAGAAGAGAAAAAAGAAAATTATAAATTTAATTCAATTCTACTTTTTCATTTTCAATTTAATATTCTACCTGTACGATGGCGTAGTACGGTACACACGTGAATTAGCGTGTCCACTTGGGCATTCACGTCCCTCAGTATGTCTCGACTTTTGCATTTCACATATTTCAGGCTTTTTTGTAATTCCACTCACATATGGATAGCATTCTTCGCTTACTACTCTATAAATCATTTAGCATTTCTTTCTTTTTTTCTCTCTCCCTCCCTCCCTCTCTCTCTCTCTCTCTCTCTAAGCAAATCATTTATCCAAAAACAAACCCAAATTTTCGAATGTACCACCATGCTCGATCTAGATAACCACCTTCACAACCCTTCTGTCGATGTTGATTACAGGAGAGAATTTGTTGAGCTGAAAGTGAAACATTCTGTCGACCGTCTGTTATGAGCGCTAAACGATCAGCTGATGTTGCCGCGGTCGATTGCGCCCATGAGCTATAAGACAAAATGAAATATTAAATGATTGAAATTTAAACAAAGAAAATTTGAACAAAAAAAAAAAAAAAAAAAAAGTTAAATATTCGAATCGCATATTTGCATTTTTAATTTTTGCTTTTGTCTTTTTTTTTTGATTTTTTGTTCTTTACATAGATTTTTTGGTAGTTAAATTTGAAAAAAAAAATCAAATAAATTTAAATTGAAATAATAGAATTTTTGGCAGTTTAAGTTTGAGAAAAATGAATGTAAGTTTAAATTGAAATAATAAAATCTTTAATGGTTAAACTTGAAAAATTAAACGATAAATTTAAATTGAAATAATAAAGTGTTTGATGATTAAACTTGAAAAAAATAAACAATAAGTTTAAATTGAAATAATTTTAGTATTAAAATACCTAGCACATTCACCCTGATCCTGAATTGGATGTATAAAATTAGGCCATTTCTGACGAGCATCAAAACTTGTTGGTAATTCGCGTGGTTTAACAATCATTTCATTCATACTCTATCAATAATAACCTTTTAATTACTTAAAACTTTTAACAAATAAATTCTTGAATCCTAAAAAAAAAAAAAAAAATAAAATAAAATATCAATGCTAGAAGAAAATTATAATAAAAATTTAAAGTCATACTGGAAATGGAAATGAGAAATGATGATAAAACATAGAATAAACAATAATAAGATAATAAAATTAAACTTGATTTAAAAATACAATATGTTAATTAACAAGTGTTTAATGATTAAGTAATACTTGAACACTTTGTTCCGGAAAAAGTGTACCAAGACGATGGCGTATTCCGTCTCTCAATGTACGTCCCCAAAATTCCGAATAATTTCTTGCTGTCCATCTGAAATGACAAAAAAAAAAAAAAAATCCTTTTTCTTAATAACAAATTTAACATTTCACATAATTTTAGGTAATAAATTAGCAGTAAAAGTTAATGAAATATCTTTTTTCTCGAATATATCTATTACTGATTGAAAATTATATTATTGTTTAATTCTGTAATTTTTCAAAATAAATTTTTTAAAAAAAGAAAGAATAAAAAGTTTTTTTTTTTCTTTTCTTTAATAAAATTTATTGTGATTTACTTACTATTAAATGAATTATTTGTGAATTATTTCATTTTTTTTTTTTTTTTTTTATAAAATATCAATAAGCAAAAGTTTCAAAAATCAAAAATCAAATTTAAACTTTAATTTGCTGTTAAACAAAATTGGAATATTTCCAGCCAGAATCTAACTTTAAACTTAAATACTTTGAATCATAAAATGCTGCAAGTTAATTGTAAAAAAGAAAAGTATTTAAAATTAAGCATAAATGACTCGTTTTTTATCAGTAATTATCAATGACTGGGTCAAAGGTTAAGTAAAAATTAGCTTAATTTTTCTGCTTTTGCTTCAAAATCTCAATTGATACTTCAATATATTCAAATTTATAATCTAATTAATTATGAGAAACTTTTTTGACTATAATGCAAAAAAAAAAAAAAGATTAGTACAAAATTTTAGCATTTTGGGTTTCGATTAGCAAAAAATTAGCTAAAATTTTTTTTTTAAAAAAAAAAAAAAAGCAAAAAATTCATTACAATCTTTTATTGCATAATGTAATCATTAGCATAACTAAGCTTTTTTTTTTTTTTTTTTTTTTTTTTTTTAAAATGATACAATGGAATTTTACTAATATGTTTCTCTCATTTTGAATTTTAATTTTTTTTTTTTTTGAAACTTTGAATTTCTCATTTTGAATTACAATTAGTAAATGATTTTTTGAATTTTAAATGGTAAACGACTAACGTATATCGTCCATTTTGAATTTTTAGCAGTAAATTTTCATCAATCAAACATGGCTCATGATCACATTTCCATTCTTTTTCAGTGCAAGTACTGTAAATATTAATAATCATTTAAATTAATTATATTTAAATTAAATTTTAATTATATAAAATTTTTATTTATTATATTTATTTTATTTATTATATATATTAAATTTTATTTATTATATTTAAATTAAGTACTGTAAATATTAATAATCATTTAAATTAATTATATTAAATTAAATTTTAATTTAATGAATGGATATAAAAAATTGTCCCATTTCATTGATCCTAAAAGGTAAGTAATATTACAATTTAATATTCAATAGATAATGATGATAATATAATAAATAAGCTTTAAAAGATGCATTTAAAACAAATAAATACAATAAAATAACTTTCAAAATTACATTTAATCAAATAAACTTTAATGCAAATTAAATTTTTTAATAATTTAGAATTAAAAAATTAGTTTAAACAATTAAAAGGAATTTAACCATTTGTTTTTATTGTATATTTAATGTGAAATTAGAAGAAATACATAATAAGATGAATTAAATTTTTTTTTTAAAAAAAAAAAAAGGGAATGAAATGAAAGAGTACAATATGCGCATCTTTTCAAAAACTTTTTGAATTAAAAAATTAAAATTCAAACTTTAACGCTACGTGAAATTCATAATAGTTACACGTGGCGTATTTTCTTCTTTTTTTTTTTTTTTAAATGAATTTATTTTGGCTTTTTAATTCATAGATAATATAAAAATATTTTAGAAATGAATAAATACAAATTATAGATTAGTGATAGAAACTTTAAAAATTGTTTATGCAAATTTTCAAAATTGAATTAATCGACTGAATTGACATATTTCAATTTAAATTTTTATTTTCATAACTAATCAAATAGCTATTCCTCCTAATTGCTCCATTTATCAATTCTATTTATCATAAGAAAAAAAAACAAAAAAAAGTTTCTATTTGAATTATTGAAACATAAAAAAAAAAAAATTGAAATAGGAGATGTGACAGTAATGATTATCAAATTATCAATTAATTATCAATTAATAGCAAAATACATTTACTTTAAAAGAATTAAATTATAATTTTTAATAAATGTTTTTTCTCTTTCTTATTTTTATAAATTGAATTTGAAAATCTGTCAATTCTCATTAATATTAATGGAATAATTCTATTAATTTGATGTAAATTAATAAAAAAAAAAATTTTTTTTTTATTTAAAATATACAAAAAAATTCATTCAAAATATTTATTTAAAATATACAATTTTTAAAATATAAATCATTCCATAACATTTTTAGTCCAATTTTTCTGTTTAATTTTTAATTTTTACAAAATTTAAATTTTAATCTAGACAAATAAGAGTGTTTTCTAAGTGTTTGATTTATTAAAAATGGGAAAAAAATAAGAATTGATGGAATAAAATGGTGCAAATAAGAAAATAAATTAAATTAAAATAAATAATAAATTAAAAAAATTCAAAAAAAAAAAAAAAATTCAACAGATAAGAAAATACTGAACAATACTAAAAAGTATTTCCAGTAATATAATCAAAAGTTTAAAAAATTTTTGAGATAACAATATAATTCCAAGTATGCTATCAAAATTCCATCTATAACTTTAAGTAAAACTAGTAGGAAGAAAAAATAAAAAATTTAAACAATAAATCAGAAATCAGAAAAAAAATTTTAAAATTAAAAAATATAATTTCAGCTCAGTTGTAATTAGATATAGTAAAATTTATTTGATATTTTTTACAATATCATTTAAAACTATCAATCTCCAAATTAATAACAATTAAACTTAATAATTAAAAATTTCAAAATTAACAATAATCAAACTTAATAATTGAAAATTTCAAAATTAACAATAATCAAACTTAATAATTAAAAATTTCAAAATTAACAATAATCAAACTTAATAATTAAAATTTTCAAAATTAACAATAATCAAACTTAATAATTAAAAATTTCAAAATTAACAACAATCAAACTTAATAAAGTGCAGAATTATAATATCATATAAGATTACTCTAACTAATAAGTATGACAAAAGTGTTCAAAAATTTTTGTAAACAAATATCAAACATAATAGCTAATCAATTATTAAATAAGTAAGTAAAAGTAATGCTAAAGAGTTAATCATATTTAAATATGGCAAATAATTATTTTAAAAAATTTTAAAATAAAATTGAAATAGAAATGTGTGAAATGAAAATCAAAAAAAAAAAAAAAAAAATATCAGAAATAAAAGAAAATAATTTGATCAAACTATTAGTGATAAAATAAAAAATAAAAAAATAAAAAAAAAAATGAATGCACAATTTTTTCCATTCAGTAATTATTCCTTTGATCTTTTCATATAAATCAATCAAATTTCAAAAGTTCATTAATCCCATATTTGCTTCGCACATCATTTTTTTTTTCTCATAGAAATTAAATTTAAGAGTATAAAGAATTATTTAAATAAAAAAAACTACAAAATATGGAGAGAGAGAGAGAGGGAGAGGGAGAGGGAGAGAGAGGGAGAGAGAGTTTGTTTTTCTTCTTGTTTTCCTTCCTTTCTACTTGAACTTTTACCTTGTGATTAATTGATTGATTGACTGACTGATTGATTAACTAATTTATTTCTATGTTTGAGCAAAAAGAGATTTTTTTTTTTGTTTGCTAAGGATTAAAAGAGTTTTTGTTTGAAAATTTAAATGCATTCTTCATTAATTATTATAATAAATAAAATAAAAAATATATATCAAAAAAAAGAAAAATGTGAAATTTTTTTTAAAAGAATTTGTTAGTTAATTACAATATATGTTTTAATTACTTTATTTTGTGTTTTGGAACCATTAAAATAATAGTAGTTAGTTGATTTGGAAGGGAGAGAGAGAGAGAGAGAGAGAAAGAGAAAGAAAGAAAAGAGGGAAAAATTTTTGTGTAATTTTTGATAAATTAATTTTAATTGAATAATGATTTGACTTTTTAAAAGAAATATAAGATGAAGAAATAGAAATGAATATATGAGCAGATATATTCTTTACTAATTTAAAAATAATAATAATTAAATTTCAAATTATAAAAAATGGTATAAATTACTTTTAAAATAAAACAAATTTTACAAATTAAAATTTACAAATGTGAATACAATGATGAAATGTTTATTAATTTTTGAAATTATTAACAAATATGACAGTATAAAATTGTCACACATAATTAATTTCATTCATAATTTCTGTTAATATTTTAATTTGCTAATTTCTTTCATTTTTTTTTCCTTTTATTTAAAGTTTTTTATGAATTTTTAGTGTTTTTTTTCTTAATTGATAAAAACCTTTTTTTTTTGTGATTATTTAAATGAAAAAAATTTAATTTAATTTAATTTAGAAAGAAAATGAAAAATAAACCATTGATTGCAATTTCTGGTGATTGTATCGCCTTCTGAATATGTTATTCCATCATGAATGCAATCTGAATACTATAAAATTAACAGTATTTCATATTCATTAATTTATCAATTAATCATATCAAAAATCTCTTTTCTTTCCTCTCCCTTTCCCTCTCTCTCTCTCTCTCTCTCTCTGCTTACTTTTAAATAATTACATTTAAATAATAATTAAGTAATTAATTCAAAGATTAAAATTAAAAAAAGAAAACTTTTATCATCAATTACTACAATTATGAATTGATACTGTAATAAGTAACCGGATTTAATTTCCGTAATTTAATACGATAAATAAATGCTAGCTGTATTTGAAAAATACATTTTGCTGCTAATAAACTAGTAATCTATTAACATAATTACTACAATTACGAATTGATAATATACTAAGTAACCGGATTTGATTTCCGTAATTTAATACGATAAATAAATGCTAGCCGTATTTGAAAAATATATTTTACTATTAATAAACTAATAGTAATCTCATTAACATATAAATGGAATAATTCAATTTAGCTAATTTTGCATTAAATTATTTATAATAAAACAAAAAATAAATTTAACTGAAAAAAAAAAAAAAAAAACAAATTAATTAAAATTTTTCTAATTGACAAATATAATTAACAGGTTTAATTGACTGAATGAAATATTTGTGTATGTATGTATGTATGTGTGCATGTGTATGTATGTATGTGTGCATGTGTATGTATGTATGTGTGCATGTGTATGTATGTATGTGTGCATGTGTATGTATGTATGTGTGCATGTGTATGTATGTATGTGTGCATGTGTATGTATGTATGTGTGCATTTGCATGCAAGAAATAATGCATAAAAGTGCGCTAATATGCATGCAAAATTGCAAAACAAAAATTACAACATACTTTTTTTTTTTGCATAAATATCATTTCTGCAAGTAATTTTCTTTTTTATTTCTCTATCAAATTTACCTGACCTGGCGCTAATGTCCGTTGACTGTAACGACAAACTGCCTTAAAATCTGGGCAGCAATCATTGCCATATTCGCCTCGATCACAGAACATATCACAGTAGCAAAGATGATTGCCAAGAATTGCCATTGTACATTGATCATCACGATTCGGGCAACATGTTGGTGATCGTTTCCCACAATAAATACCCGGAATATCATGAAAGCCAATACCAACAGTAATTCTTCCCAACCATAATAGTAGCAGTAATAAAATTATCATTAATTTCTTTATCATTATTATAAAAATAGATGAAAATATTTGATACAGAAAAATTTGTAATTTAGAAAATAGTAAAAAATTTTTAGCCAAAGATTTCGTAAATTGTTGCTGCAATTTATTTTTTGATGATAGAAGAAGTTTGATGATGATGATGATGATGGTGATGGTGATGGTGATGATGGTGATGGTGATGGTGATGATGGTGATGGCGGACAGAAGAATCACACTACCTACCAATAGCGCCAAATAAATTTTCTCTCTTTATTTTTTTTTTTTTCTTCTATTTTTTTTTTTTTTTTTTAAATTTGTAAACGTGTTTCCCGCAGTTTTCTTTTCTTTCCTTCTTTTCTTTCTTTCTTCTTCGTTGTCGTCGTTGTTGTCGTCGTCGTTGTCGTTGTCGTTGATTACCTTTCTCGTTCTCGTTGTCGTTGATTACCTTTCTCGTTCTCGTCGTTGTCGTTGATTACCTTTCTCGTTCTCGATCGTCTTTAAGTGATTGACGTAAGATCAATTTTTGTCAACCGAATTTCTTCACTTTCTCGATTACTTCATCACTATAATATTGTGATGGCACAATGAAGTGAAAATTTACGCCTTTGTTTGCAATCTAAAAATTAAGTACAATTTCTATTATTTATGTTCTCTCTCAAACATTTATTACATTTAACAATAATAATATTAATTAATTAATTTAATTGATAATGATAATAACAGCAATATTAATTAATTAACCATAATAGTAACAATATTAATTAATTAACATAACGAACAATAATAATATCAATATTAATTAATTAACCATAGCGAACATTATTAATTAATTAATTAATTAATTAATTAATAATAATAACTAACAATACACTAACATTTTTCAAATATTCTCTAAGAAGCCCTTATTAATTCATTAATTTTTTTAAATGATAATAACAACAATTTATATTTCAAATATGAATAAAATTGGCAACTTTTTCTTTCGTATGATTTAAGAGATTTTTTTTTTTTTAAATTTTTCTAAAATTATTTCATTTATTCTAATTTTTGTTATTTTTTTTTTTTTTATTCGTTACTTGCATTTATTTCTAAAAATGATTTTCAAAGTTTTAGCTATAACCTTTTCCTAATATTTAATTCTTTTATTTTCTTGCGGTCACACACACACACACACTTCCTTTCCCTGGAAGTGGGTAAATCCGGTCAATTATTATGGTAGCATTGGGTAAAGTGGAATAAAATGGGTAACATATAAGCATATAAATCTAAATCTTATAAGCAATCTAAAATTGATAAAATTTGGAAAGGAAAAATATTTTGTTTTGTTAGTTTTAAAAGAATAAAGAAAGTTTAAAATTGAAATATTACATTGAAATGATTAATTTGTGATAAAGGAAAATGAACTAATTTATGTTTCAATCAATCAATTTTATAAATAAATGGAACTTTCTAAACACTGTGTAATACTTCTGATTATGACATCGTTTGGATGATAAATTTGTTATATTTTATCAATTAAAATATCAGTTATCTCATTTAGCCTTATCATTTTAATAAATTCTTTAAATAATTTATATAATTTATAGTTTTTATCTAAAAATTCTATCAAAATTTTTTTTTTTTTTTTTTTTTTTTTTTCGAAAAAAGTGAGTAACAATAAATTTGTATTTTAGAGAAAATATAAATTCTTTTATATTACAGTAATAAAATCAAACAGAGCAATATGCAGTATTACTTTACTACTATTTAACAATTTTCAATTTTAATTTCAATTTTAATTTTTAAAATCCATAAACAATTTATAGTTTAATTATTGTATCTGTAAAATATTTATTAGAATCAAATGTAGCAAAACGCAGTATCACTTTAATTATTACATATAATTGATATAATTATTGAATATAATTGAAAGGTGTATGTGAATATTTCTAACAATTAAAACTTTTTTAACAAAAAATAATTTAAAAATTTAAATGCATTTTATTAAATTTTGCAATGATCATAAAAATTATTCGATTAATTATTATTCAAATTTAATTTTCCATAAATCATTAAATGAATTTTTTCATAAATTAATAATAATAATAATTTTTTTTTTTTGCTTATTACAAATAAATTTTGCAAAAATTTTTTTTTTATCATAAATAATCTAAAAATAAATAATCATTATATTACTTTTTTTTTTCTCGATATTTACGCAATGATAAAATTTTTCAATTCATTGTAAACTTTATTTTTTGTTTAAAAAAAAAAAAAAAAAAAAATTGAATGAAATGATAAAGTATGTAAGCATTTTTTTTTAAAAAAAAAAAAAAAGCAAAATTTGAAAAAATGATTAACTTTTCTGCTTGTAATTTACTTTCTGAATAATTCCGACGAAAAAAAAAAAAGAATTTATTTTGCTTAATACAAAAGTATTTTAAAAAAATTTGTTATTTCACAAATAATCTAAAAATAAATTAATCATTTTTTATGCATCGTTTTATTTTATCAAAAATATTTGATCGCTTCCTCTTACGCTTTTTTCTTTGTTTTTTATTTTTTCATTTTTATTTTATAAATAAAAAAAATGTAAAAGTAAATTAATTATTTCCTCTAAATGTTTGCTTACTTATAAATATTTGAAATAATAAATTTTATTTCGACAAGAAGTAAATTTTTTTTTTTGTTTCAATTTTTTGTTTTTTTTAATTTATTTATCTTTTTTTTTTTCTTGAAATTAAAATAAACGAAAGATTTATTTAAATACAAAACAATGTCAATAGTTTTCTTTTTTCTTTTTTATTTTATTTTTATTTTTTTTTTTTTTTTTTTGAAATTTTATTTACATTAATTTTAGAGAATTTGAAGAAGAGAAAATGGAAAAAGTTTAAGTACGATTTTTTTTTTTTTTTCCTCTTTTTATTTCTCGGACTTATTTCGTATTTCTTCTTAAATGAACTTTTCAGAAAAAAAAAACTTTTTTTTTGAAATTTGAAATTTCTACAAAGAGATAAAAAAAAAATATGCAAGTATTAAATGTATGGGAGAGAGAGAGAGAGGGAAGGAGAGAAAAAGGAAAGAATAGCTCCACTTATAATTATTAGCGAAATAATGTTGAAAATATTATTTGCATTGTTTGTTACAAAAGAGCTTCGTAAAATTTTTCCTATTCGTAAATGAATTGAAAATAAATTAATCATTTTTTTTCATTTTTTTTTTTTTGTGCATCGGTTTATTTCGTAAAGAATTTTTTTTTTTTTTTTTTGTCTGATTGAAGTGAAAGTAAAAAATATTTTAGTGATAATTTGAAATGTTATTTTTGTTGATAAATTCATTTTTGATAAAGCTGAATGAATTGATAAATGCTATAGACAACATATATTAACAGTGTTATCAAAATAAATCTTACTAAAAAGAAAAAAAAAACGTACTGTTAACATTTTAAAAAATATTTTTTTAAAAAAAAAAATAAGGGATTGTTTTCTTTTTTTTTTTTTTTGCTCCTACAATTTTGTGATAAATTGTAAATTGAACATTTGATGGCAGTCTGAAAGATGTAATAGATGAGAAATATCAAATCTTTTTATGATTGTTAAATATTTCAAAAATTTTAGATAAATTGAAAAGGCCATTTAGAAAGGAAAAAAAAAAAGAATTTTATTTAAGCTTAAAGAAATGATATAAATTAATTGGAATTTATTTATTTGTTAATTTATTCGTTCAATTTATTAATTGGAATTTACTTATTGAATTAATTTTTTGTAGTAATTTAAAAAAAAATGATGTTTGATTTGGAATGGTTTTTGCCTTATGAATTATATTATAAAATATTAAGTCATTGATTTTACATAACTAAAATTAATTAAGAGATTAATTAATTATCAAATATTAAATAGACACCAGCTATGCTTCCTTATATTTTTAAAAAATTATTAAAATATTTGTCTAACAAATAAAAAGTAAAACAACAAAAAAAAAATTTTTTTGATTAAAAAAATTAGCTTCTTAAATTTCTTTTTAACTATTTCATTTAATTGTATTATTACAAATTTCCTACATATATTTTTCAATAATTTTCAAAAATTCAAAAAAATTTTTAAATCGAATTACTTACAAAATTAGATTTTCATTTTTCAAATAATTAATTTGAAGAAAAGGTTTATTTTTTTTTTTTATTATAACAGAATTAATAATTTAAACCAATCAAATAAATCTTTTAATATATATATAAAAAATTTTAAATGAAATAAATAATTTATTAGCCATAAATTGATGCTCTCAAAAATTTTTACAGAAAATACGTATTAAATTAATTTTGCTCCATTTCATTTAAATATAAATTGGGGAAAATTTAATGCAAATGTATGATTAATTCTCCTACAATGAATATAAATTATTCCGTTAAAAAAAGTTTTTTTAAAAAAATAGAAATTAAAATTAAATTTAAAAAATAAAATTGCAATGAATGATTTAGTTATGCCTTAAAATAAATTACTGTTCGTATTTGTGTGACTTTCTTAGCAAATAAATTACAATGATATTTCGGAGAAGAAAAAAGGCAAATAACTTTCATTTTTTTTTTTTTTTTTGCAATCTTTAATTTGAAATAATTTCAAATAAATCAAATATTTTGTAGGAAAAAATAAAAAAAAAAAACAAATTAAAAAAAAAAAAAGGAAAAACAAAACGAAATACATTTAAAAAAAAAGATTAATAAAGTGGAAAAATTAGAAATAATATGGTTTATTTATTTGTTTCTCAAATTTTTATTTTTTATTAAATTAATTACAACAATTAATTGTTGTAATTTAATTTCGCATTTTTTAATGAATTATTTCATTCGCATTTTTTAATTAATTTATTGCTATAATTTGTCATTTTTTTCTTTTTTCATTCATAAAATTATAAATCAATGAAATGCTTTTTAATCAAAAGTATTTTTCATTGTTTAAATTAATTATCATTTTAATGACAAATATATGTTGTAAAAATTGATTTTATTTGTTTATTAAAATTTTTTTTTTAATATTTTTTTTTTTTTTTTTTTTTTTATTTTTTTTAATTTTTTTTTTAATTTTTTTTTAAATAATATTTTTATTTAATATTTGCAAATTAAATGTTTTTTTTTAACTTCATTTTTTATCTTTTTGTTTTCTTTTCAAAGTTTTGAAATTATCAATAAACTTTAAAATTTTTTGTTAGAATTTATATGACAGTTTGGCATGAATAAGTAATTTTTTTAAATGAATTTTAAAAGATTTTAAAATAATTTTCTGTGATAATATTGATATTATTATTTAGCAGAGTTTTTCTTATTGAAGATTTTACGACCTTAGACTTTATGTCTCCGTACTTTTCGCAAATTTTATATTATAAAGATTTTGGAAATAAATTTCAAAAAAAAAAAAATCCATTTATTATAAAAAATTAAACCTGAAATAATGCAATTCTAAAGTGCTGTGAATAACGAAAGCATTTAGATGAATTTTTTTAAAGAAATAAAATTTTCGATTGAAATTTAAATATTTTATCAAAATTTAATTCATTGAGAATTTTCTGGAAAATACGAAGAGATTCAATAATATCTCTAATATTTCCATGTTGCAATTCAAAAAAATAATTATTTCCTTTCTACCAGTTCATTTCTTTTTTTTGAAGATTCGAAGTGACAATTTTATCCTTTTAAAATGACCTTTAACCTTTCAATTGTTTATTTAAATATTAAAAGCCATTATTTTTTGACCTATAATTTTTTTTTGAATTTAAGTAAATGGAAATGAAATTAATTCAGTAACAAATTTAATAATAAATACTTACATTTAATTGGGCAAAATTATCATAATATAAAAATAAAATAACAATTAGAATAAAACATAAATTTATTTCAAAGTATTTTGATTATATTAATTACAGAGAAATATTTTATCGCATTTATTATCATATTTAATCATTAATTAACAGCAATTTTATAAATGAAAAGGATTACTAATTAAAAAGCATTTGAAAAGTAACCCGTAAATATTACAATAAAATTATACTCTTCAAAATTAATAAATGACAAAACAATATGCAATATTGTAAATTAAATTATGAGCAAAAATTTTCTCCCATATTTTACAAAAAAAAAAAATTACTAAAATGAAAATAAATAATTGAATGAATGAATGAATGCAAAATTTTATTAATTAACTCTGAAAAGAAAATAATTATTAAATAACTTAAAACAAAAAAAAAAAAAATGCATTAAAGTTCCTATTAGTCAAGCATTTATGTAATTAAGCAAAATTAATTTAATTATTAAAAGAGAGAGAGAGAGGGAGAGAGAGAGGAAAAAAAACCTGGAAGAATCATTTTGCACATAATTTTTACTATTATTTTTTTAAATATATACAATTTTAACAATATCAATAAACATTTTATCAAAGTAAAACATAATTAAATTAGCATTATGCACCTTTTTAGATTAATGAAATATTCAAAATTTACCAAAAAATTTTTCAATCATTGCTCTTTTACATGCCATTCGCTCTAAATTGAAAATTTTTTGAGTAAATTCTAAAAAAAAAAAAGAAAAAATTTGTTTAATTTACACTTAAAATAATGCATGCAAATTGTGCAAAGCATTTAACTAAATTTTAAAAAAATAAAATAAAATAAAGGAAAAATGAGCTATCAGCAATTAATTTATAGTTTATAATAACAATTAGATAAAGTAAACAAAATTTCTTTGCACAGTAATTCCTAAAAAAAATTTTTTTATCAAAATTCGAATATTTTGAATTCAATTCAATGGAATATTTTTATGCTACTCAACGAAATTTTCAAAATTTTGTAATATTATCAATATTTTCGCTTAATTTTTTTTTTTCTTTTGAAATTAAATATATTTTTACATTTTAAAAAATTAAATATTTTTGCTTAATTTTAAATTAAATATATTTTACAAATAGAACTAACATTTCCTTTGTTTTGTTTTGTTTTTTTTTTTTTTTTTTAAAAAAGAAAATTTCGGAATTATTTTCGGAAAGTTTTAAAATATTCACATAATTGTTACCTTTACAAACTAATATTTTTTTTTTGCATGAAATTTACAAATTTTTACTTTTTGCATTTTCGAATTTTGTAAATAACTAATAGTTATGCTACATAAAAGTTGATTTTTCTTTCATTGGTAAATTATTTTGCGCCGTCAAATTTTCTTGACATAACGTACAGTTCACGTTTGATTGCAACGTGATGGATAGAAGCGGAAGGAAGAAGAATGTAGCAAAAAGCCAACTAACAGTAGCTAAAGTTATCAAAAATACACCAACCTGAAATATTCAAACATTTTTTGATGCATCTAATTTACTTTCATATCATTTTGATAGTTTTACTTTAAACTTAAACTGCATGTTTTTTTTTTTTTTTTTTTTTTCAGGAAGTATACATTTTCCTGAATTTGTAGCAATAAATTAACTTTTCTTTTTTTTTTTTTTTTCAAATGATAACTTTTATAATTTTTCATCTTTTCGTTCTTTATTAGTAAATTTAATTTATAACTTAAAAAATAGAATCAAATTTAATAGATTTTTTTTTTTAATTTTATTTTAATAAATTTAATATGAGAAAAGAAAAAAAAAAAAAAAAAAACAAACGGAAAAATTAATACTTGATGAAATGCATGTGTTTCGGCGATTAGCATTGAGCTACCAGCAGCAAACGATGATAGAGCAGATAAACTGACCGGTATTACTGATTTACGAGCTGCAAACCAAATACGATGCTTACCGCAACCGGTTTCCGGTACGGAAGCACCATAATGTAAGGTGAAATCAAATGATAAGCCAACCACAAGTACCAGAATAATTGCCTCGAGGACACCAATTACCCAACCTAATGTTGTCACACAACCAACCGTTACAATGACAATACAACAAATTGTAATTAATGCAATTAGCGATTTAAGTCGCAAATGTAAAAATGCAAAAATTGCGACAACCGTAAATGACAACAATAAAGATTGGCGACAATCCGTAATTATTGAATTTAGCAAATCAAACCATATGCAAATTAATGACCATTCTGTGGTATACCAACCACCTGCAATGATTCACTCATTAAATATTATTAAGTGTAATTGTAGTGAAATAATTAATTGTTATTGATTTGCATACCTGTAAAATCATTCATACGACCTTTGACCTTGATCAGCATACTGATCAATTAATTAATCTTTTATAAAATCATAACAAAAAAACAAAAACTTTTCAATTTTAGTTTATTTTTTAATAAATTTTTAATTTGAACAACAACAATTGGCAATAATTTAGGTTATTGAATGAATATAAAAGTAAAATTTACTTAAACTTACCATAACTCATATTACTAAATGAATGTTTTAATAAGTCAAAAGTATGTGACAAATTCTTGAATCGATGAGAATATTTGAGTTTAGTTGGTAGCATTGCAGTGTAACCAATTAAATTAAAAGTATTATTATCATATATTGGTGTATCATTGTATTGTGTGTAAAGATAAGCTGTTGATAATCTAATGCAATAATCTGTTAAATTTTCGTGAAAATTTGAATCAGCAAAATTACAACATATTTGAGATGGTTCACAAGTGAAATTACGACTCCAAATTAAATATCTGAAATATAAAATATTTAAAAAATTATTTAAAAAAAAAAAAACAAATATTATAATTTTTTTTTAAATTAAAATTTGAAAATTTCATTTTTTTTTTTTTTTGAATTTCAAATTAAACATTTATATTTTACTAAATCATTGTGTTAGCTTTTTTTTTTTTTTTATTTTATATTTACAAGAAAAAAAAAAAAAAAAACGAAGAAAATTTTCTAATTTTTTACCTTTCTGGCCAATATTGATTTTGATGATTGATAAAGTTTAATTCTCTATAGCTCCGTAATTTCAATGCTAATTCCTGTATATCAGTTGTATTTTGCAATGAAAATTTATAATCATGCTGTACAGGTGTTAATTTATCAGGTTGAAAAATATTTTGTGAAATACGTGGTGTTAAACCCCAAATTAATCGAATAGCAATAGGAATTTGAAGTTTATTAGTAATAAATTCAAAATTTTTTTCAGCATTATTATCGTACCATTCGTGTTTATTTGAATCAGTAAATAGTTGTAATGGATTATAAGGTGGAAACTGAAGATTAGTATAGGTTAAATAGGTCATTGTGATAACAATAGCAGCTAAAGATGAGATCCAAATATAACGACCCGAAATGATAACAAATGGTAGTAAATCACGCATTAAGTAATTAAACTTAGAAAATATACGACACGTGAAGCAACGTTGGATGTAACGTTCCTGGAATATAAGCATTGCTGGTAGAAGTGATATTTCTAGCAAATAGTTGAATACTAATGTTATACCAGCAAATAAACCAAAACATCTGTAAGAAAAAAAGTTAAATAGATAAATAATGTTAAAAAATTAAAATAATAGGTATTTTAATTCAAAAAAAAAAAAAAATGACAAATTGTAATAAATTATAATTTATTATTATTACTATTATTATCGTTATTACTACTATTATTATCATTATTATTATTATCTAAATGAAAAATATTTAATGGTAAAATATTTTTATACAATTATAATAAAAAATTTTTAAAAATAAAATATATAAATTAAATTGTTGAAAAAAAAAAAAAAAAACATTTGTTTAATTTATTTCTTCTTTTTTTTTTCTTAAAATTTTATCATTTTTAATCAAAAAAAAAAAAAATTTTTTTTCTTCATTCTTTTTCATTTGATAATAATGAATTTTTGCTATTTTTAAAGAACAAATGTAGTAAACAAAAGGAAAAAAAAATCAATTATATTTGAAAATAAAATTATTAAAAAAAATTTTTTAAAAAACAAAAAGAAAAGGAAATACTAACCGAAAGACAACAACACTGCTAAGAATATTTGTAAAAAATGGTACAGCTGTTGATGAGGAAGTTAATAGCATAGCATTAGCTGTATGTGACAAACATTGATGAATGGTTTGTGATGTCACATCCATTGGAAATGAATTTAATAAAATGAATGCATCATCTGATCCAATTGCTAATAAAAGCACAAATATGACTAAATTTAGAAGTGGAAAATTCACTGTAAATAGCGAATAAATTGCTAAAGCACTTAGAACAGATGCAAATAGCACAAAAGCAACCATTATGCAATAGAAAATATTTAATGAATATAGGAAAACAATTAGAAATACGGAAAATGCAGCGCCGCAAGCGAGCAGAGAGTCACGTTTGGCACCGTCGTATAAAAGGTCACGCTTGATATCCATTGATAAGCCTGAAATTAATCATATCAGTATGTAAATTAATGATATCAGTATAGAAATTAATTAATGATATCAGTGTATAAATTAATTAATGATATCAGTATAGAAATTAATTAATGATATCAGTGTATAAATTAATTAATGATATCAGTATAGAAATTAATTAATGATATCAGTGTATAAATTAATTAATGATATCAGTATAGAAATTAATTAATGATATCAGTATAGAAATTAAATTAATGATATCGGTATAGAAATTAATTAATGATATCAGTATAGAAATTAATTAATGATATCAGTGTATAAATTAATTAATGATATCAGTATAGAAATTAATTAATGATATCAGTATAGAAATTAATTAATGATATCAGTGTATAAATTAATTAATGATATCAGTGTATAAATTAATTAATGATATCAGTATAGAAATTAATTAATGATATCAGTATAGAAATATACAAGTGATATCGAAAAATATAAATAAATGATATCATAAATGGTATAAAAAGAAATGTGTTTAGTTCTTTTATCAGTATAGAAAATAAATTAATATAAAATTATTTAATGATTGTAAAAGGAATAAATTCTTTTTTTTTTAATGCTAAAATTTTTTCCAAATTAACAAAAAATTGCAAAATATTATGTTATTTATTAATTATAAAAAAAAAAAATTTTTTTTTTTTTTTTTTGAGTCGTTATAAACAATTCATTTAAATAGCTTTCTATTTTAATTATAATTATAAATTAAAAATACAATTAAAATTTGGATAAAATTAGAAAATAAAAAGAAAAAAAAAAAAAGGCATCTAGTATAAAATGTAATAAGTAGTAATATTCATTGATAATTCAAAAAATATAATTTAGTAAAATTACATTATAATATGATAATTTTTTACCTTTTAAAATAAATTTGTCATGTTTCAGCGAGAAATTTTGAAATGCTTCTTGTAAATTTAAATAATATTGTATGGTTCCTTGATGAAAACCTTGTGATCGATAACCACCTGATGTAAAAATTGGCAAAAAACCATTAATATAAATTGGTTTTGTGTTTAGATTTTTTGGTAAAATTCGATAAAATAAATCAAAAATCATTTGTGTGGAGCAATTTGTTGGAACATTAAAACATGGCGAACAATCCAAATAGCAATTTCGACGACAATTAATAATTTCACGACGATATGATTGACAGTAATCAATGATATCACGACCGAATTGTATATCATTTTCAGTAAGAAATGAGCAGTTTGTTAGAAAATTGGGTGAGAAGCATGATAAATAGTTTGGTAGACTCCAGATATTTCTAAAAGTTAATTTAATTTAATAATTTTAGAGTATGAAATTTATTTTAAAAATAAATTTAGAACAAATTTTTGGTTTATAATTTATAATTTTTTATCCATCATAAAAGATAAATTTTTATTAATCATAAAACAGAGAAATATATGTATATTTAATCATTTTTATCAATTATTTTCATTAATCTTTATTTAAAAAAAAAAAAAATTAAAAAAGTTTTAATTAACTTTTCATTAATCACAAAAGATAAATATGTTAATTACAAACCAAAATTTAAATTCAATACATTTGTAGATGATAAAGGGTGATCAAGCAATGATAACAATGCAAAATAACAACTGATAATAATAATAATTATCATTTTTATTACTTATTACTATTATTATTATTACTATAAGTATTAAAAGATATTACTATTACTATTATTATATTATTATTATTATTATTATTATTATTATTATTATTATTATTATTATTATTATTATTATTATTAATGTAAGTTAATTTCTGGCTATTACTATCGCAATAGCTAAAAATTAAATTATAATAATGAGAATTTGAGGTAATTCAGGTTATCGATCATTAATTTATAATGATTATAAGAGGAAAATGTTAATCTTTGATCTATTTAAATCTAAAATTTTAAAAATAAATGCTCAAACTTATAAAAGGTAAATTCTTATTAATTTATCTCTCTATCTTTTCTTATATTTTACTTTTTTAACTTCAATCTTTTATCTTTTTGACCTATTTTTTTCTTCTCATTAGTTCTAGAAAAAACGGATTCAAAAGTTCTGGGAAACAGATTTAATTGAAATATTGTTAGAATCATTGAAGCTAAGAATATTATCACTTTACATTCACTTACTTTCATAACAGTAATTTTCTTAGTGATAAGAAAAAAAAAATAATTAAAATGTTAAATTTAATTCAATTTAATTTAAGAATAAACAGAAGTATCTACTAGTTATCATAATTAGTGATAAAATTTTAACCTAATCAGCTCTTTTCTTCTAACTTTTACTCTTCTGTTTGTTTTTTTGCAAGGAAATCTCATTGACCTCTGACATTTGAATTATATATTTTAAATTAGTACTTTGAAATATTTACTACATTTAATTATCGTCTAATAATTAAATGACTTATCGATGTTAAAGTTAATAGTTTGTCATTTATATGAATGATTTGAATAATATAAATAATTGGAAAGCTAAAGGATTCTCATAGTATTCTCAGTAAAATTTCGCATTTGTAATTAATTATAATTAACTTTAGATTTGAGTTTTTAAATATTATTTCAGTTTTTAAGTATTTGCTTTTTTTTTACGGTTATCAAATTGTTTCATACAAATTTTGTTCGAAAAGGTTTAGAATTTAAATGGAAATTATAGAAATTAAACAAAGAAAATAAAACATTTAATTTTTAATGACACACAAAAGAATTTCCAATTAATTTCGGATAAAAAAATATTAATGATAAATTACCGAAAGAAATTGTGTACATTTCTTTTTTTTAATTTTGTTTGAATATGCCTATCTCATTCACATCTCTATTTTTTTTTTTTTTTTATTTAGAAAATTGAGTAAATTTATCATCCCAATAACCTAAAAATCTAAAATTTCATTGAAAAAAAAGGAGAAAAAAAAAAACAAACTAATGGATTTTATTTTTTTTTTTTTTAGTTCAAAAATAATTTTTGAAAATAAATGGAAAAGCTTTCTACCACTTTTATGATTTTAGTATATTATATAAACGCAATTTCACTCAAAAATTTGCAATATAGAAATTCCAAAAAAAAAAAAAATTCATAATAATAAATAATTTCTTCTTAATATATTTGAAATGAGTCATTCCTATAAATTTAAATTTATTATTTTAAACGACCTTTGACCCTATTTGTTAATGATATTTTCATCGTTGAAATAATATGCTTATAATATTATGGAAAAAATACAGTAATTTTTGTAAATTTCATTAAATCTATCATTATTAGTAAATAGGAAAAATAGAAGAGTGAAAAATTTTTATCAGAATGTAATCTTTGTGCTTTTGAAATAATTTCAATGTGAATAAATGGCAATTAAAAAGATAATAACTGGTAATTTTGAAATTTAAAATGAACTGAACCGGATAAAATGGAATCAATTCTATTACCGGTTACCTTGCCGTAAATGTAAAACTAATAAGAAGGGAATTTCTTTTATTAGTTTTATCTTTTTACTGCCTTTGGCATTGCAAAAGTTAACATTTTCATGAATTGATAATTAATCAGAACATGTTTGTCAACAATTTATGCATATCAAATTCCGGTTTTTCTTTTTTTGATAAAAAAATTTTTATAAAGAATTTGTTTTTTTTTTTTTTTTTGCTTTACCTCTCTCTTTCTCCCTCTCTCTCTCTCTCTCTCTTACAGTTTTTTTTGCCTCATCGTTTCCAAAAATAATTTTATATATGATAATTATATTTCAATATTTGGCTTTCTCTTTTTTTTTGCTTCTATTTTCATTTATCTTTTCTCTTCTCTCAAATGAATAACTTTTCATGCAGAAAAAAACAAATTTAATTTAATTTAATTATATTTCAAAAAAAAAAAAAAACATAGAAATTTACCTGTACGGTGTTATATTAGCAAATAATTGTAATTGATTGTTGAGTGAGGTATGCAATGAACAGAGCATTTTCAGGTAATCAAGGTCAAATAGGTCATCATAAGAGTTTACCTCCACAACGAATTGTGTTAAATGATCCACTATAAAATATTTTTTTGTCAAAAATATGTATGAAATTTTCATTTATAATTTAATTAATTGTTAAATTAATTAATTGAAAAGATATTGATGGAAATTACTGAGAGAAATCGCATATTTCTACATGTAATTTAAATTGTAATTTTGAAAATTAATCCAATTTTAAAGTAGTAATACATTGGAAAATTATCAAAAATTTACAAAAACTTTTCCTTTCTTTTTTGCATTAAATTCAGTATAATAAATTTATTTAATTTATCTATTATAGCTGTTTCATTCTAATCTAAAAGCTTTGAAAAAAAAGGAAAAAAACTCTCAAAACTTTAAAAAGTTTTTATTTTTTAAGAAAAAAAAAAAAAAAAAAAGAAAAACATCAATACGAATATATATATTTTGTGCTTGATGATAAAATTTAAAGTAATTTAAAGTAATTTTTTCTTTGTTTCTTTTTCGCTTACTTTTTTTTACAGTAAGATATTTCAAAAACTTTTAAGCAAGTTAAAAAAAAAAAAAAAAAAGTAAATAAACGATAAAAATTATTAATTAATTGCTATTTCAATAATATTTCTTATCAGTTAACCTATCTTACTGATTACTTTTTACTAGTTTGAGTTTAATTTTAACTAAAGTTTAAGTTTAATTCTCCTATGCTAATCAATCCTACAAATATAATTTAAAATTTAAATTTAAGAAAGTAAAAGTTACTTCCTGGAATAGCTGTCTCATAGCATGCTACCTGACCAAATGTATTTAATAATTCATCAGCCCAAGAACGCTTCAAACGATCCTTTCTTATTGTTGTCGCATTTGATAGGACAATTCGATTACCCATTTGAACATTTAATCCTATTTTTTCCCATGTTAATCTTTGCCCAGAATATTCCGTATCACGGGTATCGAAACCCTAAAAAGAAAAAAAAAAAAAAAGAATGCTAATATCATTTTGATAATTTTTATTTGAATATTTATATTAGAAATTAATACTAAATCTTTTAATCAAAAAATTTTTAATTCATCCAATTAATCAAATTTAAAAATGTTTTTTTTTTCTTTTTAAATAATACTTCGATATTTAAAATATAATTTGGCTAATTTTTCATATATAAATATGAAAAAGTAATTTTTAAGACATATATGGAAGTAATATTAGTAATTATTGATAATCACTGCCAAATTGTCGTTTTTTTTTTTTTGTTTATTTAAGTTGAATTTTTCAAATTTAAATTTCTTTAGAATTTATTATATTCACTTATTTTTCATTTCAAATGACCTTCCTTATTATATTATGAAGAAGGACATTTCTTATGTCTGTTTAAGGTATAAATTTTAAAAAGTGAAAAAAAAAAAAAATTAATGCTTCTCTTTCTTTGCATTCATTTTCAAAAATTTGAATAATATGCCAGCCAATTCGTCAACAATTATTTATCATTTTTTTTTTTCCTCTTTGAAGTGTCCATTTCAACTTTTCTTTTTCTTTAAATGTTAAATTTCAAGCTAAGGTCAAAAAAAAAAAAAAAATGAAAAGAAAGAAAAGAAAAAAAAACTTATAAAAAGTGAATAAAGCAACCAACAAAATTGATATTAAGAAAATTCCGGGATATAACGGGAATATTCCGCGGCATTTAATGAACAAAAATAAATTACCTAATATTAGCCAATTCCATCTTCTGAATGTATCGTAATTTATAAGTATAGTTAAGATTTCAATTAACGGAGAAATTCAAAATTATTGTTGCTTTTTTATTTTATAAAATTGGAAGAAAAAATATTTTATTATTTATTATTAAATTTAATTATTTACTTATTTAATTATAAAATTTAATTACAAAAAAATATTCGCAAACAAATTACTGGAAGAAAAAAAAAAAGTGAAGGAAATAAAGGACCATATTTTAAACAGTACATAATTATACCTATTTATGTCATTAATTAATTTTTATTTTCAAAATCATTTCAAGTGTTTCAATTTATTGAGGAAAGATAAGATTTTATCAGTGAAATTAAATTTAAACATTATTCCCTTCTCTCTTTCCCTCTCTTTCTCCCTCTCTCTGTCTCTCTCTCTCTCTCTGTACTTCATTTTCGCCATGAAAATTAGGTAAATAAGTAAATATATGGAGCATTCACTCAGCAAACTTTTATTATAAAAAGATTATTTTACATCATTCATACATCGTTTCAATTGAAATATTAATTTGAAATTTCTAACACTCAAATATTTGTCCAATATGTGAATTTAATTTTCACTTTTCAATGACAAACTTTTAAAATTTGTTGAAGTAAATAATACAATCATAAATCCATCATAGATATTATATATATATATATATATTTTACCCATTTTTTCTTTACAAATAATATATCCAGGTATGGGTAAATGTATGGGTAAGTGTAAATTTTTTTTGCTATGTACAAATCTAAGAGATATTTTTTGATAAATTTAATTTTTAGAAGATAATGTTGAAAATTTTTTTTTTTTTTTTTTAACACAAATCTAATTTTAATATCAATTAGTCAATATTATCAAATATCACAATTTGATATTTTTGCATTTAGGTTAAATTGTGTCACAAATTCATTCTTTGATCTTATTTCAATCAATGAATTTCTCATTCGCATAAAGTTCATTGATCGATGACCGCATTAAATGAATAAAATTTGCCAAATTTTAACAAAGAATAACAAATTTTAAATGCAATTCAAAATGAATAAAATTTGTGTTATTTAAAAATTTTGTTATGTTATTCTTTTTAAAAGAAGCATTTGAAAATTTTTGACTAATACTTTGATCTATTCCGATGCTATTTTAAGATTATTTGTTTCGTTAAATATTTTCAAGCAGTATTCTTTCTCAGTTTTCGATAAGAACAGGAATTCAAATTTGTTTTTTTTTTTTTTTTTTTTTCAATCATTATTTCACCCGCAGATATATCAACAAATTCCTTCATTCTTTTTCATGCATAAAATAAAATTCCAAAATTTTACATAAGCTTTCGTTTTTTCTCCTCTCTCTCTCTCTCTCTCTCTCTCTCTCTTCATTATAAACAAATTAATTGTTTAAATTAATATGTGTTATCTAAAATAAACATTTTATAAGTAATTTTTAAATGAATAAGGCTAATAAATCAATTGTTTAATTAAAATTAAATATAGTACTATTAATGAATAGAATTAAAAAATGGTAAAAATAAATTTACAGAATAAAAAAAAAAAAGAAAAACAATATATTTTTCCTAAACAATTATAAATGAAAAAATTAAAAATCAATTTCAAAAAAAGAAGAAGGAAAGAAAAACTTACAGTTTCAGGATTTTGATTAATTTGTAATGGATTAAAGAATAATACAGTTATAGGTAAAATTGTTGTTAGAATTGAGATTACAATTAGAATAGTTCCTGGATAATTGAATAGAAAAATGGAATAATTAGCTAATAAATTATGCAAAATATCATTATTTCTAATTTTATTCATTACCATTTTTTTTTTTTCTTTCTTCTTTTCTTTTAAAAATAATTATTAGCTAATAAATGAATGATAAGAAATGCAACAAAATGCATGCACATGCATTCGTGCTGCATGCATTCATTCAAATTAGATACAACGAATTGATTGAATTGATGATTGTTTGACTGATAGATTGGAAGGATGAATGAATGAATGAATGAATGAAAAGGAATGGATGAAAAGGATGAAATAAACTAACATAGAAATCAATCATTTCTGTAGTATCACCCTGCCACGCCTACTAAATTGCTCTGTTGATTAACGATTTTATGATGTTCAATCATTAGTTACGATTTTTTTTTTTTTTTTTTTAAATTATTGAAATATAATAATGAATGTAACATTCTTATATTTATTTCGTTTCTTTTTTCTACTATTACTAATTTTAATCTTTTTTTTTTTTTCTTAAATAATTTGAAAATGTATAATTAATAGTTGTATTTAAAGTAATTACATAATGAAATTTATTTATTTTTTTGGTCATAGTTATTTGTGAAATGAATTGCATGTATTAAATTGGTGAAGTGTTTAACATTAGAAGCATTCTAATTAACTGAAAAGAAGAAATAAAAAAGTAAATAAAGAAAAGAAGTTAAACCGGTTTAAATTTTCCACTTTTTTTGCCTTTTTTCTTTCAAATAAAAGTTTTTTTTTTCTATTTAATAAAACAAATAACAAAAAAAAAAAAAAACGGAAGTTTATTAGTGGTTGTAAGTTCTGTGTAAATAATTTTTTACTTTTTTCTTTTTTTTTAAAAAAAAAAATCAAAAATCATAAAATGGTAAATTACTTAATGATATTGTAGCTTATTAACTTCATAGAATTTCTTTTTTTGTAAGAATGTTAGCAATTTGTTTTTTTTCTTCTTTTTTCTTTTTTTTTTTTTTTTTTTTTTTTGTGAATATAATGTAATTTTTTATCATTTTAAAAATATTACAAACATAGGAAAGAATTAAAATTTCTGCAAATACAAATGGATAATATGTCAGTCATTGGTTTCATAACAAACATGTAATATTAAAAAAAAAAAAGTTTATAAAACACAAAACATAAGAGGAATCATCTATTGTAGATACAACATTTATTAACTCGTATGAAATGTTATTGCATTAGACCAAATGCTATACCAATAAAATGAATTCTATAAACAAAAAATAATGAAAATTTCAAAGCATTTCAAACGGTGGTTCCTCCTCTACCACACCGAATGTTACTAAACCACAGTGCACAGCAAATAACACCGATATCGTTAATGCGCCTACAGCAAAGAAGATCGTTTCAGCTACTGGACCCTGAAAAATGTAACAAAGATGTAATATTTTCCTTGTTTTGATGTATCTAATTGTTAAAAGTTAAAAAGTTAAAAGAAATATTGAAGAATACACGAGATCTAATCATTTAAAAATTTACTTTTAACTTTTCTAGATGATATATATAGTTATTAGAAGATTAAGAATAGATCAAGAGGAATAATCTAATCTCCAATCTCTCAACTAATTTTCATCATCATTGCTATACACTTGTTCCTTTTTTCTTTTTTATATTTGCTACTTGTAAACTTACTGATGTTTGCTGCTCTTTCACTGTCGTCCGTCGCAAATTCATCTGTCCTGCTTCTTTTTGTGCGCGACGTCGCCGGCTATACCATTTGTCCTGAAAAATAAAAAAACATTTTTTCAAGCGAAAGCAAAATTATATATCTAAATCATTTCATGAGAAATAAGGCTAAAATGATAACCTTTAGAGCAGCTTGCTGCCTTATTTGAGTTTCACTCAAAGGCAAGTATATGCTTATAATAGATTCGATAAATCGTACAACATTTGGACAACTCATTATGTGTTGCTGCAATCGATCTGATGGAAGCGGTAGTTTTAGAATTGGTGCCAAATATCCAAAAATTAAGGCATCAATAGAACTTGGTCTAAAAAAGATGTACAAGCGAACAATGATATCAAATATACAAAGTATATCTTCCAATAAAGATCAAAATGTGTACATATTTTTGCTTACATATATATAAACTAGAAATTAGCATAAAAGTTAACGTTTCAATACCACGTACTTGTCACCATAGAAGTACTTCTTATTACCAAGTCTGTCTTCTAAAAAATTGACCGTATTTATGGCATCATGAATAATTTGCTTTTCATTTCGGCCACAAGCTGAAACATAAGCTTGAGCACGCTTGCGACGTTTCTCCAAGTAATATAAATTATAACCAAACGGTAGTTGTTTTGAATACCAATGTTGCATTATCGCCGAATAATTATACGAATCAAGCCAAAGGAATTGTAACTGAAATAGAGAGTTTGAATCTGGATGGAAAAATTCAAAAACTTTGAAGTGAAAATTGGTATTTGTCTTTAAAATAGAATTTTCTTAAAAACTTTTCGAGAGAATAATATTTTTGGACAGACAAATCAATTCAAATCAATTAAAAAAATTAATAAAAAAATATTAAGACATAAAGTGGTTTGCACCTCAGCAGGATAAAAATTTCGATGCATTAAACTTGAATATGCTTCAAATTCGCATTTTTCACTGGTACTCAGCTCGCTGTCCAACACAACTTCCTCAAATAACAATGACTTTTTTATAAATTATATTTTTATCAATTCTTTCATACTGCTAACATATACAAACGATTATTTAATTTCTATGGTAAATTTATTTTTCTCAGGTATATCCAATAGAATGGATATGTTTGTTTATTTATTTATTTGTTTGTTTGCTTATGTATATGCATGTATGTCTGCTTGTGTACATATTTTTGATGTCTCATTCGTTTTCTCAATTTCTCGTCAATAATGTATCGTTTACTTATCAACAGTCATTATCTACGAATGAATTTAAGTGGTTGTCAAAACATTTTGAAAACCTGTGCTCAAGTACTACTAGAGAATGTGTCATTGTCTTCTATGCTGGAATATATATAACAAAATATAGTTGAACATGAAATATAAGTTTAATATTAAATTCATAAAAAGGATACTCTATACTGCTATTTTTTTTTTTTTTTTCTTAAATTATGCAATGAAAATAACATCATTCTCACCTGGGCATTTCTTCGTAATATGTCAGCAAATTTATCAAAGTCATAAATTTTTTCCACCATATTACTTCGATCAATAAACATTGGATATTCACCTACAATAACAAATAATTTTCAATTGGTTATGAGTCAAACTAAACTGGATCTCTTTCAAAATGAATAGGAAATTGAATTTGGTAAAATTGCACCTACCATTATGACTTTTCCATGGTGAGCAAGCAGAAATTACAGATACCGGTGCTGCACAAAATTTGGCACATGCCTGTTAATATGATTAAACTTATTAATTTTTCTCCTATTTTTTTTTTTATTTTTTATTTAAAAAGTAAAATGGATGAAAAAATTTTCGAAATTTTTAGACTTTCATTTTATTTGGAAGTTGAATTTTCAAATTTCAAATTAAATAGTCTATTTTTAAATAAAACATACAATTAATTACCATAAATTGAAGACAACGAGAGTCTACGGAAGGTAATCCAAAATCAGATGGCCAAATATATAATTCCATCTCACTTCCACAAAATTATCCACCAATTTTGAAAAAAAAAAAAAAAAAACAATCTGAAAGGAAGAGAAAATTTACGATAAAAACAACTGGTACTTATTACTTTTTCATTTTCATTTATTTCTTTCTTTTTCTGTTGATAATTTTTAGAAAGGAATTTAAATGAATTAAACTTTTTGGTAAAATAAATTTAATATTTTTAAAAATTTCATTGCATTTCTTTCTTTTTTTTTTTTCACAATGTATTTTTAAATTTAACGAATGGTTTAAATTTTTAAAAATTTTTAGAACACTTTTTTTTTTTTTCATTGTTTAATTTTAATAACATTTTGACTTTTTTTGTATAACATAATTCGACAGGGATGAATAAGAGTAGAGAGAGAGCGAGAGAGAGAAAGAGAGAAAAGAATGAATGGAGAGAGGAGAGAGAGAGGGATAAGAATGTCAGTGTAGAGGGATAGTTATGAGTAATAATTAGAATGAGATGGTTATAGATATTGAGAGATGAATAATATATCATTGGTAACAGAGTGAGAAATTGTGAGATGAGGCAGCATACATACATACACAATGCTAACAAATCCCGAGATTTCTCGAGAATACAGGTAACAATGCAAAATTACCACCAAAATAAAACTAACACTTTTGTTGATAATGCTATGATGGGATTGTGTTCAATTTGCGAATGATTTTTAAGGTGGCGTATTAAATTTTCTTTTTCAATTTCTATAATTTGTATTTGTTGAGATTTTCCGAAACGTATGATTGACGTGAAATAGACAAACATTTGAGTGCTATAGAAGTAAGAAACGTCAAATATAAGTAATAGCATTGTATAAGTGAGGCAGCACGTGAGATCACATGTTGCACCGTCTAATTAATTTGTTGTCAGGTAATCTCGAGAGATCACTTAATTTAACGTAAGTAAATTGATTCTTTTCATATTTGAATATGTTTTGATCTTTTCTATCAGCGTTAATTGAATGTAACATTGTGATAAGAGTAATGCACGAATGATATATTAGCATAAATTTAGATGAGAGATGCACGTGAGACTAGAAACGTGAACAGGTTGCGCGTGGGAATTGAGACGTGAATAGGTGTGCGTGATATGCACTTATGTTATAAAGAAATAATTTATTAGGAATATGATATTGCAAAAATAATTTATTTGCATAGTGGACTTAATAGATGGCGGTGATATCATGATAATGATGATAATGACGATGGTAATGAAAGGTTGAGCTGAGATCTAAGAGAATAGGTCAAATTTCTGGAAGTATTCTTGACTATTCTATCATATTCTTATTCTTATAGATTATCAAGATGCATCCTTTTCTATAGATTTTCTTTGTACTTTCCTTATTCTTTATTCCTTCAAAATTAACGTTCTCGTCTTCCTCTATTAAATTATACTTTTTATAATCTCTTTTTTCTAGATTGGTAGTTATACCTTTGGAATTAAATAGTGATTTCATTTTAATTGACGGAAATTTATCAGATCTCTTTTTGTTTAATGCTCGAATGATAATTGTTCATATTGTAGGAAATTTTCGAGAAATCAATATTTTTGGTTTATAATTCAGCCATTGTTATTTATCATTTTTTAATTTCCTATGTTAAAAAAAATAAGTTTAGTTTCAATCTCTTCGAAATAGGCCTTTTTTCAATTTATTTTTATTACTTTTTAGTAATGATACATTCCTAAAAAATATCGGATCGTAAGTGTGATTAAATTTTTTTTATTAGACATATTATTATAATTAGCTTATCTGTAAACTATCCCTTTTCAGTAAGTTTTTTTTTTTTTTTTTTAGTATGCAATTACTTAATTATTTTTCTGCTTAAAGTTCCTTAATTTTCATGTTATCATTTACATGGAAGTATGTAAGCTATTAAATTTCCCTACTATATGAGTTGTAAATATATGTATATATAAGTGAGTGCCGTGAGTTTACGTATATTACGTGTTGGAAAATGAGATCTATTTTATTAAATGATGCTAAAAAAACACTCTGATATTTCTTTCAGCTGCTGGAAATATGGAAAGTAAAACAGATATAATATATGATGATGAGGAAGAGGGTGAGGTGGTTAATTGGAAAGTCACCGATGGTGCTTACGTATCTGCTGATGCTGTTCTTCTCATCTACGATAGTAAAAGTGGTGAGAAAAAATCGTTAAAAGCTTCTGTATCCGGTGTTGTTAGCATTGATACTACCATTAAAAAAGGGAATGTAAGTATGTTTGGTGCTGATGTTTGTTTACAACTTCCTATTTACATATATTAAATGTTTCACTCGTTAAAAGTGCATATGTAAAAATCACTTAGTATCCACCAAATGTGTAATTTTTAATTCCTTTGTTTGTATTTAGAGATAGTTGTATGACGGTTAAGTTTCCCCTCTTATTTTAATCGAATTTTAATTGCATCATTTGATAAAAAAAAATAGTAAAAACGATGAAGTCAGTAGCTTATTCGATATTTTAGTACTCCATTCATGGTATTAGAATATATTTTTCTCTTAAGTTGAGCAAAATAGTAAGTTCATTCCTCATAATTTGGTAATTAGACATCTAAAACTTGATGCATTATCCGCAATTATTGATACACTTGATTTGATTAAGTCCAAACTTCAGTTTTATCGAATTTCTCTTTTTGCAGAAATTAAAAAAAGGTATGACTGTTGCCAGTCTACGAGCCTGTAGTCATGCAATTGTTATCAAAGATATGTGCGCATCGTGCGGCAAAGATTTAAGAGGGTTGGTTGTATTTGTATCAGTTAACAATTCTTTTTACTAAAAAAAAAAATCAACAAAACTCTGTTAAAATGTTCCTTCAAAAAAAAAGATTTTCTTAATATAATGTTGCTAATTTTATGTAATAAATATATATATATATTATTTGTTGAAGATATATTTGTTGATAAAATGTGAGATTTAAAAGGCATTTTTATAGTAAGCCAGGAACATCTGGAGATTTAGCGGAAGCCAGTACTGCAAACGTATCGATGATACATCATGTTCCTGAACTGATCGTTTCTGATGAGGTTCATTCTAAATCCTATTAAAAAAATAATCATTCTAAGTTAAGGTGTGTTCTAAATGTTTTAATTTGGCATTAAATGTTAAATGTTATACGTAATCATGATTTTAGCTGGCTCGAAAGATAGGCAATCGAGATCGTGAACTGCTCTTAAAAGCACACAAATTGGTGTTGTTGGTTGATTTAGACCAAACACTTATACATACAACCAATCATACTTTTAACTTGGAAAACGATACGGTAATCATTGTAAAACTAGCCTTTGAAGATATGTTATAATGGTTTTTAATTTAACGTTTTTTTTTTTTTTTTTTTTTTTTCTGTCATGTAGCAAATTGGATTTCAAATTAATTACTAAACAGGAAATTTGATTTCAGCATCTAATCGAATATCCATTTGTACTTACTAATATGTATGTTACGTTATTATTAAGCATGAATACTTTTCACTAGTTTTTTTCTTCAGGATGTTTTGCATTATAAACTAAAAGGGACTGATTTTTACACTAAAATTCGTCCACATGCACACGAATTTTTGCGACGTATGGCTAGCCTCTATGAAATGCATATAATCAGTTACGGCGAAAGACAATACGCACATCGTATCGCGGAATTTTTAGATCCTGAGAAGATATATTTTGGCCACAGTTAGTTATTTGTACTTTTATTATTTCAGATAGCAAAACTATATGTGGATCGCGTGAATTACTTGATTTACTTAACAGCTCTCAAATTAATTTAAAAGTGTTTAAGAAATTTAAAATGATCTGTTAATGCTTAGTGCTTCTTCTCTCTAATGCACTCTGTCAGTTATAGCTGGAAGAAAGCAAAGGCTTTTCAGTACTAACACAGCTCATTTTAATGTCAAATTAGATTTTATACCTAAATCATTTTTTTTTTTCTTTTGCCAAATAAACATTATCATCTTTTTTGTCGAAAGATTTATTTGGTACTTATGTAGTTATGATTGTTTCTTAGCTCTGCCGTGTTTGAAAAGATTCAGAAATCCCACATACCAAAAAATGTGATTAGAAATTTACTGAACAGTTAGTTTTAAAAAATATTTAAGGGATATTGTCACGCGATGAATTATTTTCTGCAATGTATAAAACACGAAATATGCAAGCGTTATTTCCATGTGGTGATCATATGATTGTAATGATTGATGACAGGCCTGATGTTTGGCAATACTCAGATGCTCTTATTCAGGTGATTAAGAATTTGATAAACTTTGTGATGAGAAACTTATCATAGTCATATCGATGTTATGGATGCATTTGTTAAAATTTGTATAGTTCAGATTTATTTTATAGGTTAAACCATATCGATTCTTTAAAGAAATTGGTGACATTAATGCTCCAAGAAACGAGAAAGGTGAACCAATTCTTTCTGGCAGTTACGCAGAACAAGATATGGAATCAGAAGATGATGAAACACTGGAATATATTGCTCTTGTCCTGACCAAAGTACATAGTGCTTTTTATGAGCTCTTTGACAGTGCAAAAGTAAACCGTTTTCCGGTATGTTCAACAATTTTCTGTATTTGTTTTCCATATATATCTTTTTTTGATTAGTTTTATTAACATATTCCATTTATATGCGACATAAAACAACATTTAATGAAATAAAAAACATTAAAGCGCTAGAAATTCTAGTTTTGTTGTAATATAATGTGCTATGTGAGTTTTTGTAACATCGCATTTTGATAGAATAATATTGAAAATTAGTGATATTCATTATTAAATAAGTTATATAAAAATTGTTCACAACAATAGTTTCTGTAGTTCACCTTATAAACACCTTCTCTTCAATGTTCCCTTGGATATTTGTAATATGAAATTTGGTATTTAAGGACTTGAAAGGAATAATATCATATCTTCGAAAACAAGTGTTACGTGAATGCTCGATAGTACTCAGTGGCATTGTACCCGTTGGTGTTGATATTAAGAAAACAGAAGTGTATCGTTTATGTGTGCAGTTCGGTGCAGTTGTTACTGACAACGTGAATAATTCCACAACTCACGTGATCGCGGCACGATGGGGCACAACGTTAGTGCAATTTCTAGCTTAATTCAATATTTGTTTGTTCTTGTTCTTTCTTGAATGAATATTAACATGTATTAACATGTGAATAATCAAACTTTCAAATCACAGATTGAAAAAAACTTTTTTAATAGTGGTTTGCAACTTTGTACTATAGTAGATATCGTTCCAAAAAAAAAGCCCAGTTGTAAAATAGGAACACTTAGCATAATATTTCGATTCATTATCATGTTTACTTTCCAAAAAGTTACCATGATTAGTTCCCACCAAAAAAGAATTCAGTTAGCAGTATTTCGTAGACCTTTGTGAATTGTTTGCGAATTTTCAGATTTTATTTTTTGACTCATTAAATTTTTCAAAATGCCATTATTTATAAAACATTCTGATTTTTTTAGGAAAGTTCATGAAGCAGAAAAACTATCAAATATACACATAGTGAATCCCAAATGGTTATTTACCTGCGTCGAAAGATGGGAAAAGGTATCGTCCATTATCACTTAATTTATTAACTAGCAAACTGATATTTAATTGCAGTTATCATTTCAAGACACATTCAGTAAAACGTTTTGATTACTGGTAACTTTGTTACAGCTGTTGATTATAACGAATAATTTTGTTTTCTTTTTATCAGTTATCATTTTTTTTTTTTTATAGATTGAAAAAAAGATTGAATTCCTTCTATTTAAGGCTTAATTTCTGTATGTATTTTTAGGCGGATGAAAAAGAATTTGAATTATTGAAAGATGAAGCACGAAGCACGGAAAAACTTCAAGGTGGCATTATCGTCGTTGATGAAATCTCAAGATTGCCAACACTTGGTAAAGAAACTTTGTCGCTTATGACTGGCGAAGTAAATTTTTGTTTCAATCGTTTTTTTTTTTTTTTGAAATGACATAAATTTCAATGATTTAAGACCTCTTTTTTTTATTTAATATATTAATAAATGTTTACCTGATATTTCAGGTTGATGAAGCATTATCAGAGGATGTATCCGATAATGATGATGAAAATCTAGAAGAAAAATCAATGAAAACTTTATCCTCAAAAGAAGAAAGTTCTGTGAAACGAAGATCAGAAGAGAACGAGGAGGAAGATAGTGCTTCATCCGCTAAGAAACAAGCTTTAGAAAATGTGGAAGAGAATGAATCTGAGAAATCATCGTGCTCTGTTGAATCAGAATCAGGTGATGACGATATGGCAGCTGATGTTGAACGGCAATTTTTTGCAATGTAACGATTTCACTCTTCTCGTTGTTTTAGGTCTTCCATTTGTTTCTCTGTTTTTTTTTTTTTTTTTTTTTTATATGTATTCTTTTGTTTTATACTACCTCAGGGCATTTAATTGCTATTATTATTTTCCCAGCGATTGTCTTCTGATCAGTTTAATCATTCATAAATTTGTACTATTATTTATAATTTCTTTAACTACGTTGGAGTTTATATTAGATTTTGAATAAGAAAATCTTTTTAATGAATAGAATGAAATTATATGTTATACTCCAACAACAAATTACTCGAATTTTTTGTTATTTCAGGCCTTCTTCATTGAAAATATTCCTTTTTATTGCTAGCATTTTTTGTATATTATTCTACTGTGTTGCATTTTTCAATATGCTCCTCATGATATCATAATTAAATTTGTTTTTTTTTTTTTTTTTTTTGTTTTTGATTATATTGTTTTGAATCTTTCTATCATTTATTGTTTATTTCTTTATCAGGGTTTTTTTTTTTTTTTTTTATTATTATGAATTTGGTTTGCATACCATGAAATTTATTTCAGTTTATGGAAATTATAATTTTTCGCAGATTGTGCTTTGTTACTGGACGGATTTGACCTTTCTTTGTTAAAGATCTCAATTATTTCTATTAAATATAATCGAATTCTTTATGTCAATTATTTCCACTGAATATGGTCAAAAAGAGAAGATAAAAAAAAAAAGAAAGAATCAAAAGTATAAAAAAGAAAACAAGAATTGGGAGAGATAAATGCGTTTAGTTGCTAATAATCTTTTGTTTTATAAATTTGAACAATGATATTCTGTCGTATTTTAAAAAGCATTTCTTTTCAGTCTTTGTGATCATCATCCATTCAATCTTCCAGCATGAAGCGATTTTCATCTACGGGTTTTTGCTATTATTTGTACATAAGTAAAATGATTTATTCAACGAAACAATTTGCTTATAATATCGATTTTATTCAATTCTACAACTTATTTCTTATCCTTTTTTCTTTTTTCTTCATTTGAAAAATATATGATATAATTTGAAGTGCTGGATAACATATTATTATATTTTACTTTATTGTATAATTTTGATCTGAGCATATTGAGTTTTTTTTTTTTTTCTCTCTCTTATCTATTGATTAAAAATCTAAATTCAATAGGAGTTGATATTTCAATTTATTAACAATGATGAATAAGTTAGAATGATTTTTTCTATATGAATGAATTAAGTGAGTGTTGTTTTCTGTTTAGTACGAGAATGTATAAGTATAGTGGATAATGATGGTACTGATTATCATAAAATATGAAAAGAAAAAAAAAAAAAAAAAAAAAAAAAAAAAGAAAGAAAGGCATATTCTTGGAAGAATGGCATCATTTGTCCTATTTTATAGTTATTTTTAAAATTTTCTCATCCGTATTTTCAGTCAGTTTTGCAATTATTATTTATCCTTCTTATCCTTAGTTAATGGTTACTACTTAAATTAAAATATCTGTATACGAACTGAGAATTATATTGTTGAAATATTGATTTTAAATTTGAATTGTTTAAAAAGGTAGGACTAAAGTAGGAAAGAAATGAAATTTAGGAAATTTTGGGTTGGTATTTAATATTGCAGCATGATTGTATGATTTAAATCTCATAAAGGGTTAAGTAATAACATGTAAAGTTTGGAGAAAATGAGCTGATCAGTTTTGGTTTTAAAAAAAATTAGTTTGACCTAGGAAGAATTTAAATGTGTAAGGAAAAAAATTTAAAGAATTTAAATTCATCATTTTATGAAATAGCAGTAGCATTAATAGTGCCGAAAGTTCATTGATATCGTCTCGAAATGAAGTTAAAATTATTTCTTAAATTATATGTACATAATGAATCATTGAAATTTTAATCTAAGAAATCTCTGAGACACAAAATTTGTAGGTTTTGAGAGAATCGATATGACTTCCCTTTTATGTCTTTTTTCTTTGAGAGAGAGAATCGATATGAACTTTTATGTTTTTTCTTTGATTGAAGATAAATTTAGAAAATGCTCAGACATCTTTATTGATTGTTTTAATAATTAATGAGAATAAATTAAAAATCTGAATTATTTGATAGGGAGTAGATTTATAGATAATAACAATGAAATTAGATAAGATTAAATGTGAAGTTTGAGTGGTAATTCTCGAATGAATAAAATAAGAAATTGGATTTACGACGATTAAACAATTTGCGAAACAAAATTGCAACCTTCCCGTTATTTCATTATCAACAATATTTATAACAGTGATACGCCGAATGTCTTTTAGACGACCGATCGAGAGTGAAACAGAGAGTTGTGAAAAGGAATGAAATTGTCCTTCCAATTGCTTTGATATTTTTATTCAATTCTCAATATCAAATTACAGCTTTATTTATTTGTCTGATAGAGTGAAATTTCATTTATATGGGATTGATTGATTCATTCATGTGGGATTGATTGATTCATTCATATAGGATTGATTGATTCATTCATGTGGGATTGATTGATTCATTCGTATGGGATTGATTGATTGATTGATTGATTTATTCATTCATTCATTTATTGGTTGCAATTTTTCATTGTTCTATTTTGTTCTCATCTGCTATTCTTGTGCTACTATTTAAAATGAATTAAATGAAGTTCTTTGTCAAATTAGGAATATTTTAGATCATATTAGAGAAATACATATATTTGTATGTGGTATTTTTCTAGAAGTTATTATTGCTAGTTTTATTGATAGTAGTAGTAGTTGTAGTATTGATTGTGATGACTCATCATCATAGATAATATTATTACCTTGTTGAATAGATTTGTCTAAAATTTTATGCAAATTTTACACAGATAACTGAAAAATTTTTTGCATATTTAAGTGATTTGTAGCTTTTATTTTATGATGATAAGATAAGCAAAATATATGGAAGTTATTGATATTGTTAAGAATGAAGAATGTACTGTTCAGTCTTTTCTAGTGATTATGAATGGATAGGAGATGTTGATGGTATAAAATTGATGAATTTAGAAAGAGAGTTATTTGTTTTTATTAATGATAGGAATTAAAATTAAGAAATGTTATTTGAGAGAATGTATATCATTGATGAAATTAATTAAGAACAGTTAGTATTAAATAATCAGTTGTCCACTACTATTATAGACATTATTTCACTTAAAATTTCATTGCTGTAGTGGTTTTTCTTTGTTTCTTTTTTTTTTTTGTTGTTGTCTTTTTTGCCTTTCCCCAAAATTGTAGTGATATGTTTGAAAATTTTATTAAAGAAGCAAAATGACTTAACACATGAATTTGTAAAGGTATCTCTCTCTCTCTCTCTCTCTCTCTCTCTCTCTCTTTCTCTCTCTCTCTCTCTCTCTCTCTCTCTCTCTCTGTAAACAGAAGGATGATGATTGAGAGAAAATAACACAAAATGTTAATGAAAGATTTATTTTTCCTTCATAAGAATAAAATGAAAAAAATTCATTTCTCTATCACTCCATTCATTGCATATTCTATAAGAAAAAAGGGACAATTTATTATTTTGTCATATGACTATTTCCTCTAAAATTTACTCTTTTTTTTCCCCATTTTTTATTATATACCGAACTGATAATGCAATAACTGTGATTTGTTATCTTTTCATCTCAATTGATACTTGTTGAAATACATAATTGTCATTTTAATACTTGGGAAAAGTAGGAATAAAGGAAAGGTAAAATAAACTGATTCATGTCTAATTGTTATATCTAAGTAAAGTATATATTTATTTATGTTTAACAATTTATTCAATACCACTTTTTTTTCTTTGTAATATAATTTATTGGCTTTTTTTTTTTTTTTTTTTTTGTAATTTCTGAAATAATATTCCTAAAGTCTTTTTTTTTTTTATATTTTATGAATTGTTCTCTTTTGAACATTTGTTTTTAACAGTCAGTTGGCATACCTTCGTACTAGCAGTAATTTTGCGCAAGAATTAATGAAGTAAGTCGATTAAGTAATAAGTCTACTAATGGAATTATTGAAATAATGTGTAAAAGTAATAATATTCTATAATTTAATTATTACTTTATGACATATATTTGAGAGAATGATCTATAATATATAATGTAAGAAGGAAGTATATTGTAGAATGGTGTGATATGAAGTAGTGTTACTAGAATTAAATCGATATTACTAATATGGAGTAATACTTAACATTCCGCGATAAATTGAGGTCATAATCTTCATGAAACTATATATTATCTTCATGGCGCTTTTTTTTTTTAAAGTATATTTTTATTCTTTTAATTTATCTGTTTAAATTATCATTTAAATCAGTTTGATAGGGAAGAAATTGTGACAAGTACTGTTTGATTGTTTTTATTCTGTATATTATTTTCGAAATTATGCATTTTGCTTTTTGAATTTTGTTTTCATTTGTACTTTTCTTTTCAGGTAACGGACGATGAATTCAGATAGTGTTGAAGGTAGCACGTTAGTGTCAACAATTGCAAGTAATATCCAACGATTAAGCCAATACGGTTTGACTTTTTTTTCCGTCTTTGAATTCTTTTCTACTAAAATCATCATCTTAGAATAATTCTTAATATTAATTATATGCTATTATGTTTTTTGCTTAACATGAAATTTGCTTTTATTTCGTGCATTATTCATTTCCTGTCATCCTCGAAATTCAGAAATCTCGAGGTGTTTCATTCTTTAATTTGTTGTTGTTAATGTAACAATTTAAGACAACCTTACCTATGTAATGTTACAGGTAATGAGATAAAAGACCGAACATGTTTATTTCTTAAAGCTCATAATAAAAATCTTCTTTCGATTATTTTTTATAAATTGGACAAGTGGTAAATTAATTTAAGAAAGAGATCTGAGTTTAAGATTAATGTAATTTTAAGAAATCGTGAATAATCAAATTTTAGTGCAACAATTGGAAGTGTTAGGTGGAAAAATAGGTAGCAGGGATGATGGTGAACATTTACGTGATCAGGTAGCAGAAGTAACATCATCAGCTAATGTATTAAGTAAAGAAACGAATACTTTAATGAAACGCTTGGTGGAATTATCGAACGATCAGGTTTCATCTATGATTGATTTTATAATTTTAAAATGCAAATACGTGCTGTACTGATAAAATAAATTATTATGCATTTAAGTTTCTTCTTAACATTTATTTATCCAATATAATACTATGTCATTTTTTAGAGGTATGCATCGACAATGAAAGTGCATCGTGAACGACTCATGGGTGATTTAATTGGTGTTTTAAATCGTTTACAAGTGGCACAAAGGAATGCAATTGCGAAAGAAAAGGAATCAATGAAAGCAGTAGCTGCTCAGGATCAGCAAGTTAGCCATCAGGTAACTTAACTTCTAGTTTTAAGATTGGAATATTATATTTTAAGCAATGATAACCTATGATACATACGAAGCAAGAAGGAAAGAGAGAAAACATTCATTTTGCTTCAAGGAAACTAAGATGTTCAAATAGATATAAATTCAAAATTTACAAATCATGAAATTAATTTCAAAGATTGGATCCTTCTAGTTCGGTAGTCATTTTCTCCCATCCATATAAACATTGATTTTTCAGCATAAATTACAAGTCCATAAGAAAATTTTTTTGTTTGTTTGTTTTTTTTTTTTTTTTTTTTAAAGAATGTCATTGTTGACCGTTTGTTATTTTTATTATAGATAGAACAAGTAAACGATAATGGGCAACAGGAACGAAAGCAACTCCAGATTCAACACCAGCAGCATCTGACGGAAATTCGAGAAAGGAGTGAGGTCACTTTTACAGCTTGTTTCTTTTATGTTATAATCTAACTCTCTATATGCTAATAGGTGATTAATTTAAACAGAATTTATTAGCATTGTTTTTTACAACTATAAATTGCTTAATGATTGTGAAGAAAGCCTTATGGGCATTTGCTTTGAACGAGTCATGATCCATTTTATTTCTCTGATAAATTTGCAGATGAAGTAGGAGACATGTATATTGTGTCCGATGTCGCACAACTTAAGTCAATTTTATTACTTTATATTTATTGCTAGTTTTTGATTGTTTGAAATCCAATGATGAATAGTTTTTATAACTTTAAGGAATAGTTGTTTATTATAACTTTCTCCAAATTAATTTCAGATCAATTCCTTTAAACTCGAAAATTCTCCTACTTACACAATCGAAATTTTTGTAATTTGCTACATAAATATTTTTGTCCCAATGTTTTTGTAAAAAGAAAAATATGCAAATAATTTATTTGTAGAAATAAGGGAGCAATATTAGAATTAGTAACTTGTCTATGATTTATATATTCAGGCGATGAGACAGCTTGATCAGGATATCAGTGACGTGACACAGGTAATGAAAGATTTAGCGAGAATTGTGCATGATCAAGGTGAAATTATGGATAGTATTGAAGCAAATGTGGAACATGCATCTATGCAAGTGCAACAGGTATAGTAGTTTTATTGTTTAAAATGTTAAATATTTTAATACTTTAATGTTGGACGACTTCAAAATATTATTCTTGTTATGTTTTAAATTTAAGATATATTTCGTTACTTTTTTCTTTTTCATTTGAAGAAATGAAAGGAAAAAGAAAAAATTATTTTCAGGGTGCAACAGCAGTACAACGAGCTGTTATATACCAACAAAGGGCACGACAAAAGAAATTTTTTTTAATTATATTTTTCTTTACTCTCATTCTCATTCTCATTCTCATTGCATACTTCTTCACCAAATAACGTAAATAAATCATTTTTGTCTAACTTGTCATAAAAAAATTGCACAGATGAATATGATATTGAATTTGCTGAGGTATGAATTTATGCATAATTTTGTTAATTAATGGCTTTCGTTCGCTTATTCCATTTATCGATTTTGTATTTTATGTGTAATTACAAATTAGGAAGAGATTTTTCATTAGCATTATTTGAAGCAAAAAAATAATTTGTAGTAGAATAATATTTATAGGTAGCAAAATTAATCCTTCAAAAACTTCACTCCAATACTATGTTAATCTCAGATTTAATTTTAGTTAAGCTATGTTCTTTTTTTCTTTTTTTTGCATTCTTTGCATTTAATCTTCGTGCTTCATGAATAATAAAAATAACTGCGAGCTGCTTTAACTGTAATTTCCTTGAAAGTGGCAAAATGAATATTAAAGCTGTGTAAGTCAATTAATGATAGGCAATCATGCTATCTCGTTAGTGCGATTATAATTTTTTTTTTTTTGATAATTTCTTTCACTTTATTATCAGATTCCCGCTTTTTTTTCCTACAGGAATTGCAGGTTGCATGCCATTTTCGGTATCATTAGAAAGAGATTGGAAGGATTGCTTTAGCTATTTCATATAATGATATCTCCTCTTATCACATATCATATCATATGTGATTGTGGTGTTTCTGTTTAGCTTTTGCATCTTCTTAAACATTTGAAAGTGACAAATGGTTCTCTTTTATTTCTGGGTATTCGTTGATCTAATTTGCATGAAATTTACACAATTTATGGATTTTCCTGGTGTATGTGTATGTTTTATCATTAATTTTGCTTACTTATGTATATATGGATTTTTTCAAGAAAAAAAATTCCGTTTATTTTTTTCTTTTATCTCAACAAGAAAAGCTAACAACAGTGGTAGAATGAACTCAACTGAAATTAACAGTAAATATAACGTTGAACGAGAAGCACTGCAATCATCGAGAATTACTACCAACTGTGGAATTGTAAATATTTTGCAAAAAAAAAAAAAACAGAATTAGGAACAAGAAGAAAACAAACAACGCATATGTAACTTTCAGCTGCATACAATGGGACATGAATTTGTAAAGCAAGAAGTATGAGCAAAGATTCTTAGTGAATTTTACAAAGCAATGCAGAAACATATAATTATAATTTGACGGTTAAGTCAAAGATCCCACTTTAACTTAACTTAAGACATTAGTAATTTAAGTCCTGTTTATTATAAAAGATCTTAAAAAGTTTGGTAAACTTTTCAAATAGAACTACATACATTAAAACAATTCACGAAAAATCGTAACCTTAAAACGACTGCAAAGACTAGCATGACGAACTCCTGTCCCAAACTGTAATACTGAATAAAACAATAACAACAAAAAAGCGTCATCAACAAAAATCCTAAAAAATTCAATTTCTGTGAGTTTATTCAATTTATATAAAGTGCAAAATAAGCAAATATGACACGGAGAAACGGACCTGATGATATGACAAAAGAGCACATGAAATTTTTGCAAAAATTACAAATATTTCATGAGGATGACGAAATAGTGTGTAATGATGTTATCACTCTACTCTGTTCACTATGAGATATTCCAGATTAGTACACGGTGTAGTATACTAAAACCTTTTAAACTATAATTTCTCAAACTGATAATTATACATTAATTTCATAGCAATATTGAAAACATATGGAAAAGTGCAAACACTAACATATAAACCAAATATCAATCAAAATTAGAAAACTGAACTAACTTCAACAACTTTGAAAAAAATAAAAATTCTAACTATGCAAATCGTGGTGTATGCATAGCACATGCCTCCCAAAGTTTTTTTTCTGTCTCTTGGTCCAGAATACTGGGCACCTGTTTTGTTAGTGCTAAGAGCGGTGCTAATAAACTGAACAGTGTGTCCATTAACAAATCCAACGAACCATCCACAGTACCCGGTTCATCAGTTCTACATTTAAATTAAAACAGATGTTAAATTATTACATTTTAATAAATCATCTCTTACTCGCCAGAAGCAGTTAAAAAATACTTAAGCACTCATCCAAAATACAACATTGTAGAAATCTTTGATAAAAACTGAAATACTAGAATCCAAATTCTATCATACTCCTGATGTTATATTGATGAGTAATAAAATACCGTGTACTAGCGGCTGAGGTCATTGACTTCGATACTGTAATGCATACAGCGGCTGCAGCTAATGGATCACTCGGGAGTTCTCTCTCTGGAGACAGTCCACTTTCTCTTTTTTCATTTGTCCACCATCTTACACGCCGTTCCATACAACTCCTCAATTGCATAACCCCAGATGATCGAGTTCGATTACCTAAATTAAAATTTTCAATTTAGAAACATAAACTAAACTAAGAAATCAAGGTTTTGAAAAACTTTAATTGTATTTGTAACTAATCATGGTGCCTCTTCCATGAAGCGAAAACATCTCACTGTTGAAATAGAAGAACCGACCTAACATCAGTGTACATACCTGACTGCCTTGCATTTTTTCTCGCAGTTTTTCTAACTGATTCACTCTGAAAATAATGAAGCATATGAGAGAGACCTATAAGAAACGAAATCTTGCGATAAAGAAAGAAAAGTTTATTCACTACATTTATCAAGTTTTGTAGATTAAGTAGGCTAAAATATGGAAGATAAATTGAACTGCCTCAAAACAACCTGTTCACCCTCAGTTTCACTAACTGATGGCGATTTCCTCCGAATTTTGATAAGATCTTTCCATCTTCCTTTTTTGCCCAAATCCTAAAAATAAATAATAGGTTATTTACATTACCTATAACAAAAGAAACCAATTTAAAATTACTAAATTTAATACCTTAGGTATCTCCTCATGACTTCTGACCCAACCGTACCATTTTCGGCATTTTTTATCGACGCAACGCCATCTAAAAAAATAAGATTTGAGGAATGATGGAATTAACAAGTTATTTAGGGGTAAAAATTAACACGCCATTTACAGGCCACAATTTTTTCTATTTATTTATTCAAAAAATTTTTCTATTCATTAGAAGCAAAATACAGAGCACTTCAAATCTACAATTTGAGAGAAATGATTGTATAAAACAGAGAATTTTTTAAAAAGCTATTATGCAAAAAATACCTGTGTCTATTACCACCGCACATCTGTGGCCGTACTTGTCCGTTGCAGTGAAAACAGTGCCTACAACCATCTTCCGCTACTAACGGTGTTTTTTCCACTTTGCTAAAAGAAAAAAGAGAGCAAAATGAAGAAATCATTTACTGAAATTAGTGAACTCAAACAACACTTTCGCCAATTTTTTTATTTACAAGATAATAACAAAAGAAAGAAGTCATTTTGAAATTTTATTAAGTCTTATATATCATCACCTCAGTCAATCATTAAATTCGCAAATGAAAAATCAAAAAAACCATTAAATTTTTGGAAACTTAGCATAATAAAAAATTCATTGTGAGAAAATTTCGAGTTATGTATAAATAACCTAAAAGAAAACTTACTAAAATTTGGGACGTCCGTTCCCAGTTCTCCTGGACGGAATATTTTGACTATTTGGAAGTGATCCACTTTGATTCGGAGAAAGTGAAGATTGTAATGAAGCTGGATCTTTCTGCTCGGTATATTGAGAATATCCTTGAACTTGACCGGGTTCATTTTCAACTTTTGTTATAGCTGGCAGTGATGTTTGTGCAAAAATATTAGAAAATGAATCTGGTGGTAAGCAATCAGGTATAATATTTGACATGATCGGATCATGAATACTGTCTAAAGTGCCATCATTTAGTTTGCTTGGAGAAACATTCAATGTTACAAGATCCGTTTTAACATCATCAGGATCTTCTTTCTGAAAAAAAAAATATATATATATATGTATATATATTATTATTATTATTATTATTAATTTCATCTACAGAAGTGGATGTATTGCAACAAGTAAAAATATAATCATGAGAATCAGAAAGAAATTTTGATAAAGAATGCATGCATTAAGATTTATATGAAGATTGAAAATTTTTTAATTTTGGGAAGCTTGACGGAATAAAAAAAGGCACTTACCACAAAACTAGGCAACTGGTTATTTATTTCAGAAATTGATGGTTCATGAACTTCGTTCCATTTCAGGCAATTCACATTTGCACACCTAGAGAATTAGTTGACTATCACAGCTCTGAACTTTTAATCAGATAGTTTGTAGGATTTTTAATTGAGTAAATGCACAAACCTCCATTTAATACCATACAGGACGCAATAGTAACCACAACTTGAGCAATTTTTCTGGAGAGAATTTTGGTGATGAAAGTTGAAGTTCTGCTCATCAAAACCTGCTAATGGACGATCATCAGATGCGCCCAGAATATCATTAAATGACAATGACGATAGTGGATCTGTAGGGCTGAAGAGTGGCGAAGAACCAAACAAATCATCGAAACCGTCTGACATACCCGAACACAATCTGAAAAATCCGAAAAATTTTTCACAGTGAATGAAAGAGAAGAAACAAAAAGTATAAGAATGAAATATATGATCCTTGCAAACTAAATTTTCATAAGAAATACAAAGCAGATAAAAAAGTGCGATATTAGAAAAATGAACGCTTAATTCAAAAAAATGCTATCATGAATATGACAGCATTATGGATTGATTTAAATGAACCTTGTACGCCCTGAAGATAAGCTGTTGAAGCGTTCACGTAGCTTTTCAGATGATAAATCACCAATAACAGACTTGGGACATTTGAGGTTACTTTTCACTGATGGTCTTGAAATTTCATCAATGTCTGTACCAATTCGATCCAATAGGAAATTACAAGTACCTTCATTTAAAATCGGTAGCATAGGATCCTAGAAAGGAAATATTACCCAACAATAATGAAGATGAAATTTAATTCATCCTTATTTCAAATTAATTTAATATTCTAGAACATGTGATTTATTAAGCAAGAGGAAAAAATTTACTTCGCCCAAATCTATATCAAATGATTGCGAGAATGAATTTGTTTTATTACGACTTGAGATAGACGTGAAGCTTCCCAGACGCCTCCGTTCACTTCTTATTTCGGTGTTATCTTTAACTGAAAAGAAATAAGTCATTACTGTAGTTTTCTAATATAATTCAATAGTTCAGAGTGTAATTGATCTCAGTGCTTTATAAATGCCATTCACAGAAAAATACTTGGTGAAAGAGACGGCGTTCGCATTCTGGTTGGAAGAGGTGAAGATGTGGTTGGACTTGATAAAAGATTTTCCAATAAACTATCACTGGTATCAGATCGACTCGATTTTCTTCGAGATCTGTTCCCGCTAATAACTCTATCTCCTAAAAAATATTCTAGATTCTTCACTCTCTAACAATTAAAATTATCATCCTATCGTTGCAAAATTACCACATTTTAAAACGTCTCAAACATAGTCCAAGCATGGCTCTCCGCTAAAGTTTTGCGACACAGATCCAAATGTTCTCAAATTTCTACAAATTAAGACATCTATTAACACTGCATATAACAAAAGATAACAAAGTGAAATTTAAAATAGAAATCTATTGTCAAACAAAAAAAAAAAAAAAGGTGCGAAACCTGATAAAAAATTAGCGTTACATGATCCTGGAGATGATTTTTCGACAACACCTGATAAACACAATTCAGTTTTTGATGCTGTCAAACTGGGTTCCATGCAACCAGCAGCTTCACGTGCTTCTTGCAAAGCTTCAGTAAAACCCTTGAAAATAACACCACTAATGCCACAAACTTTTTTTTTTTTTAAAAAAAAAAAGAAAGTTCTAGGTTGAATAATTACAGACATATAAATCAAAAAGAGCATAAATCTGAAGAATTACCTTAATCTTTCGCTGTACTTCATATTCATTACGATAAGTATAATAGTCAAACAAATCACTCTTTTTCATTATTGCTGTTTCATGTGTACCATAAAACAGTACTGAGTAACGACCAGCGGGTATACCTTCCATTTTCTCCGACGATTGCATTATCTGTAACAAACACTCGTTTACGACTAACTAATCCCTACCGTCTTAAAGCAATCACTAAAACTATGGTGTTTTGGATAAAATTAATCAAATATTATTGATTTAAGGTTTCGGATAAAATTAATTAAATATTATTAATCCGAATGCAGAAACTTACCATTGCTGGCCATGGTGGAAACCCTTTCATTTTAGCCCAAACAACGGCACCTGATTTAAAATCTTTATCCATTAGCGCCTGAAAAAAGAAAAGTAAAGGAAGAAACAAAAATCACTGAACACGAGTGAATATATTAATTTAATAACATTACAAACTAAAAATATGCCTCTGATGTAAATATGAAAATCACGTGTGTGTGTGTGTGTGTGTGTGTGTGTGTGTGTGTGTGTGTGTGTGTGTGTGTGTGTGTGCACAGAGATAAGTTTAAAATTTCAAGTTTAAAATTTCTATGGAATATATACAAATAACACTGAAGTAACATTTGTCTGCAAAAACACAGATCGTACAAATATTAATTCACATCGATATAAATACAAATATTACAATAAGTTACATTAAGTATATTTCAAATAAATGGCACAAAATGTACGAAATTAGCAACTGATAGTAAAAGAGAAGAAATTTGAGCTTTAGCGCATAAAACGAACGCAAAGACACGTAACCATTCGTTGTCTCATCGCTCCCATTTACCCAGCCATCCGCTTGCCCGCCCGCCCGCCTATCAGTGACCCTCCCACGCGAATTCCAGAAGATCGTCGTCTAGACATTTGCAAATGCACGTGAATCGCTTGGCATACTGCCATCAGGCGGTAATTTGAATTGTGGGAATTAATATGACTACGTGATACTACGTCATACGTCGAGATTACGTCATTGTTTCACGTCTTTTATCGTTAATTGCATCAATTATAGCTTTAGTTGAAGTGTTAATGAGTTATTTATGAGAAAAAAATAGTGAAATTTTAATCATTTCTGATTAAAATATTCTTAAATCGAATATATTTAATTATTAATCGAAATTGGAATAATTTCAAATGGAATGCTTGTAGTGATAAAAGAAAATGAATGAAAGTGTGAGAAATGAATTATTATTGTCGCTAAATTCATTTCATTTCATTTATTTATTTTTTTTTTTAATTGGGTAAGAAAAGATAAGAAATGAAAATGTGTGAGAGAAAAAAAGAAAGAAAAAGCGGTAAAGATGAAAATGTTTGAACCTTTTTTCTTTTTTTTTTTTTTGCTTTTACTCATTTATTAACATTTCATTATTAATTAACATCAAAAAAACAAAATTTATACATTTTTTATACGTCAATTTTAAACATCAAATTTAATTTAATTTAATTTAAGTTATACATCAATTATGAAAAATCAATTTAATTTAAGTTATACATCAATTATGAAAAATCAATTTAATTAATTAATTTAATTTAAGTTATACATCAATTTTAAACATCAAATTTAATTTAAGTTATACATCAATTATGAAAAATCAATTTAATTAATTAATTTTTTTTTTTGCATTTATTTCAATTATTTATTACTTCTAATAACAATGCTCGTAATAATCGAGCCTCATAAGTTACAGTATTTTTTGCATTTTCATTTTCCAATTCATTAAGTGTTAATGCATCAGCTACTATTGTTGGTATATCTTTTCCATAAACTAAAATAAATGAAATTATTTATAAAATTATTTTGATTAAATATTATTATACATTTTTGTTGTTTAGCAGAATTTAATTAAAATTTAAAGATTAAAAAAAAATTTTTTTTTTTTTGAAGATATGTTCATTTATTACAAAAAAAAATTGAACAAAATTAATATTAGAAATGATTGGTAATTTAAATCTTTTAAATTTACTTTTTTTTTTAAAAAAATTAATTGATATTGCAGTGAATTCATTATTTCATTTCATTTTTCATTTTTTTTTTTTTCAGTTTTAAGAATGAAATGAAATTTTGTTAAAAACTAACTTTCACATTGTTCAAGAAATTGAAGACATTCTTGTAGCACTGAATCTCTTATGCTAATAAGATGCTTTGCTAAATTCTCAATTAATGAAATCATACAACGTTTACAGTAAAACCATGTATCAGTGCCAAGTTTCTTATCATATGGTTCCATTGCTTTAATTACTCGTGAAATACCAAATTCATAATTACCCTAAAATATATTTTATTTAATAAAAGCACTTCTCTCTCTCTCTCTCTTTTTTTTTTTAAGTTTAACTTTTTAAAATTAATCAATAAGACATACTTTTGAACAATAAAGTGTACCAATAACAAGATTTATAATACATAAATGGAAGAATTTTGTTTTATTTAAATTTGCTGCACTTGCTTCTTCTTCATTTTCAACTTTTTTCATCAATTCTTCAGCCTTCAATAAAATAAAAATTATTTAAGATTTTTACTTCATTCTTTTTTTTTTTTTCTTTCTTTTCAATTACAAAATTCAACTTAAAAATGAAATTTAACTTTTTTTTTTAAAAAAAAAAAAAAAAGAAACAAATAATTTATGAAATTTAAATTAACCTCTTCATTTTGATTAGTCATAATGTAACAGACACTAAGATTTGCCAAAATTATCGCTGTTATACTAAGCATCTGAAAATTTGAAATGGATGAATCATTGTATATCAAATGAATCATTAATAACTATTTGAGTTTTGATTCAATCAAATATTAACGAATAAAACATACATTGTCAAAATTCTTTTTAACATTTGGCTCATAAAATCCCGCTGCTTCCTTAAATTTATTGCCCTAAAAAAAGAAAAATGATTGAATTTGACTGAATACTATTGCTAAAATTATTCAACAAAATAAATATTAAAATATTAGTGCCAAGCAATAAACAATCTTGATTAAATAGTGTTATAAAGCAATCTTGGCTTAATAATGATAATGAAGCAATCTTGGCTTAATAATGATAATGAAGCAATCTTGGCCTAATAATTATAATAAAGCAATATTGACTTAATAACGACAATGAGGCAATCTTGGCTAAATAATGATAATGAAGCAATATTGGCTTAATAATGATAATGAAGCAATCTTGGCCTAATAATTATAATAAAGCAATATTGGCTTAATAACGACAATGAGGCAATCTTGGCCAAATAATGATAATGAAGCAATATTGGCTTAATAATGATAATGAGGCAATCTTGGCCTAATAATAAAGCAATATTGGCTTAATAACGATAATGAGGCAATCTTGGCTAAATAATGATAATGAAGCAATCTTGGCCTAATAATAATAATAAAGCAATCTTGGCTTAATAATGACAATGAGGCAACTTGGCTAAATAATGATAGTAAAGCAATTCTGGCCAATACTTGATACCTGCATGAATAAAGTATGGGCAACATTTAATTTCCATATATCATTTTCACTGCAAAATTCCACTGATTTTCGAAAAATTTTTTCCACTTGCGAGTAATTATTCATATCCCAGTAAATTTTAGCTTGCGACATTAACACTGGCATATATCTGATTTTAATTTAAATTCAATTACGATTATAAAGAAGGAAATAAAAAATTGGAATTTAAAATTTAATGCAAATTCTTTTTTTTTTCCACCTTATAAATCCATCTGTAAATGAAATTATTGTAAGCTAAATAAGAATTCAAAATGATTCGTATTATTATATTTTATAATTTTATATATAATTCAATTAATAATATTTAATTTCAGTACAATACTGCAAATATAAATGTCAAAAATAATCACTTTGCAGTATAATAAATATTAAAAAAAAAGCTAAAATTTTGAAAAACAAAAAGAATTTAAATCAAATTAATCGATCACTTCGATGATTTATATCAAAAATTTCCTTCAAAATATTTCATATTTTTAGTCTTACTCATATGTCCAAATGACAAGTACTATTCATTAAATGAATAATTCCGGTAATCCGGTTTAATTATGGAATTATGAATCATTGAAAATTTACCTAGCCATTGTATCATCATATGCTTTAGCAGTTTTTTGAATAATCAATTCATCATTTCCATCACGAATTTCCTGAATTATTTTATAATTACTGTTGCTGATTAAATGAATAAAATAAAGACAAATTGTTTCCGAAATAAAATTTCATTTGTTTGTTTATTTCAAATAAAATATAATAAGATGCAAAATTTCGAACCTATTATGAAGTTAAGATATATTAGGCAGAATATTTCAATTCTAATTAAAAATTAAAATTTCATTTATTTAAAATTTTTTTTTCTTTAAATAATAAATGAATACTATAAGAATAATTATATCAATATACTATCTTTTATCAATTTTTTTTTTTTTTTTTTGTAAAGAATGAAAATCGTACATTCATACGTTTCGTCAATCTACGCAATTCATTAATTTGTTCGTTACTAATTGCTTCAAATTTGTTGTATGCATCCATTGGCGCTGTCTGTTGGGTAATTAGCGCATCAATATAATCATACAAATACTGGAAAATGTGGACAATCATTTTTGAGCAAAAACTGGAAATTAAAATAAATCATACAAATTCTAGAAAATGATGATAATAATGATAATAATGATTTGAGAAATTGAAAAAAAAAAAAAAAAAAAATGAAATTTTTGATGATAATAAAATTACTTGCGTAAGATATTTATACGTCAAATGAGCATTTTCAGCCAATACATCAGCTGCTAAATCGTAATACTGAAAATGATTAATCAGTTTTGATTAATTATATAACAAAAATTAATACCAATAAATGTTTACTTTTAAAATTTTATTTAATCGAGAAATTTTACTACCATACGTAGAAAAAATATTACCTCATATTTGCAGTAGAGAAGAAGTAAATTACTGAATGTTTCCGGTGGAAATGGATTTTGACTCAAAAGATACTGTAATTTTGCAAAACCTAAAAGTAAATTAATTATAAAATAATTTGTTTGTTAGGAAAATTTTTATTTAGCATGAAATTAAATCATGAAATTTTATGAAATAATAGCAAAAATAACTAATGAAGTGAAAATAATTGACATTTTAAAATGACAGTGAAACTAAAAGATTTACCATCGGACGGATTACTATCCATATTAATTAAAGCTTGATTATGTAAAGTGACCGGATCAAGTTCCTCTTCCAGTCTTGGTGGCATATCTGTTAATGCTTCAGAAGCTGCTGATACTATAAAAATATTCAAATTATTTGAAAAATTAAATAAACCATAATTATTGCTATAATTTAACAAATAATTTTTAATTTTCTTCAAATCATTAAAATGCAAAAATTTTGATATAATTTTTGGTACTAAAGAATTTAACAATTTTAACAAATAAAGAAATAAAATTTACAATTTTTTAGGTTATATTCAATTGCTGCTTTTAAATTACACGCTTCAACCAATGATGTCTCACGTAAAAGACGTGTATTACCAACTGAACTCACTTCCATACCTTCCGTTGCCATACCAATTGATAATTCTGCTCAATTCACTTTTTCTTTTTTTTCTTTTAATTCAATTATAAATTACAATTTATTGATTAGAATTTTTGAAATTTTTACTAATTAAGAATAAATCTTTTCTTTTCTTTTTTTTCTAAAAGTTTTCTTTTCATTTGATGAAAAAAAATTTACCTGGATGATTTTGCACACCTTGATCAATAATATCAGCAATAAATTTTAATGCCTGTGAGTAATTATGCATTTGATAATGGCATAATGCTATTGAATAAGCTAAACATGGCTGAAAAATTATTTTAAAATGATAACAAAATGATTATTTTAGAGTAATGAAATGTATAAATGGGAGTATAAATTACAAGTATAAATAATTTCAGCTAATTTAAATTTTGCTAACCTGATAACCATGAATATGTGTAGCAGTTGTAAAACGTTCAAGTGCTTTTTCATAATTTCCTTCCTGAAATATAACTGAAATATACTTTGTAAAAAAAATTTTTTTTTAACTTTTATTAATTCAAAGTATTGATTAACCTTATATTCAGAGTACTGATTAATCTTATATTCAGAGTACTGATTAACCTTATATTCAGAGTACTGATTAACCTTATATTCAGAGTACTGATTAACCTTATATTCAGAGTACTGATTAACCTTATATTCAGAGTACTGATTAACCTTATATTCAGAGTACTGATTAACCTTATATTCAGAGTACTGATTAACCTTATATTCAGAGTACTGATTAACCTTATATTCAGAGTACTGATTAACCTTATATTCAGAGTACTGATTAACCTTATATTCAGAGTACTGATTAACCTTATATTCAGAGTACTGATTAATCTTATATTCAGAGTACTGATTAACCTTATATTCAGAGTACTGATTAACCTTATATTCAGAGTACTGATTAACCTTATATTCAGAGTACTGATTAACCTTATATTCAGAGTACTGATTAACCTTATATTCAGAGTACTGATTAACCTTATATTCAGAGTACTGATTAACCTTATATTCAGAGTACTGATTAATCTTATATTCAGAGTACTGATTAACCTTATATTCAAGACATGCTAAATTGATATCACCATCTGGATCATCCATTGCATATTTTTCAACAAGCATTCGAGCATTTATTATATCTTCCTCACGATATTTAATTGCTGATTCTAATTTTAACACTTGTTGAGCAAATTGTGGCTCATCAATCTTAAAAATTATCTCATATAATTTCATGTTTTATTTCATTTTTAAAGAAAAATTCAACTTTTTAATTTTTAAATAAAAATATTAAAATTGAATTAATAATTTTTGAAAAATTAAATTTACTTGTGAAATAACAGCACTAGCTTCCGGAAACATAAAAGCATTGTAGAGTGATTGAGCCCAATAAAGTCTATATTCCGGATAGGATGAATGTAACCGGACAAGTTGCTCATAGCATTCTGCTGCTTCAATAAATTGTTGTAAATAGAAATAGCAATAGCCAAGTAATGATAATGCTGCTCTACTCTAAACATACAAATTTTGGTTATTTTAAAAATTTAATTAATGCAAAATTTTATAATTTATTCTTTTTCATTTTATTTGTTTCTTTTAATGAAAAATATAATTGCAAATATCTAACATTCATTTCCTATTTTTCCATTTTTTTGCAATTAAAATTAAAGTATACTAGTATATGGGAAACAAATGATAACCTCTCTCTCTCTCTTTGATAACTATTCTCTTTGAAAAAGGTTTTTATTAAATAGCACTTAATAAATTTGTTTACATCATTTGATCATTTGTTTACAAATCATATATAATTCATTCAGTTCACTACAAATTAACTGAAAACAAATTCTTACATAGAAAATATGTTTTTTGCAATTAAAAAAAAAAGATTATTCTCATTTGAAATTTGTTAAAAATTACATTTGGCGTTCGTTGCAATTCATACTGCAATGATCGAATTGCATTTTCATATCGACGTTCTTTAATCTACAAATTAATATAATACATTAATTAATTTTAATCATTAATTATCATTTTTATTTCATTAGCATATTTATCTCTTATTAATTCCTATACTAAATAATATTTTTATATTCATTACTTTCAGTGAATTGTTTTTTTTTTTTTTCGATTAAAAATGATAAAACTGATAAAACTAAATGATAAAACTCATTTCATTATTTTACAATTAATAACATCCATCATTCATTTCTATGTATTTTTTCTTAAAAAATAACTTCTATGATTGTAATGAAATAATTTTAGAAGTAAATTTCATTTTTATTTGCATAAAAACTTTCAATTTCATAAGTTTAGTGCTATATATTCATTTGTTGATTTCTAATTTACAAATTTTTAACAAAAATTTCAATAATTTTTAATTATTTCTAACATAAATCATCAATATATAATAAATTTTTGTTTGCTTATTTATTGAATAAACGAAATTAACATATTACGTAGTTCACGTAGCACGTATCACTTTTATCTATCTCTTTTTTTTTTCACCTTTGACTTATTTCAAAAAACAAAAAAAAAAAAAAAAAAAAAAAAAAGTAAATATATAGAAAATTAATGAAAACTTTATCATTCAAACTATTTAAATGTTAACAATTAGTTAATTACTAAAAAAAATTTAATAATTAATGAATCATATTGTCTAATTTTAGTACTTATCAATGAAATTGTGCTAATAATTAACGTAAACGAACGATTTATTTTAAATTACAAATTTAGTATATTTGCATAAAAATTATTCGAAATTGTTTTATTCTAAAAATTTTCACATTTATTTAAATTAGTAAAAAGTTAGTACTTAAAATGTTAGGAATTATAATCATTTAATTATTTATTCATTTTATTATTTTTTTTTTTTTTTTTAAATTATTAAAACAAACCATTCCATAAATTGTACTCGTAAATTCGCCATCTTTTATTGGTGCAAACGGCATTTTGATTAAAATTACATACTAATCCATAATTCTCGTTTTTCAACCTTTCCAAGTTGTAAAATGAAATTGCTATGGTAACACGTACCTATGCTTTCATTAAGATATTTAATGTAAATTCAATATGTAAGCAATTTTCTGCTATTCATATTATTTTCAAATCAATTTTCATATTCATATGTTTACATTAGTTATTTACAGGTATGTATGATTTCAAATTATGACACAGATTAAAATTTTTTGAAAAAAAAAAAAAAAGAGAAAACAAACAAACGAAAGAAAAAATTTTTCAAAATTTTGCAATAATAAAATTGATTATTTATTCCAAATATTTTTCATTTAAATCAATTCCACTAGGAATTTCATATCAAAATATTAGCAAAAATTCCATCCATCTAATATGCAGTATTTTAGTTTTCAAACTTCATCTTTGATTAGCAATGAATTGTGGAAATATTTCATTTCAAATCATAATTTTAAGTTTTAAAGAAACATAAACTTTCATCTAACAATATTGTTAGCATAAGTAATATGAAGCTTTATGAGTTAAATTTTAAAAGTGATAAACTTCTATCTCCTCAATATTTATGATTCTTTTTCATTCTCAATAATATTGATGTATGATAATAATATCATGTATTAGAAATAATAATTGTAAAATTTTAAGATAATTCAATAAATTCGATTTTATTCATTTCATCTTGAAATTTTCAGATTAATCTGCTTTTTTTCTTTCTTTTTATAATTTTTAATAAATTTTTTTTATGGTTTCACATTTCTTTTTTAGTTTCACTAAGCTCTAACAACAAAGAAATATTAAATTATTAATATTGCATTATGGATTTATTAAAAATTATTAAAAAAGTCTTTATTAAAACAGTTATATAAGGTATATACAGGTAAGGACAAGAAGTACTAATCATTTATCATTACTTAAATTCTTACTATTATGACGAATACTAATATTGACAACAAAATAGATCGCACAGGTAAGTGAGAAGAGAAAAATGTAAGTTATAATGATGAAATTGTATCATAAACTTTTTTCCGAATCGCATATATGATAGTTTTTTGCTTACTTAAATTAGGATCTGGTCATCTAATCATTGAAATGTGACAAAATCAACACCACACTTCTTAAATTTTAATCAATTTTTCAGTTTTAGAATTTTCGAAGAAAAAAATTCATGAACATACCTAAGTTGTGTCGAAATGTTTATGCAATACCTGATTCATCAAAATTCCAAATTTATGAAAATAACAGCAATATAAATTATATATTAAATTATTACATGAAATGAATCACCCTGCATTTATTATTGCGGATTATTATACATACACTAATAAATTGAGAAAAAATTTCACATTGAAAACGAATGATACTTTTTTTAGATGAAATTATTTAAATGATAAAATTAAATTACAATGTACAAGCTATCAATCACATTTCGTTTTCAGCACGTTTATTAACATCAAAATTCTAAATTGATTTATCCTCAAAACGATTTTCGAAATTATAAATAGCATGAAGATATTTTCCAGAAACTAAAAAGACATATATTATATGAAATTCAAACATAGAATCATCAACGAAAAAGTTGGAATAACAGATTTTATATTGTAGAAATATTTTGAATTGAATAAAACAAATTTTTATTGTAAATATTTAAATAATTACTATTCATCTATCTTCCAATCTTATTTGTAATGTTTTTGAATATTCTTCCAAAACATCTTCTAATTTGATTTATGTCCTAAAAATCTTGCATTTTATTTGTCACTGTACACAAGGAAAGAATATAATTCCCACATTATAGGTGTTAATTATTTCCTCTCCCTCCCTCTCTTTCTTTCTCTCAACTCCTAAGAACAGTCCATTTTAATCAAATGCTTACAAAATGATCATCACAACTAAATTCTACCCAAATATTCTTATGAACTAGGAAAAGAAGTGCAATCTATGATTAACTTTATTCTCAATATTCTTTGGTAATTATTTTGTAACAGTTATTAGCAGTGAATCTTCATCTACTCAAAGCTATTCGTCTGCGCAAATAAGGAAAAAGAGCTTTGTCTTCAAGCCAAAAACGAACAAAAAGAAGTAAAATGGATAGTTAAAATATGCATAATATAGAAATAAACATACAAACTATGAAATCGTTCTGTTGTAACAGAACTTAAATATCAAAGGTAATTAAATACTACCAAAAAAAAAGAAAAAAAAAACTACTCACTTAGAGAAAATAAACAAAAGTCCTCTCACAAATTACTGTTTCTTAGAAAGCAGTAGTCTTTTCCTGAATCTTACCTACCAAAGACAGTAAGTACATCTGCAGATAGAAATCACCACTAAAATGTGATTATGCTGTTTTAATTTTCTATTAAAAAAAAGAATTGGAATTCCAAATAGATAGAATGATGCAAGAAACATAAGGGATATGTAAAAAACATACGAATATCACCAATCTAATATAAGATCTTTGGCTTAATATATTCTAATATATTCCAAATTGTTAATTAGTACTGATATGTTTCTGTATCAAAAGTGCCATTTTTGATGATAGAAAAGTGCTTACACTATAAGAAAGGATAGAAAAGAGATCACACAAACCGGATACTCGGTTAAAATCCTTTCTGCAACTGCCGCACCTAAAATTTGAAAATGAAAATGTAAAACTGAAATGGCAAAAAAAAAAAAAAAAAAAACAGTCTACACTACTGGATTTTATTACTTTACATAAAGCAATCAAACAATCTTAATTTAATGTTAGTAAAATTTTAGTCTAGGAAAATGACGTCAAATCTGTCAAATGTTATTGAAATATTTTCAACATTACTTGTTTGTTTAAAGTTCGTATCTGATCATGAAGTGATTGCAACGATTCGGCGTGTTGCTTTTGCATCATGTTTATTTTCATTCGTCCTTGTTGTTCTTGCATTATTATTTCAGCATTCAATTCCGCAATCTGCAAAAATTGATTAATACAAAAACAAACTATGTCTATTATAGAGTATCATCACAAATTAAACGGTGAGAATATAGAAGTGATTATTGAGGTATTATTTTCCATGCATATTGCAACTATATTCAGACACACCTATAGAGTATCAGCCTTTCTAAATAGGTCTCTAATGCTTGATAATCATGAACCATGAAATAAGTGACAACTGTTTGCTGATTATGATAAAAACCTCTGATTAAACAAATGATACACATTCTTTTCGTTTCCCGATTTTTTTTTTTCCTGATTTTTTCAGTGCAAAAGGAAGATAGAAAGGAAGATAACCTTCTTATCTCTTTCCAGTATAATTCTGTCTTTTTCAAAGCATTTCTTCTGCAACTCTAAAATTTCGTCCTTATATTGTTGAATGACAAAGATGTGTTCCGAATGAGCATTATCTAGCGTTGTTTCTGTCATAGCATTTCGCTAAAAAAAATCTCATCAAATGACAATTACATTCAAACGAGATAGGAATTGTTGCTGACATTAAGATTATGTAAAACAAATTATTTAAATTGTTAGAACATATAAAAAATACTCGCTCCAAACCTTTTATATCTACTTCAAAGGAAGTGATCTCAAATTAATAAATAACAAAAAATAGTGCAAAAAGTTTCCTACCTTTGATACTTTTCCTCCCCTGTTTTCAGAAGAGCTCAGTCTGTTTCGCTTTGAATGACTGCTACTTTTTGACTTTGGCATATTGCTATATGTTGAAGCTTCTCCAAACATTGCCTTTCTAGACATTGTACATAAACGACAATATAGCGGTTTGTCCTATAATTCATTAAATGTTCTGATTGGGAAAGAATTAAATAGCATTCTTAATAAAGCATTATCTCGCATTAAAATAATTCATTAACAGCCACTACAAAAAAAAAAAAAAAAAATGGACAAATCAGAAATCGTCAATCGTCACGAATATTTGCAACCTTTTGTGAGGGTTCTCGAACAAAGGCTGATTTCTGAAGGCACTGAGAACATTGCACCGGTAAACCATACTTCCTCTCAGCATGGCAACACCAAACACATTTGTTAGCAACGAAAGCAGCTTGTAGCTGGCAATACATACATATTGTTGGCTGAAATAAACTGAGCAATTATTATTATTATTAACATACTACTTTGGCAAGCTTAAGTTATTGAAGGACTGAAACATTAATTAATGAAAATTTCAAAGAAATTATCCGGTCAAAGAAACAGAAGAAGGACACCATAAAAACATGTGACTAACCTTTGTTTTATATTTCTCCTCATTCTTCTTACACTTTTCACACTGCGAGTCATTTTCACTACCTGCACTAAAAATCGTATTCGACATAGCATTATAATAAAAATTTAGTAATCAAAAATTCAAAAGAAAAAGAAAAAAAATAGATTGTAATTCATCTCAAAATTAGCAACGGACTGTTTATGAAAGACAACGTACGTTATTTCAGGCATTCCCGCCTTGCAGTAGTAACATTTACGTGTCATTTTATCTTTTTCATCGATATTTCCTCTGAAAACACAATAAGTTAGAAATAAGTAATAGAAATTCTCATTCATTTAATCAGGAGAAAGAAAATGAGAAATTCAACTAAACAGATTTCCAAGATGAAAATGATAATACATCAATCGAAGGATTCATAGCTTCTGCTTTCTTCCTGATAACTCATCATAGTTTTGTTTAGTTGTAACAGATATCATCAACAAGAAATCATATCAATGGTCAAAATTTTTTCGTCTATGTCAATTACAAAAAAAAAAGTCCAAAGAAGAAAAAAGAATAAAACGCTTTCATAAATTATCGCATTCCAAATTATATAATTATATAAATTCAATTATATAAATCATCTAAATTAATTAACAACATTTCAAATGAGAAATTGAAAGCGTCATGCATCCGTTTGGGAAAAAAATGTTTGTAATTGTTATAAGGGATTTACCCATACCTTAAAGTGGAAAACACATAAATCAACTGTTTTGTGAGACATACAATTTTCACAGAGTGGTGCATATTTACCCAACTGTGGCCATTATATTCATAAAGTGTTTGGGATGAAATAATTGCACAACGCGAACCGGTAGGGAACTTCGGGTCATTGTTACCTTCGAGGTTTGGGTTGCTGCGGTATGTTTGGGAGGAGGTGTGGTGATGCTTAGTCATTGTTGGGCGGTTGCTAGAGTTATCCGGGGTTACCCGGGGTTAGGGATCCGAGGTCACGGGTTTTCTTAAGGTCTTAAAAGCTATGGGTTTGGTCTGTTCTTGTTCACTGTAAAACTCTTAGGCTACACCAGATAAAAGCTACACCATCTTTGACTGTTTTGCAAAGAAGTTTTTTTGAAGTTGAAACTCAGATTATTTTAAATGTTTCAGCGCAGGAAGTGACGTGAGCCGCGTAAAATAATGGTTTGCGGACGTGTACGAACAAAAACCGTGAAGAAAGCTTCACGTGTAATTATTGAGAAGTATTATACTAAGCTGACACATGACTTCCATACAAATAAACGAATTTGCGAGGAAATTGCAGTTATTCCGAGCAAAAAAATGAGGAACCGCATTGCGGGGTGAGTGGAAATTGAATTGCTGACTAAGCTTGAGTTCGGATGAATTATTTGGAGCCAGTTTTGCTCAAATTTCTAGTTTAACTTTTGTTAACAGTGCTCATATCGATGGACAAAGTCTAGCCTTTGTGAGGATGAACTTTGGAGCAGATAGTTCAGTTTCGTAGTAACGGGGGCGACATTTAAAAGAATCATTTAATAATTTCAGGGCAAATCTGCTGCTGAGATCACTATTGAAAAGTCTAGTAGTTTACAGTAGATTCTATATATAGGAAGATTTTATCTACTTGGGAAGCTGTTCGTTCATGAGATTGTCCCCCATTTTGCGTTACTTTGCTTATCATTTAAGGTGAAAGATGTTAGATCTTTTCTATTGATGTAGGAACGAAAGACAGCTATTTATATCATATTTTGTCCAATATTTATGTTAAGTTGTGTAAGTCGGTTGGAGTTCCGGAATTATAAACAATTATTTCAGTTATATAACACACTTGATGAAACGTATCGAAAAGGGACCGGTTCGTGGTATTTCAATCAAATTACAAGAGGAAGAAAGAGAGCGTCGCGATAACTACATGCCGGATATTTCTGTCGTTGATCCGCGAATGTTGACCACAATTGAAGTAGATACGGAAACCAAGCAGATGATTGAGTCAATGGTTTGTTTTTTTTTTCACCTTTTTTCCTTAGATTTTTTTACTTTCTTTTCGTAGATAGAAAGTTAAATTACTTTTGTTATTAGATAGAAAATAAATTATTTGCATGAGAAAGAAAATTAGTTTACCTACATTTGTGAACATATTACTACAATGGTTGGTAAATGTAATAGTTGTTATTAAATTATGGCCTTCTATGGTATCATTTATTTTGGGATTGCTACTATCCCTCAAGTTGATGTTACACATGACTAATTAAATAGCCTTCAGAGATAATATTGGGTTATTCTGCCTCATCAAGCATCAAGTAATGAGTAGTTTTGAAGTTATTCGGAAACATATTAAGCAGATATTTGTTTAGTTTTCGCGAGGCTAACAATTATGTTGAAAAGTTCTACATGAGGGATGGTGATCGATGATTGTAAGTGTCGCAATGGAATATATTCTTGAGCAAATAAACAGTAGGTATAAACAGAATGTATATGCGAATATTCTGTGATTGCAGGAACTGAGTATTCCGATGACCGACAAGACAGCAAGTACGGGAATGGCTGGTCGAAGATAATCCGAAGAAAGAATAGAATTTCTGCCTTTTGTTCTTTTGTTTCTTGAAGAAAACTCTCATACAAACTCAAATTCGTTCTGTTATTTTTTTGAAATATGTACTAATAAATCCTCAATTTGTTTGTATGTAGCATAAAATAAGTCCCTGTAGTTTTTCACATGAGGCTGAATCGGTGACAGATAATTGGATAAAAGAATGAATCAATTTTATATAGCTACATAACAGTTTTTAATGGATTAAATTATCAGTTATTGATACAGATTCCGTAATTTAAACTAGTAAATTATAAGACGGTGTGACCATTGTGTTACTTAAAACTGCCTGTAGCAAGCGATTAGATGATTGTAACATAAAAACGAACAGAAAGCTAAATTTATGTACTTGCGGTTGGTTCCACATCCAATCTTGTTACGAGGAAAGTTATGGTCATATCCGTTCAAAAATCCGGCAAATTTTATGTTAACGATATTTGAGTATATTAGTGATGTCCTCTAAATAAGGAATAGATGTTAAAAAAAAAAAGCTTGTCCAACACTGTAAATCGAAGGAGAATAGAGAAATTATTGATGGTGATTGCATTAAGAATATAAATATTACTGAGTTTAAAGTTCACAGAAAAATGAAAGGCCAGAAGGAATGATAACTGAGACTCGTCACATTAGTATTTCAACAAATATTGCTGTATAAAAATTTGTGGAAATTATTTAACGATAAACTTCGTGTATTTACTAAACTTTCTCAGATCGAAATTACTTCACATTTTCATACTGTAAAACGAGTTCAACAAAATCTGAATGAAGAATTAGCTGATGTATGATCATTACCATTTATTGCATCAATGATATTCGATTGTTACCATTTCATTATATTAATTTCTTATATTTTTGTTTTAAATGTATTTGCCGTAACTCTGAAAATGTTTGTCCTTTTATTACCTTGTATCATCCAGACTTATATGACACAATTTCTAATACCATAATTGTAATTTGAGTCTTGCTTTTCTTCTCTGTAATAAAACCTCGAATAAATCCAATATCCGATAAGGCGTCATTTAGACGCCATTAACAATGGAGCATTCTGCAACTATAACCAGTCACAAGAGTAGAGGTTTATTTGAACAATATATACAGAAACAAGCATTTTTAAATCATAACATTGTCAAGACGATCCTTTGATAATGCGGTAAAAGCTGCCAAACAGGTACCCTCAAGTTGAAACTAAGTGCTGCACACAGTGGTATCTCATATCGCAAGAGTTCTTTGCGACTGATTCGTAATGATGATTCCAAATACTGAAAACCTGAGTCCAATTTAATTTAGGAAATATTTAAAATCAATTATGAAAACGGATTTAAAAGGGGAGTTTTGAATGAATAAAATTATTTCGAAACTAACGTTTACAACGTCAGAAATACACATTGATCCAAAATCAGTGATTTTTGCAGCAATAAGAAGAGCTGCTCCAGCTACCAATTTCCGATTCATTTTACACACTAAGCCCTACGAACAAATATCTTTCAGACATCAATAATCAAAAAGAAGTCTACTTAAGCAAGATCGTTTAAGTAATGCTTGTTTTAATGTCTTCTATATCCGACAGTCACTTGATTGCATTAAACTGAATAAGTCTTAAACATGAAAAGAATCGTTAATTTGATAGATTTTAAAGTGATCATTATTAAATTCTTTAAAACAGACCTTCAACAGTACTTTCTCGTAGAAAACATAAGCATGAGCCGTTGTAGCATCTTCTAAATTACATGCAACAGCTATTTGGTGAAGCTCTCGCTTAATACTGAAATAAAATTGAAAGAAAAATCGACAAGAAAAAATAAACAGTGTGTAGTATTATTAATTATATTATTAATTATCATCATTGTCAGTGGGAAAAGACACATTCTGGGGAAAAAAAAATGTATTCAGGAATAAAAATAAAAAGATAGAAAAATGAAAACCTTTTAATTTTGCTAAAGGAGACGTGAACATGCGGAAAACGTGACCGAAATGCTTCGTTCACTAAACGTTTCACTTCACTGTCTGGCTGATAATGCGTTACTATACTCTATGAATGGAAAATAAGTCATTCATATCATACATTAGCAGATAAATTCATAAGTCAAAAAAAACATTGTCTAAAAATAAAAAACTCACCACATATCCATTGAACTTCATCACAGTTTTTCGAGTGCGGCAATCAAAATTTGCTATAAGATTTGGATCATATTCGGTTGAATTTGCATTGCTACCAGAACCACATACTGTTGAATGAAGAAATGATGGTCCTTCTTCTATTCTGTCTAAAAGCTTCGATACCAAAAGTGACCTTACTTTAAGTAACACAATACAAATGAAACTATACAATAGTGGAATAATGTATAACATATAAACATTCATATATGACCTTAATATACTTATTAATACCTATAATCCTGCCACAAGATGATGCATACCATCGTGCAGAAACACATGGATACATTGTGCTCTGAAAAAACTAGAGCATTTAAAAAATACATTACCGTCTTTAAGTGAAACTGATTTATCAACTTACCGAGCTCTTGTTATCACCACCGGAATACTTAAGAAATTGCGAATTGTCCTCTGATGAATATGAAGCACTGTTCACACTTGTTAAAATTAAATCACGAAAACTGAGTTCCTAAATTAGTAACAAAATATAGCAGATTGAATACAGAATATGCATTAAGAAATAATATCATAAAGCGAATAGAGGTGAGATCTTGCAGGTATATTAAAACAATTCCAACCTGCATGTGCTTATAATTGATTGGCTTGATTCTGGTATAAGCAAACGAGATAACGCCAAACCGATCAGAGTTTTCGCTGAAATCTATTATCTTACTACGAAACATGATGAGAAATGAAGTACTCAACTATACAAACATAATTTATCATACGAAGTATTCGTTGAAATATATTAGCCGAATTCATTTAACTATCATTACTTTTCAAAGATCAACAGAATAAAAGTTAATTCCCCTACAGAGTAATAATCTCATGCGTTTACAAATCTTACAATAATATCTCTGCTTATAATTACATGTCAATCTTACTCAGTTAGTGGTAGGTGAAAAAATAACGACTGACATTTTTACCTATTTAGACAACACAGAATATATACAGAAACTGTTAAAAGTAGTTAAAAGAAAAAATAATAATAATGCAGAAGAATGCAGTTTATTTGAGCCAAAGTAAAATTATAATTAACAGTTTTCTTACTGACTATATTAATCAATATCCTTTTATTGTCTAAAATCCTACATTTCACTTTCATATTTCAATATATCAGAGTTGCATCAACTGCAGTAACAGATTTTAAAAACGAAAATTTAACAGACCTTTGATTTTTGATATTACAAAGTTTTAAGAACTTTTGACGACTCGTCAATTCTTTCACATTTTGTTCGCTCTTTTCTATAAAAAATTTCACGTCATTTTAAAACAGCATAAATAAAGTTTTTGAATTTACATAATCAATGGAAAACTCTCGCGTAATTCACCATAAATTCTTTGTTATCGTACAAGATAGCTGACAAATGTTATGTAGAAAAATGACATGATTCAAGAAGATTGAAAACAAAAAAGGAGTAGCAAATGGAGTGATTAAACCAAAGAACCCAAACCAAAGGAATTAAATTCGTTGAACAAGTTCAAAATTGGTCTATTAAATTACCTTTCCCAAGCTAAAACGGGATGTACCAGTTAGTGGAGACAATTAGTAAACTCCTCCAAGGAATCCTGTTGCAAACAACAACACAAACCTTTTTCTTCTGTAGCATTAATGCAACTTTTTCTTGACCACTTTCTTAAAGATCTGAAACCTAAAGACTTGTAGAAAAAAGAAAAAAAAGCAAAAGGTATATTCTCCTATAATTAATAAATAATCATAATCTACACACCTAACAGAAGTTTCGTCAGCTCTTGTATTATTGAACTTCTCACTGCTGCTTTCACTGCTGCTACCACTAATTCCACGTGTCCGACAAAGCTGCAATATATTAAGAAAGTGAATGCAATTCAATAAAAATATAAACATATGAAAACCATTCCATGAATATAGAAGTTTTTAGTACACATGAATTAAAGCGAATTTTTACATACAATCGATTGGAAATCATTCATTTATACTTATTAGTATTCATAACATTCACCTGCTTCGGCATTAATGTTTCGATGTTTACTTCCAACTTGTCATAATCGTCGGTTTTATCTACTTCACAATTTCCTAAAACGAAAAGTCCAGAAACTCCAGTAGTGGACCATGAAGTTATGTAACATTATAATTTTTTCTAAATATGATGCAGACATTTCGCCTCAGGTATTGCTTATCTTGCACCATGTAATGATACATTCTAACACCACTGAAAGTAAGATACAATTCACTTTTAATTTAAAAACAACATACCTTCTGACTGCTGACATTCCTCTTCGCTGCAAAGGATATCCCTTGTAGAGCTGTTAGCATTACTAACTAATTTATCGTCATGATTTGACTTTCGTTTCCCACAACTACCAATTTTAGTCATAGATAACAGAGAATTTTGCGTGATAAGTAGCTGGTAAGCATTCCGTTTCGATAATTTGTTATGCATATACATTACACACAATGAACACCCCCAGTCTAGAAATAGATTACATATGGTTCTTCTGGTTGTTTAATAATGAGCATTGCACCCTGAATATTCATTCCTTTTCCCATCTTCTTTACAAATCACCATTACCAACCATCAATCTGTGACCGTTAACTTCCACTTGCCTTTCTCTTTACCCACTTTATATTCTAAAAATCATTCCCAATCTTTGATGATATCAGCTATTTCCAAGTCAAAACCCCAAGGTACCAGGAAACTACACCTCATATTTCCAGTACTGTTTACTCCAACCACCTTCCATCTGCGACACAGATAATCTTAGAATAGCGAGCAAGACTTTATCAGTAAACTTTTGTTCCATTTTAAAAACCTAAAATAACTTATGTGATCGATCATAAGAATGAACAAGCAATTTCAACCTTATATGCTTTGATGATATAATTTATTTTAGAAACAACTTTATATCCAATAACAAATGACAATCCCAACGCTGTCAAATTGGAAACTACTAATTATAAGATGAAGAAAGACAAACATTTCACGCAAGAATGCGTGAATGTATGCATTAATACTGTTACATAAATATTTGTATTAATCTGGCTTACCCTTATTTAAAAAAATATTAGCAGTTAAAATTATCAAAGCTTCCACAAAAGCATTTTATCCAATATACTAGCAACTGCCTAAATATCACTCAAACCCATCCATGTTATATATATAGCTCTCCAAATACTGGCAAATACTAAAAATATTAATTTAGTTCTTCATAAAAAATTATTCCTCAAACACATGATGAATGATGTTGCGTACTGACTGGAATTAAAAAGTTTGATTTATGCATATGATGTAGAAATCGAATAAAAATTAAAAACGATACATGAGGTTAAAAATCAAACACAGAAACATATTAAGACATATGTGTCAGCAGCAATTCCATCACCTCGAAAATTTCAGATTTCTCTGTGGAACTGATGTTTTAACGACTGTGGGATGAAGAAGAACGTGAACGTGATCGCGAGCGAGTACGGGACCTGTAAAGCGCATTTCAGAGTCAAAGATCAAAAATAGAATATTTTTTTAATATGCTTACAGGTTTGCTTTTTTTTTTTGAATGATAAATTTCCGCCTCTTGTTCCTCGTCCATACCGCGTCTTCCTATATAAAGGCGAAAAAAAAAGAAAAAAAAAAAAAACATATGCGTTACCATACCTTCTGCGGCGTTCGCGTTCTCGTCGTGGCGGTGATCGCCTGCAAAAAGTTGGAATTATTTAAGCGAAACAGTGATGCACACTGTAAAATTCCTTGTCATCCTGGAGTAAAATTCCACGACATAAGAAGCCAAATTCAATCTTTTACGAACAACTCATTTAAATGGACATCTTAAAGAGTTGAAAGGCCCAATTTTTACACCTCGTAAAACAAAAAAGAGACAAATTGTAATCACAGAACTAAATAAAAGCATGAAAAAATGTGTTTCGTGGGTGATGCGAAGAGGAGAGCACCTCCTTTACAGATGATTGAAACATGGATGGCACATTTGTTGCACAATGTCCGAAAAATGAATAAAAACCATTTTCAAAAGAATTGCGAATCGTGCACTACAGAATTCCCATCACCATACACTTCCTCCATTTTCCAACAACAATATTCCAGAAGATGCCAAAAACACAAAATGATGGACCATCAACATCAAAACCAATTCACAGCTCGGCTCATCCATTCCAAACAATATGGACGACGGAGGGAGCCGAGCCAACAAACCAATTACCACCAAAGTTTCAACACTGTCCATAATGATTCCATCACACACAAAGCAACCAAAGTTTACCATCATCCAGGCCTATATCAAACTAATTTAATGGATAGCCCTTCGTATATCCCGCCCATCCCGGAGTAAATGGACATCTTAGAGTGCTGAAAGGTAATATTTCAGGGAAATGTGGTTGAATAACTTTTACTAAGCTATCTTTCTTCCCCTACCTTCTTGTAGTTTTCTTACTTCATTCAGATTAAAAAAAATTCCGCAACACTCACCGTCTATCTCGATCTCGGCCATATCCGCCATAACGTCCATAGTCACCATATCGACTGCTGCCATAACCACCATATCTAAAAATTCATTTTTTCTCCATCCTTAATCTCCCCTCCCCTCCAGTCCATACTATAATCTGTAAAATAAAGAATATCACTAATTACCTGCCATAACCACCACCACCGTAATAACCACCCCCATAACCACCACCAAAGCGATAGCGATCATGTGCACGAACTCGAGGCAATGCTACCGATACGCGTACTCGGCAGTTACGAATGTATCTAAAAAGAAAATATTTCGAAAATTGCTCTTCCGATGAGAATGGTATACTCCAATGATACATCTTGCAGATGTACAATTCCACGTACAAGCATAAAAGTGAGCTATCCGACACTTAGTTTTCTAAAGTTGTGAACTTAAACACTAAGTCTCCTCTTTAGAAAACAACTAAAACATTAATGAACCAAAGCAAGGACTTTTCTTTTACAAATTATTACAAATCGCGACTTACGTGTTATTCAGAGCTGCCAACGCTTCATTTGCATCCGACTTATTCTTAAATACCACAAATGCAAAAAGTGGTGGATAACTCGCCACCCAAACTTCGGAGAGCTTTCCGAAACGTCTGAAAACAGAAGAAAATACGTGATGAGAAGGTATCAGTTGTTTGTAAATAAAAATCAAAAAAGTAGATTGGATGAAATAAGGATAAAATCACATAGACTAAAACTACCTTAAATGTTAATAGATGTTATAAATATTAAAGGGAAGAAAAATCTCACGAAAATGCTTCCTCTAGATCTCTTGCACGTACTGACTCATCAATATTCGCCACATGAAGACGTCCCTCCTCACCACGTTCTGGTGAATAAGTTTTACTGCGGCTTCGGGTTTTTGAACGTGTACGACTTCGTGAACGTGATCTGGAATTAAACAATGAATTTTCCATTTTTTATTTTTTATTTTTTTTATTAAACTATGCAAATGATGATTTATTATCAATATACCGTTCTGTTGATGATGAACTTGAACTGGTTTTCGACGTAGAACGTTTTCTTGGTGCCATCTTCCTAAATATATCTTTTATCTTAAGCAGTAACACATTCATCAAAAAATAGTAACACAGTACGTATGAATTTTTTTTTTTTTGCGTACCATAAGGGAAAAAAATATTAAAACGAATGAGTCAAACACACAACAAATGATTCATTCTTTCCGGAATGACTTCTTTCCGGAAAGAATGAATCATTTCTTGACTTCTTTCCGGAAAGAATGAATCGGTTCACACCTATTTCTACCTTAAAAAAAGCTCAAAATTTCTGTACGATTACTTCCTTCCTTGTATCCAAACCACACACAACCAAGCAATCGATGACAAAGCAAAAGTGAAAAGGACAATGAGAGAAATCAATGCAATGCGGCTAACCACTGCCTCATCTCTTCATCACTATTTTTTACTTCCTTCTACAGCTCACACTATTATTTCCTCTCTAACTGTTAGCTCTAAACTTGACATTATTATGAGAATAGCACACATTTTGTCCTTATCGATCCTACGTCTACTAGAATTCCCGAGAGATACCAGTTGACCTTACAGTTCTTTGTGTCACTAAGTACAACACACCAAATTGTATATTTTAATATTCGACAAAAAATTGTATACTTCTCTTCCACTGTCCCTCGTATCTCTCATTTCAATACTCTCTAGTAACCCTCTCCCGTCTATCTACCAACAACTCAACACTATCTCCGAACTAAGAAACCTAATTTATGACGGCTAGGAAATAGTTGGGCGCATTTTTATAGCTATGCATTTATGGTTAGTTAAATTCGTGCGCGAGTCATTGTGCAAATTTTTTCGGATCGACACTTTTTTATATTAATATGGCAAATTTAAGTGTAAATTTTGACTGTTATATGTGAGCGTTTTGGATTATATTGTTTGTATTTTTGTGTTTTAATTAGCTATTACAAATTGTTAAGCACTAACTATGTGGCACAAGAATGGAAGGTCAAGATGAGCGCACATTTTTGTGTGGTTATCAACGAACACGCGGATACGGCAGTTTATCAAATATTCATATTTCCGCAAAAACTTATCGTACAATCATTCAACATCAGATTAAACCGAATGATACACTTCAAGGACTCGTTCTGAAATACAACACTTCAGTATGTATTTCTTATTAAATTTATTTCTTATAAATAATTTTTCGGTCAGTTGAAATTGTGCGAAATGACTATAACTTCGGTGCATCGTTGTTTACGAATTTGTTTGTCACTGAGATGAAAGGAAAGGTCAAGCAATGTTCAGCTATTTACATTATGACATTTTTTTGAAAATCATTTAGAAGAAAATGAAGTAAAAAACTTTATTTTTTGTCATCTCGAATAAGCTACGTATAATAGGTGTTTCCCTTCGAAAATCTTTTAAGCGAGGTATCTAGCGTTTCTTAACTTTGGCTGACTTTCTTTTCCTTTATTTTAGATGAAGCAGCTTAATGATTTGTCTTTTTGATGAGATAGGAACTAGTATTTCTATCAGAATGCGTGGAACGTATTATTTTCTAAGCAATATTAACATTAATTGTAGATGAGCGAAATAAAACGATTGAATCGTCTTTGGTCGAATGAAAGTCTCTACCTCAAGGAATATATCGAGATACCAATCTATGATGAAATTTTTGAGAAAAATCATGCATCGACCTATAAGGATAGACCTATAAGTGTGAAGAAAGACCGGTGCTATGAAGAATCTAAGAAATCGCATGATATCAACGAAGAAAGCCTACAAGACATCTTCAGAAGAATTGACATGAATATCAGGAAGACAACGGATACTGTACACAAATTAACGGAGAATTCGGCGTAAGTTTGACGACTTTTAGTACTGATGGGAATTAATCTAAGAGTTTTCCCCTTTATTTGATGAGAAAAAAATTAGAGAATTCTGATTGCACTTTTTTTTCCAAATTGTCACCCGCTGGGGCGTCTTTCAAAAATTACCAGCCTTTGACATATGCATCCAGTGACTCTTATTCGTGCGTCCTTTTTTCTTAGGGAATTTCCGCCCTGTATTCTGCAACAGTTAAAATAACGAAGGAACTGTCAGCAAATATTAAGAATGACTTTTTTTTTAAAGGCAAGTCTTTCACGTCTTCCTTTAGCAGACCTTTTTTAGCCCTGATTTCTTCGCTGGAAGTTTCAAAATGGAACTTGCACGAAGTAAGCCGAACGGTGAACACTCATTTGATTGTCATTCTTCGGGTTTTCAAAATGAAGCTTATCAAGACTAATTAGTCGTATTTGTCGTGCTTTTTAGAGGCATTGTTATTCCTGTTTTATCAGGTATTGTATGTACTCCTTATATCCATACAGATGTGCCATGTTCGCCAGTTGCTTTACTAATTACCAGGAAATTGTATGCTCACAGTGTACATGGAGTTCCTACAAAGTCGTATGCGATTCAAGTTTCCTTCGTTTTTTTATTACCACTATTTCTGATCTCTTGTGGGACAAATCAAATTCTGTAATCTCAAATCTTCGCATCTTTGTTGGTATTGGAATAGTACTATATTGTGAACTCACCAATCAGCGGGAATTATCCGCAAACCATTATCTTGAGTTCTAATAAGCGCCATAGCTCTTCTTTCAAATTAGATTATCATAGAGTTGTAATATTCAATATCATTTTACCTGAATCAGCATTTCCCATGATTTTATTATGAATATATTACTATAAATTGTTGACTCCCCTACATTTACGTGAAAATTTATCCAACGATGTATAACAAATTAATGATAATCACTAAATACGTCTTTACTTTGGAGCCGGTGTTTTCTGAGCAGCCGTCGTCTTCCGAGCAGCCTTTTTCTTGAACTCTTTCCGACGTGAAATCTGAAATGTATAATGAATAATAAAAGACTCTTTTCATAATTTTTATAGTCAATCAAATAAGGGTACATCTAATAGGAGCTATTGCTTCCAGATTAACCATTCTACTGCGTTCCTCAGAGAATTAACCACTCAAACTCCCACTTAGGCTAAGGCTTATGATTCCCTATGGAGTTATCCCATCTAATTCAGATGTTGTTTTGAATACCAACAGATACATAGATGTCACTGGAAATAAGAAGAACCATTACCTGAATCTTTTCTTCAAACGGATGTTGCGTTCCAAGCCGTCTACGATTGGTCAAAACAGCGGTACGTTTCAGTACTGCTGCATATGGATTCAACTTGACCATGATTGCCGATTTTTTCAATGGATTGCGATGCATCCTTGAAGCCCTGACCTTAAATATCTTTTTCTTTTTCTCTCGAATGGCCTTCACAATTTCTTCGGACCGGATCAGTCGTGAGAAATCGGCATTCGCCATTTTTGCTGTCGGCATGACGAACTTAGCCTTGGCAACAGCTTTGCGAGTTTCCGTTCCGTAGATACGATTCAATTTACGGAACGCAGATTCCGTCCAGATGATTAAACGTCCGAGATGGCCACCAGGTGCGACTTTCAACAAATTAAGTTTGTCAACTGGAAGCAAATGAACACCAGGGATATTTCGAAAAGCTTTAACAACACCATTATCCTGATTGTACACAACAAGAGGACCCAACTTAGCTTTGTAGCGACGGTTGCGTCCTTTCCCCTTACCAGCACGGTTACGTTTCGAGTTGTAAACCTAAAAAAACATGTGATGTTCTGTTGCAAATCCTCTATGTTGGTGAAATGTTAGTTTCAATGATTAGCTTCTTTCCTTACTTGAACAAAAGCTTCATGTGGAAACTAACTTTCTCGATATCAGCCCAAAAATGTGAACGACGAAGAAATGAAACAGCTTCTTTTGTCTTCTTGAAGCTCTCCACCTTATCAACAACAACAAATGGGACTTCAGGTATTTGGTCAATGATGTGTCCACGAGCTTGCACGAGAGCTGGAATACCCGAAGCAGCTATTGCTGAAACCATAGCATAACGTTTTTGTGCAACATTAACACGACGATGCCAACGTCGGAATACCTAAAAATTGACAATTAATTTACCAAAAGTTTACATATCAATTACGAGTTTTAAAAAACAGCCGTCCAGGAAAATATTACAAAATAAATTCAAAATACTATAAAACAAAATCAAAGGATGTAGATCGAAGCCTTTGAAGTTGCTCTGCCAATCACAACAGTACAAATTAAAAACCAGAAGCGAACCTTAGTCGGTGCAAACATACGTCCACCACGGCACATGTTACCAAATGCACCCTGTCCAGAACGATGCGTACCACCACCTCGTACACGCGGAATTCTAGCTACCGCACGACCTGTACCCCATGATTCAGCCGAAGTTTGATGCCCTAAACATACCAAAATGTTGAAATTTACTAAAATAAGTCACTCCGTGGAAAATTCTATATTTTAGACTTTGTGGAAGATAATAACTACCATTAACTTAATCTTGCCTCTACAACTGCCGACTGTACATATTTTAAGCAACGGATGTTTAGCAACTAAACTAGATTCCTTTACCGTTATCTTCTTCACAAAAATAGAACGTCCTAAATCAGCACTCATAAAATCATCTCACTTGGAGCTTATGAAATATTCATCGCACAACTGTGTAGTCTTAGTAAAGCGATATATTAAAATAAATGAAGAAAAAAAAAAGGAAACAACCAAACCAGCTTCAACTGAGACGGCATATGGCTGGCGTTTGTTCTTCCTTATTTGATCGTGTACAAAGGAAACAATATCTGGACGTAACGGTGCGCGAAAAACGCCGGGTAGCCTGATCTGAGTATCGGTCGGTTCGCTTTTATCATTATAGACGGTTACCAATGGGCGGGCACTCATAGCACCTCTCTAAAATAATAGAAAAATTTTTTAAAAAACCTGCATGCAAGAAAAAAATAATAAAAAGTTATCAACATCTAATATACATCTAACTTTCTTTTATTTTTTTTAAATTTCTCTTTTTATCCCTAACATATAGTATCTAGCAACACATCTAACTTATTACATTTTTCGAATATACAGCATAATATGCTATCATTCATCTATTAAATACATTACAAATATATGAAACACATAACTGAAGACAAACAATACAATAAAATTCTCACACTAGTGATGCTTTAAATGTAACTAATCTACAAAAACAGTCTACAAAATAGTGCCTTCACAGCTTCGTTGCATATAAGAAACCCATTATCCTTGGTTTTCTTGGTCAATAAAGAGAATATAGTAGGTCAATACTGAGATAACATAAGAATTCTAAGCATTAATATCAAAATATTAATCAGTAAACACAACTCCAACACATCATTCTCTACCACATAATAGCTGTACCACTTAGAGACCTAAACTTAATCAGACGATATAAGGCTGCAAAAGTTGATTATGCATTACAAACTTCGTCTTTACATAGTTCGGATTGTTGGTTCGTTCATATTCGTAAGTGTTGATTAGGACTGGCAGTAGTGGATGGGTGATTTGAAGGAGAGATGTTGTGTTGGATGAGAAAGTGTAGTGTTATGAATGATTAGAAATGATCTAAGTTAAAGTTAGAACTGTAAAGATATGCGTAGGTAAATGTGCTAGTCAAATGTGCAAAATATATTTTACCATGTATGCTTATAATTATAATTAGCGATGTATAGTTTGCGTGAAAAATTATGATGTGATTGAAAACGTTCAATAAATTATCTCTTGTGTAATCCGTTTTTCACTACCATTCATTTAAGGGAAAATATTTCAAAGACGTAGGCTATTTTCGTTCATATGGAAGTTATATCAGCAGGGATCACTATGGACGAAGAGATGGATTGCACGTCAAGTTTATTGACTCAGCATGAAAGACCTGAATGCACTGATTCTTCTACTGGTTAGTATCGCAAAAAAAGAACTGAAGTATCTGCTTCAGTTCTTTTTTTGATTGTCCAAAAACTATTAAGAGATGCATTTACAAACTTAATGAGGGAAATTATGGTATAATTTTTTGTTTTCCTGAAAATTCATGTATATTTTTGATGTATATTCCAAAAGGCTGTTTTTTGTTGCTTACAGAAACGGATATGAGTTAAAGCAAATATAGTCACTACTTGTAAATTAAATCTTATTAGATTAAACTGGACCATTCATTTCCAGGAAAAGAAAATTGAATTAGGAAGAAGCGTTCAGGAATTATTCTTTTAGAACCGAAGAGACAACGACTAGATGATGATGCTGATGAAAAATTAACAGATAATGCGATTAGAACTAAGAGACTAACTCAATTAAAGAAAGATATTGCTATCTTGGAGGCTGCAGTTCGGCGCGGTCAAGAAACGGTAGAAAAAATGTTAAATATGGCGGTAGAAGACATGGCAATTGATCCATTGGTAACAATTCATATTTGTTAATTTATCTTATCTCCATTTATCATATTTCGAGTCAAAAATTATGTCTTAGAAAATGTCTGTTTCAGTCTCGACAGGAAGATCTCTTAAGGAGGCGTCATTCACTAATGGCTGAGATTACTTCTACACAAAAAGCAGCGGGAAGAAGTAGGTTCAAATCTATTGAAATTAAAGAGATAATAGTGTGAACTTCGTTTTTTTAAGGAATAACTTAATAGGAAGGAAAATTTCTATCATTTGTACTTATTTTTTATCTTATGTTCAGTGAACCGAGTGGAGCGTTTGCAAAACGGTTCGTTGGTGGTTAATTTATTGGAGAATATCGGAAACAGCAACGATACTCCTTTTATTAAAGTAAGGAAATTTTGCTGTAAAAAATTTCTGTTATCCGGAAGATAAAAAATTAACGACTAAGTAGTGTTATGAAATGAACAGACAGTTTTATGATAATATATCATATTTCAATGGATTTCAGTAATCATTTTCTTCAATTCAAGGTGTTCCAAACTTGCTGCATTTTAAAAATCATTCGAACTATTCGTCAGATTTCTCTTGTGTTCAGGTTGAAGCATGGGAACTAAAGAAATGCGGTTGTGATTTCTGCAATGTTTATAATTCATCCCGAATTGAGCTCCCACCACGTGTCTAAATTATTTTCCTATGAAAGGTTTGTGGTAACGTTTAAAATGCAGATCTTCTTGATTAGTGTTGTAAATTTAGTTGTGATTGTTGAATCAACTAAAAGACAAGTGAAATTAAGCTGATTGAGTATTAGTTTTCTTAGCAGTTTCCCATTTACGATAACTAAATTCCTCTGTAGATAGAGCTTTAAATGGTAATGTATCACCGCTTATTTCAGCCTAGGTGATTATTTCGAGATCTCAACAGCATTGTCCATGATCTATGCTGAAATATTTATTATTGCATATGAGTCCGTGGGAAGTTTGGTTTATTTTAGAAATTTCAGTGAATCGGTCTGATTTTATTTGATGATTTTATATAGAAACATTTATATTTCGCTTTTTTTTGAGTTCTAGATTTTGTATAAATATTTTTCTTAAGTTAATGTTTCTCTAAAATCTTTCATTTCTGAACATAGTTAGGGCCATTTCGTAGCGTTATTTTTTCTTGTCTTTCATTTTTTTTTTTTCTTTAAATTTGGATTGATCTGATTAAATTAGTATTACAAGGAATTAGTCTGATTTTTTTCTAGCTTTATTGCTTAACCGCTAGTTACTTTTACTTCACGTGCGCTTCTTTTTTGCTCTATTGATGCAGTTATAAACGCACTTTGTGTATATTCACATATAGTATTAGGTACATGTTCTCTTTAATAACTCATTCCATTTTTTATGAAAAATTTCCTACTACTGCCATTGATTCCAATAAGATAATTATTCCCTAAAGATATTTGTCAATGAAAAGCAACTTTTTAGATTTGCTGCTTGAAGACCACTTGTCGCTTTGATAAGTGGCTTGCTTTGTTCAGCAGATGTGTTTGCCAATAAAATATTTTTTTTATTTAAAAATGCTTCTTTAACAGTGAATAATGTCATAGTGCATCATCCATACATCGTGTTAGTACGCTGTAGTTTGGAGATAGCTAAATCGGATATTTGAGATTTTCGATATCTCTTCTTTAATTCCTTTTCCAAGTATTCACAAGCAATATTAGTAAGCACTGGGGTGATTGTGAATATAAACAGATTAACTTGTGTTAGGAGGTATCAGTATCGGTGTTTTTGGGCATATAACGTATGAATATGGCACAAAACACTATTGCTATTTTGATAAGCTCGTCGGCTGCTGCTGTTTTAGTCTTTGACTTTCTCTTGTAAATTAATTTTGCATTGAGTTTTTCTGCTTAATGAAGTGAATGGCTTTGCAAAGTAAATTACTACTGTATAGGAAATGTCGATGCTGGATCAACTGGAAGAGATGGGTTTCCCTCACGATGTTGCGTATGCTTTTATTCTTTTTAAAAAATCCATTTTTGTAGTTATTCCATAATATGAGGAAAATAAATAAATGAGGAAATAAATGAGGAAATAAATATGCAAATTGTTGAAAAAAAAAAAAATGTGCAAGATTCATTGGAACTTCATGCTACAGTTATTGATTTTAGCGAAAAAGCGTTACGAGAAACCGGTGAGGCAGGGTTGATTGAGGCAGTGGAGTGGATTGCGGCCCATCAGAAGGATGATGATATAAATCCGGCGAAACCTATTGAGCCACAATTGCCGGAAGAGGAAAGTTCGATTATTGAATTTGCTGAAGAAGAGGAACCATCGAAACCATCATCTACTGAAGCACAGCAAGCAATGTCATTCAAATGTGATGTGTATGCATGTTTGAAAAATTTCCACACATAATGTTGAATGACTGACTACAGTAGACAAGATGAAATGTAAGGGAGAAGAGAGATATTAAAGAGTAACAGCAGATATATTAGTCAAAGAAACGTATTTCTGTAGTTAAGAGACATACTTGGACAGATTTTATCAGTACTCACCGCTTTAGTGACCGGTATTCCAGTCAGGTGATGCATGTAAGTTCTTTCTTTTCCATGAATTCAATTCATAAGCATCTAACGTTCGAAGTGTCGTACGACAGGTGGGTGATTGCTTGACATGCAGGCGCACATGCTAGGCTTTTTAGATGTGGAAAACAATTAGCCGACGACCAAGCTGTTATGTTCCATGCAGCACGTACAAAACATGAAGCATTTAGTGAATCAACGGAAACTGTGAAGCCGTTAACAGAAGAAGAAAAGAAAGAAAGAATAACAGCGTTGCAAAAGAAATTGAAAGAAGCAAGAGCAAAGAAGGAAGAGGAAGAAAGAAAGGAAACGCTGGAGAAAGTTGGTATTTCTTCTCATTGGCTTTCAAGAATAATTTGCTCGAAATTAAGTCTCCTCAGTCCTTTGGATAATCATTATAATAGAAAAAAGCAATTATAGGAAAAACGTCGTCGTCTAGAGGGGAAATCAATGGCAAAAATGGAAGAAGAAAGAAAAGAAATGGAAATGAGGAAAATATTGGAAGAAAAGAAACGTGAAAAGCGTGAAGTAAGACCTTGAAAAAAAAAGTTTTGGATGGAAACTATAATGTTAGAAATTAAATTATTTGTTAAGGAAATGGAAGCACGTAAACGTGTTTTGGAACAAATTCGTTTGGATCGAGAAGCTCGTAAGCTAGCTGAACAACTGAAACAGCCGCAGTCAACAACACTGGAGATTTATTCACCACTGTCTGCTGTAAATGAAGCGCCTCCAGTAAAGGATGTTGATTATTGCCAAATACAAGTACGATTACTTAATGGATCAACCATCAAGGAAAAGTTTAAAGTAAGTTTAATTTTCTAACATGGTGGTGATATACGAGCAATCATGGGATTTAGTTTGGTTGAAGCTTAGTAACTGTATGGCACACATATTTCTGGAATTATAATTTCGTTACACTTCTTCGATTGGACTTTCAATGAATTCACAATATTGAAGTACAGCAATCGTGTAAAGATGTGCCAAAGAGTATTGCAAGTAATAACATCACTTTGTAGCCAGATGAACCATTGTCTCATGTACGTCTATGGGTAGAAATGCATTGCAAGGATGCAATGGGCGGTGTGCCGTTTACCCTTATGACTCCATTTCCACGTAAAATATTTACCGATGAAGATATGGAAGCATCTATCAAAGTCCTAGGTACGTTTTTAAATGTTATTCGTAAAGCATGTCTACATTGCTCGTGTAGTTTCAACTGGGATTTTCAGGGTTGATGCCTTCTGCAAACATGGTTGTTACACGCACTACTCGCTAAATTTTTTCCACTCACCTCGCAGATGATGTAAGCAACCACTGTGAGAATTGACCAACTTGTTGAACGCACACTCCGCAAGTAATTTAATTGTTTTGCTTATGTTTAGCAAAAATACTACCATAGGATCTGTTTTTTAATTTATGACGAATACCAGCTGTAACCATTCCGGAATCGTCTGCTGTTTTGAAAACAAAATCATGAATCATTACGATTTTTTTAATGTACATTGGTAATGAATACATCTAACACTAAAAAAAATAGTCAATGCATCTACAGTATTCTCAAAAATATCGGACAATTACTTCATCCATCACAAAATTTTGCATTTCCTTTCCTGGTATTTCTGTGTCCCTTATAAACCAGCTTCCTCTTCTCAACTTGATCTTCACTGGCACACCGATATTCCCAAATATGCTGAAACGCCTTGAAAGAGTAGATTGGCTTCATTCTTACAGCTGAAGTCTCGATATCGTAAGATGCCGATTCTACTTTGTGTCCATAAATTATGCTTGAGTTAGTGGGATCAATAATTTGATGCTATAGAGGCAAAAATCTAGAAAAACCGCTTAATTACAATGAAGTGGAATAATATATCGGAATGATGCCGACTTTGTCCGGCAGAGTAAACCAATTATTTTGATACCTCTATTTCAAAAATACAAAATATTCATACGTTACTCAATGTAAAGTTGCTCAGTGTCATTAAAAGTGAAACTAAAAGCTAAGCACTCATGGAATTAACAATTCTCCATTCAAAAACATTTGAGTTAGATACTAAACATGGTGGTGTTTTTAAAAGTAATCTGGTAGTGGTACAATTCAGGTGATATCATCTTAAATATGACACAAACTGATACAGTTTAATGATTTGACAATGAATTTAAGATAAGTGCGAATGACACAAATGTTAGAAAGTTATATACCTTCTGTTATTTAAAAATAAAGGAGACAATTTCCGTAATTAAGATGGGGAAAATGCGCAATGAGGTTAATATTTTGAAGCTAAAGATGGCCGTAATTAAAAGCCGAGGCAATAAAAAAAATCCACGAAAAAACAAACTTTGAAGGTAACAACTGGAAATTTTAATACAATAACTGCGAGATCAGCTACATGACAGCAGTTTCATGAATCTTCCATTTTCTCTAAAGCCACTTTCACGCGTTCCTTCAGTGCACCTTTATATGTCGCCATATCCAAATTTGGGAATTTTTCCGCAATCTATAAACTTAGCAATTTTTTAAATGAAAGTTAATGAGAGCGGTAGTAGTGTCTTGTTCCAGTCTTCTTACTGGACTGATTCAGTGGTTATTTCACAGGGGAATCAGCTGCTCCCCATTTGCAGTCAGACGACCTTTCAACTATCAGTATTATGTAAACAAAGTTTTAAAGCATATTACCCTGTACATCAATTACTGATTCTATGGTTAACGTTAATAAAAAACCTTCTAACAGAACCTTTAGTCAACTTAGAATGCTAATCATTTATTTCATAAGATTTCTCTTTAAGATATTCTAAACCACATAGCGCCAATTAGCTCTGTGTTTCAACAGTCGAAATCCCTACCCTTTCACACATCTGTTTCATTGTACAATTAACAAGATCCACAGAACGCAGAATTTCGTTGATAGTAGTTTCCACCTCTGCATTTGAAGGTCCACCATCACCCCACGACGAGTCATCCTTAATATCAGCGAAACATTTACACTCTTCTTTTTGATATTGATATAAGAAATTCTAAACACTAATTCCAATTATGACGCAAGAAATGTGACCAGTTAAAATAAAAATTCAAAGCAAACCTTTGCCACAGTGCTTTTGGAAACAGAAGCTAATTTGGTTGAACTCTTCATCCTTTCAGAACGACTTTCTGTTGTGCTTGTCGATTTCTTCTCTTCAATATCTCCATCACCGCTAGATTCCTCTCCGCTTTGACCAGCGTCGTCATCCTCACTTGATTCTTCCTTTGATTTTTTTATGTTTTTCTTATTTCCTACAAAAATTTTACAAAATGGCTTCAAAAAATACAACCATTTACTTCCACCTCATTTGCAAAAGCATGACAGATACCTTTCTCTTCATTGCTTTTTTTTGCTCTTTTCCCCGTCGATTTTGAAGAGCTTCTTCGCTTCTTTGCTGAGGTGACCTTTCTGCCCTTATCTTCCGGTTTTTGCAAGAAATGAAGGACATTCATCACCTTAAATAAACTTGCGTGAAATATCCTCTTATTTTGTAACAAAATCTCCAATCACGATTTCCTCTTTATGAATTAATATAGCTTTATATCGCGAAAAATGTAAGCTGTTATTTAATAAATATACTTACTGCTTCTTCTTTTGTATGTCCTCTCTCGGAACCCAAAATCCTTCCAATCATATGTAACTGAAAAGGTAAAAACTTTATTCATTGAAAAAAATTTTTTACTATTTTAATAAATTTCTCAGTAATGATAAATAATAGTAGATTGCTTCCACGAAAACCCATGATTACTGTCATGCAGATTTCAGTTTTAAGAACCGAGACCACGAGCTTCTATCGGAAAGCTACTGTACTATTTCAACCTATCAGTTGGACGTCTGTGCATGGTGTACAAAATCTTTATGCCATGAATACCAAGTTTCTCAAGTTATTAAAATTCCTGACTGAGCACCTCATTATTTGTAAACTTCATTGCCGTTGCCTTCTTCTTGTCGAAATCAGCACTCTTTTCATCAAATGCAAAACCGTTAAATCTTCTAAGATCTCTTTTTCTTGACGTTGCTGTCCCAGGTGTGCCGTAACATAGCCTGTGAAGCCATTTTAATGTCTCATTTTGCGCTTTAGAAATGCCATTATTCACTAAAAAATGAAAAGTATTAAACAAAATATCAAATGAAGGAAATGTCAAACTCACAAACAAGACCACTAGGAAAAATACTAAAATCTCGATATTCCTGAAGTTATATTTTCCTCCTAGAGAAAAACATAGACGCGCGAAAATAGTTAAATAGTGAAAGTTGACATAAAATTATATTATGTCAAATTATGTCACTGCACCACCCTAATTACAACATTCTTGCAATTACCACAATTTCAGCAGTGCTCTCTAAACAAAATTTACCGAATTCAATGTCTCCAAGACAAGTTCCTGACCCAACTGCGTCCAGGGATGTTTTCCTTGAAGATGGAGACGAAACTGCTGCTAATCGTTCCACTGCATGGCGCTGTCTTTTTCCCTCTCTTACAACTGGCTCATCAAGGAGACCTATAAATTCGATACCATTAGCAAAGCAGCCTATTATGTTCATAATTTTAATAGAGAAGATTCGTGTATAATTTCATATTTATAACCAGCATACTAACTTATCAACTTATCATCATCATTATAACAACTGTCTCAACTCAACTATAATGACCATCATGTTCGATCATTGTCCTAAAAACGAACCTCTTTTTATAGGTTTCGGTTTTTCTTCTCTGACCATTCCTGTGGTTTCCTCCATATCATTACCAGTAGTATTCATTTCACTGCCACTTTTGTTCAGATTTTCAGTAAATGATTCCGACGTTGCCTCTTCCTTTATTTCAGTGCTTCCTTCATTCTTTCTTTCAACATTCATTTCATCTTTTTTAACATCGGCCACTGTCCCCTCTTCTTTTCGACCATCAACTATTTCCTCTTCATCACCTTCATCTTTCGATTTCTCTTCCTTTTTCGTCTAAAATAACCAAGAAGTAAACCCTGACTACTGAAATACAAATATAGAACAAAATGGTAGTAAAAAAAGTATACTTGGGAAATGCATGAAAACATTCCGTACCAAAAAAAAGTAAATAGATTTCATGCTGTTCATAATTTTATTTATGAAATCTTATCCAAAATGATGAATAAACACATTCTTACCCGATCGCTAGCTTCTTCTTTATATTCATCAGCCATTGACGTACATACGACTTATTAAGACTACCTCGCAAACTGCAAAAACATGAGTAGACCGAATTAGTACGAAGAAAAAGTTAAATTGATTTATCATGAGGTTATGAGGTTACCAGTAATTACAATGTATAAATAGTGGTAAATAGAAAAGGAGCAAAAAATAGCGAAGTGTCTAATAGCCAATCTCAGATATACCACAACCTCACATATCACAGATTAGAATCACTCAACCCTACCAATTGAACACCACAACCACACCCTCACCTCCCGCCAACCCATCACTTTTTAAAACTAAGACCCGCCCGGATGGTCACACCAAAACCAACATCTCATCGTGGCACATTCTCATACAGCTCACCACCGACTCGATATGAAAAGCTTCAATCCACGGAGTATTGTGATAATGCCATGTAGCGTAGACTTAATGTTAGCACATAGCTATGGACGTATGCATCGTCGTCAAAGCGTGTAATTTTGCAGCTGAACGTCATCGCTTACAGAGACGGAAAGATGCTTTGCAGACGCCTTATATCAATCATCCTATTGGTAAATTAAACTTTGCTTATTAGAGTTATTTAGCTTGCAAAATATTTAGAGTTAGAATAGAACAAAAGTATGAAACTGATTATAATTGACCGCAATTATGCTATTTCAAGAATATTTCATGTCATTTAGTCTTTTGGAAGCATTTCAGTATGTTTTCATCGTCATTGTTGCATTTATCTTCACATGTAATATTTTTCTATTTCATTTTTTTTTTCTATATTTGTATCTTCTGTATGTTAAGTTAAGACGCATAAAATTTTTGATTAGGATTTATACTTCGAAGAATTTATTTTAGGTGTTGCGAACATATTATCCTCAGAAGTTGGTGTGACAGACAGTGCGACGATTGCAGCAGCACTGTTGCATGATACTGTTGAAGATACATCTACTACTTTCCAGGAAATCAGTAGTTTATTTGGTGAAGAGGTGCTTTTCTCTCGAAACTTTTTGTGGTAGCTCAAAGAAGAACATTTGGTACGAGATTATGATCTGTTGATCTTATTTTCTATTTTCAGATTAGTCAAATCGTGCAAGAATGCACCGATGATAAAAGTTTACCAGCCTCTGTACGGAAACAGCTACAAATTGAAAATGCGGCAAAACATTCACATAAGGTTAATTTATAATTGAACATGAGAGAGCAGAATAGGAAGGAAGCTGAATCATGTATTTATTATTACTAATTATTCATTTTGATTGTATTGTATATTTTACATTTTTTTGAGATATTCTTGTTCTGGAAAGGACTTGTCCTTCATTAGTGTAAAACCAAATGCTTAACTTATGTCCTTGAATACAAAACCAAATCCTGGAGATTTACAGCAGAGGATATTGAAATATAAAGTGAAACGTAGCATCTCGAATTTTACTATTCTTTGTCTCCTGTTCAGCGTCTTAATGGTGTTAGTTATGTGTACCATATGAGGCGCAGTTTTATTCGACTGAGTTTCAAAAACATAATTTTAAGAAATTGTTCTTGTGTTAAGCAATTTCGAGGAAAAGCAGAATATGGCAATTCATACTTTTCACCAGAATGTTGAAGAAGACATATCATTTTAAGGGTGAGAATAGAAACAGTGAGTCGATCATTAGTATCACAAAGAAAAATGTGCAACTATTGTAAGAATTAAATAGGGTAGAACAACGCAGTCTAGTGAGATATAACTACCGGAGAGTGTAGATTTGCACACACGTAATATGTAAGCATGCAAGGGAAAATATTCTGTGCTAAGTACTTTTTTTAAAAAGAAGTCGAAATTGAAATTAAATGAAAGTAATATTATTTGAGCATTAAATAATGTGTGATCCCAATAATATGTATACACTGAGCAGGAATTATTGATTGTCATGTTATGCAGTTCCACAAATACAATCTGTTGTAGGCAAAATTAATTCACCTCGCCGATAAACTGTATAATTTGCGGGATTTGGAACGTGAGACACCGGTTGGATGGAGTACACAAAGGGTAAAAGAATATTTTATATGGTCGAAAGCAATTGCTTCAGAATTAAAAGGAACTAATGAAGCTCTGGAAGTCGCCCTTGATGATGTCATTAATAGGTATTTGTACAAATGAGATTAAACAAAAGTTTACAGGCTTGACAATATTGTGCAATATCCCCTTTTTTTGCAAATGATATTATTCTTGCTATTGTTTGACAAGATGTTCTAGACTACTCCTGTCGAGAAGTTCTAGGGATTTGTTAGAAGGAGTTTTCTTGGTTGTGATTTGGAGTCTGTAATGACGAATGTGTTCTGTAATAGTATCTGTTGCAACAAAGTTTTATTCGCTAGCAACTACATTTCACAAAATATTAATTAAAACATTGACAATATGCTGATAATTTCATAGAGATGTTACTAAGAGTATTTGATGAGGTGGAAGAAATAAACGGATGCTATACATATATAATATAATATAATAAATTTAAATAAATGAAATACAAATTATATAATGTAAAAAAAATAAATAAATAAATTTAAATAAATGAACCTTAATGAGTGCACGAACCAGCCAAACTGAAGCTTGTTGACCCTCGAACACTGATTGAAGCAGTGATTTAACATTTTATATAATAGATATTGGTTTACAACAAAGCGCACGATTACAGTGATTAAGAACTGTCCTGCCGGATGATCTCTACTCTTTGTACAGTAAGAGTTGAGTGATGTCATTTGCTCATAAGAATGATTACTAGGTTAGAAAACACGGTAATATATTGTAGATTTGGTTTAGAATAAAAGAACAATTTCCAAAAATATTAATTATGCATATATTCTTTGTTAACAACTGTAACATTCAAATAACAGCCAACTGGAAGATGAGTGTTGGATAAATGATTGCTTACATGATATGTAATTTGGAAATAGTTTTTGTTTGTCTGAGAGATATTTAATTCAGACAATTTTTGGATTTTATTTTCACATATTATTATAATTGGTCCTGACATTTCCGAGCGGAAGATGTGAAAACCTTCAGGAGAAAAGATTAGATACAATGTTTGAATGTGTCGGTTTGGAGCATTTCTGGTTCGTACAGCGATAGGCTGTTATTGTTCATCGTCTTCCAAAACTGATTTGTCGAACTCAGTTGGTCAATTTTTGAATTTCCTTTACTTCTAAAAGGTACAGCATATTCACTAGTTAATTGAGGGGCATATTCACTAGTTAATTGATCTTTCATTTCATTTACACTTACATTTGCTCTAGTCCTCATTTATGTAGTTGTTTTTGTTAATTAAAAAAAATTTTTTCTCAGAGTAAAATAGACAACTTACCGGTGGCAATATATCTCCGAGACACTCATCCTTACAAGGCGCCAACATGTTACGTGTGCCCAACGACGGATATTGTACTGAGGGAATCCGAAACAGTGGATGAGTTAGGACGCATTTCTTTAACATATCTTCGTAATTGGACCTTTCCAGGAAATCATTTAAGTGGTATAATAATAATAATAATAAATGAGGACTAGAGCAAATGTAAGTGTAAATGAAATGAAAGATAGAAGAGAGATCGAAATAGTGTGTGACAAAATATAATACCAAAATGGAGTGAGTGACTAAAACAATCAAGCCGTCTACAAAATAAATAAGGAACGCTCTTAAATGACAAACAGGGATGGCGCCCTCCAGACAAAATGCAGTTGAACACGTGTAGTCCGGATAAATGTGATTAAACACGTTCGGTTTGAATCCAGGAAAGTGTCTTAAAGCTGACAGTATGTCAGCTTTCGCCATATTCATATATTTTGCTTTAGCTCGTTGCAGTAAAACATCAACGGTCGACGAAGCGAGCCTGTCTTTCATTACTACAAAATTTCATTTATAATCATTTTTTTTTTTATATTGATAAGAATTAGATTTTTGCATAATGGATGACGAATTAGATTTTTGCATGATAAATGCTCAATACTCCACAATAAGTAGTAGTTCCCATGGTGTGTGGAAATTAGCCAGGATAAAAGAAAGAGATAGAGAATTAAGAGGTGCTTCAATAGAATTACCACACAGAAAACCCCTCAATTGACTAGTGAATATGCTGTACCTTTTAGAAGTAAAGGAAATTCAAAATTTGACCAACTGAGTTCGACAAATCAGTTTTGGAAGACGATGAACAATAACAGCCTATCGCTGTACGAACCAGAAATGCTCCAAACCGACACATTCAAACATTGTATCTAATCTTTTCTCTTGAAGGTTTTCACATCTTCCGCTCGGAAATGTCAGGACCAATTATAATAATATGTGGAAATAAAATCCAAAAATTGTCTGAATTAAATATCTCTCAGACAAACAAAAACTATTTCCAAATTACATATCATGTAAGCAATCATTTATCCAACACTCATCTTCCAGTTGGCTGTTATTTGAATGTTACAGTTGTTAACAAAGAATATATGCATAATTAATATTTTTGGAAATTGTTCTTTTATTCTAAACCAAATCTACAATATATTACCGTGATGACATCACTCAACTCTTACTGTACAAAGAGTAGAGATCATCCGGCAGGACAGTTCTTAATCACTGTAATCGTGCGCTTTGTTGTAAACCAATATCTATTATATAAAATGTTAAATCACTGCTTCAATCAGTGTTCGAGGGTCAACAAGCTTCAGTTTGGCTGGTTCGTGCACTCATTAAGGTTCATTTATTTAAATTTATTTATTTATTTTTTTTACATTATATAATTTGTATTTCATTTATTTAAATTTATTATATTATATTATATATGTATAGCATCCGTTTATTTCTTTCACCTCATCAAATACTCTTAGTAACATCTCTATGAAATTATCAGCATATTGTCAATGTTTTAATTAATATTTTGTGAAATGTAGTTGCTAGCGAATAAAACTTTGTTGCAACAGATACTATTACAGAACACATTCGTCATTACAGACTCCAAACCACAACCAAGAAAACTCCTTCTAACAAATCTCTATTTGACAAATAATAAAAGTAAAAATATCGTAATGAATTTTGAAAAGAAAAAAAAAATAATTAAATGAAGCAATCAGAATGCAAAATACAGGAATACATTTTAGATACATCTTACCGATTCACCAACAGTTCCTAAGTTCACAATGTTAAACCAGATATCGATAAAGATTGACAGACTAAAGGCTTGAAGAAAATATTGTGAAGTATTATATATTTGCGAGATTAGAAAAACCATTTGTCTTTATTATGATCAGTATTTGTGACTTGGAATAGCTGCAAAGCGTGCTTTGCAACATGCTGATTGATCTACTGTTGAAGGTTCTTGCACTCGATATTCTTCAGTACACCGATCACATATCATTACCGTTGTTTCCGTTCCCATTTCATAGATACTAGCTCGAGCTTTATCTGGATGTTGTCCCGGATAATTAAGTATTGTAGAATGAGGAAGCAATAAACCTAGAAAAGAGGTTCAGTCCACAAAAGAGAAATTTAAAAATTTAATTAGATGCATCCGCTAAAGAACTTTTGGAAGATCTCTGGAAAAGAAATTAAAGCTACCTTTCAGTTGTAATACAGTATAGCAAAAATAAAACAAAATTTTCAATTAACTTGTGTTAAACATTAATGATAAGAAAACTGAAATAAGGAAAAGTTTGAAATGCTATATTCAACTACTTATGCAACATCAAATGAACAGAGAAGTAATATTATGAAGATCGCTCCGTATTAGATAAGTGAGAAAAAAAATATTAACTTCCTAGGTAAAACAAATGAGTAAATCAAGACAAAGAAAATTTATTTTGAACTATCTTTATTTGCAGATATGCCTTTATTTCAAACCGAACCAATGACTTTTCGTGGCAGAAAGACTTTGAAACTTCTCATAACTTATTCAAATACCAACTACTAAGCAATTAATTTTCACTTTTCTAATATATACTTATGCACCTCAGATTAATTCTAATAAAAAGAAAGAATTATTAACTGATAGAAGACAGAAGTATTCGATAGAAGTACTAATACCATTCGTTCTTTCTTGATAACTGTCTTGTTTTATGCGACGATTTTCCGCTTCCAGTTCTTGTTTTGCCTTACGTAAATCGTTCACTATTTCCAGCAAACCAGCATTTGTAAATATTAACTTGCTATTTTGCTCCTCCAATGTTGCCACACGTTGCCTGAGATTATTAACGTCATCTTGCGTCTGCGAATCTAAAACGAAAAAGGTGTTTCATAGGAAAAAAAATAATACTATCCTGGTTATTATGCTCTTATCACTCAATAGAAAGAAATGTTTTATTAAAGAATGAACATTTCACTACTAACAAAAACAACTCATATATCATCTTACTTTTTCTATTTGTTGGAATAGATAAGACAACAACTACAGCTTACAGATAAAAATACCTAATGGATAAAATTATTGGGAGAATGTCAAAGAATTATCAGTATTACAAGATTTACTTAATGGCATAGCTATTATTCAATTACAGAATTTATCCGAAAAAACTATTATTTACGGAAACTATTGCTTACTAAAGCACCATAAATTTTCTAAAATTTTATTAATAAGAAAATTACGCAAGTGCAACCAATATGATAGTATACCAGGTGATTTTTTTCGAATCGATCGAGCATTATAAACCTGTTTCCTATCTCGAAGTGTCGCTTGTGCATCCATATTACCAGTCGAATCAACCGACAGCTCATTCCAAATAGTTGCAGGACTTTGTGAACCGATACGTTCCTTGATCTTGAGCAAAGTTGATGGATATGTCCTTATGTATGGATTCTGACTATGCTTATTATTTCCGTGAGGACGTGGTTGCAAATTACAATTTTCCAAACATTTGTATGACAGGAGAGCATTCCCTGTTGCTCGTCCATTTCTGGTCAAATAACACAAACATTTCATTAAACCAAGAGGTGGATCCGAATGAGGATGGCTGCCGTACTTTTTCCTTATGACGTAATATGGATTTTTTGTGTCCGGAACACCTGCAGCATTAACTCTTATGCTTTTACACGTTGGTCTTCGTACAGTACCAGCCCATGAACCTATAATTTAACTAACATTGCTAAGTAGCACAGAAGAATAATATATTGAAGTCTTAATTATTTAGAAAGCGACATACCTAAATCAAACATTGAAATTTGGAATTATCCCATAATCTACTTCGCAAAAAGAAAAAGATTCTAAAAGTGGTATCATGACAAGAAAATGAAAGTATTATTTAACATAATTATTACAACCAGTTATTCCAGAATAAATTTTCTGTTTTTTTATTCTTATTTATTTTATGTTTTTAAGTATATGTTGTTCTAAGGCATAAATGGAAATGTTTCTTCTATATAAATGCGCTAAAAATAAAAATGTGCAGAGTCTTCAATTTTTTGCAGCAATATTCTCACCAATTATCTTCGGCAAACTTATATAATTCTTCAACTTGTCGTTTCGATAAAACAAAACAGTATATGACAAACATATGAAAAATTATTTAAAAAGAGACATACCTAAATTGTCCACCCAAAGATCTCGCTCGGAAATGAAATCTGTATCCAAAAGAAATGAAATTTCAAAAGGTTGACCATTTAAATAAATTTTCGGTAATCTTATATTCCTTTCCACAAAACTGAAAACAAATATCCAACGGTTAATTATGCAAAATATTTGATTCGATCCCGAAAACTACAAATCTGTATCAGCTGCATAAAACTTTAAAATACAATATAAAATCATTTGACAAAATAATAGCACATAAAATTACTCGAAGTTATTTCCTGATATTATCAACACTGTATCAATCTGCAGGACTGACAACAATAACAAGTGAGCTTCCGAAAAGAAGAAGCTCGACATAATAGCAAAAGAAATTTATTTCTCCAAAATGTTCAAAATACTATATTCAACAACAACAACGAACTGCTATTATCGTCTAAGATCAGTTTTGAGTAAATAAAAGAATATTTCTGAAGTAAGATTTAACACACCATATTTTATTGGATTAGAAAAAAAAAAAAAAAAAACTACGGAATTTTAGAAGTCAGAATATACGAACCTGAAAGTCAACACAGATAAATGAAATGACCTACGTGCTAATCATATCTTTGATTGGCAAATCTTTGACCTTCGATATGTACTTGTAACTATAGATAACACCATCGACGACAGGTAACGAACTGCAATAATTTGTGCACAGTTTGTTCATTAAAGAGAATCATGCTGATGCATGACTAAAATATCTCTTGGAAAAACACTAATACATCATTAACAATTATGTTACACAGATATTATGAAAATGGGATGTGTAACCAAGCCACCTATAACTTCCTAAAATTTCCAGGTAACATGGCCTCAGTGGTATTATAATACAAATATTTTCAAAACCACTGTTCATAATAGCATTAAAGTACTTATATATGCTTATTTTACATATTTATGCAGCACCAGCTTTTAAAAAATAGAAATCTGGTGTAAAGTGTTGTGGTTTCAATATATGTAATTATAATAATTCCGCTAGCTACAGAAAAAAGTAAAGGAAGGAAGATAAAAATGCTCTTCAGAATCAACTTTTCTAAAGCTTATTTTAAATTTAAGCTAAACAACTAACATTCCGTCATCAGCACTTGTTGAAGGTCGACTTTCTGTTTCTGATTTCCGTTTCTCTTCTCGCCGATTTTCACCATCCCGCTTCCCGAATTCATCTGTGCCAGCAGGCATTTCGACTTCTTGACTCTGTGATAAAATTAACTGCTGCTCCATTCAGAACATCTAAAAACGAAAACAATTAGAATAAAACTTTCCCCAGTGATGACTGTAAACTGATAAAAGATAAATGATGTTTCTTCGAGATTTTCTTCCAAAGTAACTAAGCAATATAATACTTTCTTAAAAAAATCATAGGTCATTGCCATTATATGTTAAATTTTTAAAAACCAACGATGCAAATCATTTGATATAACAAATAACTGCTGGTTCGGTTTCCGTGATGTAAACAAGAAAAAAAAAATCGATCAAAAGTCAATGAATAACCAGGTAAGGTTTAAAATTTAAGCAACAAAATAAATCAACAACAACTGATCTGTTGCATTTAATCAAATTCGACAGTAACACAGATTTACAGATCATCCAACCCAATCTTTAAAAATCTAAAAGTATTTAATCCTCAAATGAAGTAACTATTCCACAGCTAATCTCATTCCTTAACTAGCATTTCCTTTTCTGTCAACAATAAAAACAAAAAAAAAACAAAAAACAAACACAAAATAATGATAATATACCGTTATTGAATTACCTATCCAAATTACATCTTATTTTAATTTCATTTCATTTCAGAAATTAATTTCATCCATTAAACGCTGGTAAGATTATTTTTCCATCAATATTTTCACCAATAAATAATCCATTGGGATGAAAAATTGCAGTAATAATAAGAAGTTACAATCATTCTGAGATTGCCTTATGTCTCGGTACACTTCCGGTTCACATTTCCGGTTTCTCTCAGAGCAGAAAACCCTCTCACTTCCATTTCTCTCCGTAAACTAATATACTCAAACTTTCTGTTTTCATTTTCTAACAAAGTGTTACTCCACAAATACTACTTCTATCTCTCTTTTACGTTCCCTTTTTCCCTCTCTTTCCTTTCACTTCCAATCTCTCATTCGTATATTCTCAAAATGCTTAATTGCATTCCTCCACGTATCAATCCGTCATTATGTTACGGTTCACGTAAGTGCTTAAGTATGACGCTACTCTAACTCACGTGTACTTCTGTAGCACGAGATAATGGTCGGCTTAACTAATAAACTGCTAACGCACATACCAATATTTGTGGAATAATCGAGATGATGTATGATATAAAAGTATATTGAAAAATTATTCATAAAAATTTTTAATTGAAACATTTCAGAGTAAAAAATAAACTATTGCTTAAACTTTTAAAAATAATAGATCTTTTATCTAATTTGTAAATGTTTTAAAATAACAAAACATTTGCTAGGTAATATTTAGAAATCTTTCTAATTTAATCATAAGCGTATTATTATGTTGGATTTTCCTTCTTTTTTTTTTTTTTTTTGATGCTTTGAATGTTTTTTAATTATATAATAAAGCTATTATAGTATCATAAAATATTACAAATGTTTTCCAGTCCGATTTATGTGTTCTTAAAATTATTTTAACTAACTGTAATTATTGGATGTTGAAATGAATTTCATTTTATTATATAAGCAAGAATTAACTTTCACAATTAGCATAAACTTTCGTGTCTTACAAAATTTTAGCACAATTTAAGGATCAAATTTCTCTGAGACAAACAATGTAGTGATTAAATCTATTTCTAATATGTGAAATTATACTATAAATGTATGAATAATAAATCTCTCAAATTATTCGGCTATTTTCAGTGATAAAATTTGAAAGGAAATTTTCCTTTCACAATAATATTTGCATGATGGATAAGATTGAATGAATGGGTGATTCATTTTCATTTAATATCGAATATTAAATGTTTATCATTGCAATGATTCTTTTACGGTAAGTTAATTTTTTTTTTTTTGATTTTTCTTTTTATCTGTAATTATAACAATTATAAGTCATAAATGGTAATCATATGACATTATAATCATAAATAATTTCATCATATCACTCGTACTAAAAATATCTAAAAGATTGCGATTAAGCAAATAATCATGAATCTATCATATTATATTGTATTGTAAATAAAACTACACCATATTAAATCGTATTTTATATTTTAATAATACTACACTAAAAATGCTATATATAAATATATCATATCGCTAATCATTATTTGCGAATGAAAGTAATTGATTAAAGTTAGATAAGTGATTGAATTTCAGTATATCTGAATAACATTCTTTTTATTTTTACACGTAGTATAGTAAATTACTGAATGAAGGAGAAGAAAAGAAAAAACTGGGTGAAAAAAAAAAAAAGAATTATCGATTATCGATTGATTGAAAATCTGTTATTTCTTTCAACGTAAAACGTAGTATGAAGCGTAGTATAAAATCTAATGTAAAATATGCGGCATTTCTTTTGTCGTAAAACTTAACATAAGCTTAGCACATGCTTTATATCAATTAAATAAACTTCATAGAATTCGTCATCCGACCTACTTGTGATGCTATGTTGGCCGAATTTTAGTAATGATTTAATCATCGATTTTTGCTCTGTAATCAATATATTAATAATCGATTATTAACTGGTCGATCGATTGTTAGCTAATTGTCATTCATTTCAGAATTGTTTTTATCAATACCTGAAAATTATAATTTATGCATTAATATTACTGTTACTTGTATATATTATGTTTATAGCAAGATTAATGGAGTATTACGTACGTGTAACAAGTAATATGTGATAATGTATGCTATTCAAAATAGTGGAGTATGGTATACTGCTGTTCGACGTATGACTTCATGGATTGCTAATGAAATTCCTAGTGTTATCAATGAGGAGAGATCAATACCGGTAATCTTTTTTTTAATTATTAGAAATTACTTAACTTTCTACTCTCAATATCTCACTGGGATCATTTCTGATTTATGAGGAAGATATATTCTAAGATTATAAAAGATCTATTTGTGAAGAAGATGTTGGGATAAGAGATATATTTGTTGAAGAAATATACTCGAGATATACTCCAAGAGGTATTGAGATACATTATGAGAGATAGAGATAATATTATTTTTTTATAAAGATAATATATATATATATATATATATATATATATATATAATACAGCGATAATATTATCGCTATTTGATTTATTTTTAGTCAGATAACTCCTCCTCAGCTTGTTCAAAAAAAAAGAATACATCTTTTAACCTCCTCCTTTGAAAATTTCTTTCAAATTAATGTTTTTTTCTTTCTTTTTAGCAGTTCCTTCTTCCTATCGGGAAATTTCTTACGATTAATTGGTACTAGGTTATATTGATTTGTTATTGTGCTTTCAAATAAGTGTCATATTGCACTGAATGTTTTTCGGTAGTTTCGTGGTAGTTTAGAATGAACTGTCATACACTGAACTTTTAAGTCTTATAACCATATGAAATCTTGTCACCATCGTTATCACTTCACTTCGTTACCATCAGTGTTTACTTCTGATAAATATATCAATCTACGGATTACCATTATTTTCTCTCATATTTCTTCTTTTAATCATTTACATCCATAAGAGTGACATCATTTAATTCATTTATTTTTTCCACCATATGTTCTAATGCTTATTCCAGGAGTTAAAGAAGAAAACAGGTGTACTTGTGGTAAATGTTGGTACACCATCTGGTTATGATTATTTGCCGATCAGACGTTTCCTGCGGGAATTTCTCAGTGATCGACGAGTTATCGAGTTACCCCGAATACTCTGGTGGCCCATCTTGCACTTTTTTATTCTGACAACAAGACCATTCATCGTAGGAAAATCATACAAGTAATACAATGTTTTCAAGAAGGAAGAAATTTAGATTAGGTGTAGTAGAATCCTTCAACTATTACTCTCATATTTTTATTAGGCGCCGCTCGACAGTGTATAAAATCGGAAATGGATGATAATGGAAATATTACAATATTTAGATTGATTTGGAATACAGTAGAAGACGAATGTCCATTGCAGACTGTAACCCGTAACCAGTCGGCTAAATTGGCTAATCGTTTAAGTGATCAATCGGTAATGTTGCAATAGTTGTCGATTTTGGATGATTAGAAAGATGAATAAGGGTAATGATCTTGTAGATGTCATATTCCTAAGCATATCTTGGTCGTGGATCAGGCTCTGAAGGTTTTTAATTTTATATTATTTTACCTTTAACCTAATATTAGAATTGATTTTTTATTGCTTAGATAATGGTTGATTGGGCATTTCGATATGGTGAGCCATCAATTGCTTCCCGAATACGTAAATTTGAAAAGGAAGGTATCTTTTTCCTCCTTTTTTTTTCAAACATTCAAACTAAGAAATACTTTACTTCGCTTGTCGCAAAAATGGTTTAAATGGTTTAAATGAGTTTTAAATGGTTGGATCGGTTTAAATGAGATTTAGCTTGGTTTTAATAAAACCATAAGATTCAAAAACAGGTTTTTTAGGCAGAATATTTTTGAAATATGTTGTCGAAATTTTTACAGAAAAAATTTAAGAATTTCAGCGTGCGACAAGCTTATCATATTTCCATTATTTCCGCAATTCTCTGCTGTTACGAATGCTTCCATTTTCGATGAAGTGTGTTTGAGTTATCTACTCATTCTTTATATAGCTTCTATTATTGAATACTACAGATTTCAAGAACAATTTAGTGAAATTCCAACACTGTACATTACCCACATAACAAGTCTCTCACACGAAAAATCTCTTCATTACTTAACACGTTTTTTTTGTTACCATTTCAAATTTATTGATTTTTCTTATTCGTCGTCAGAACTAATTTTAGACTTGTCGTTGTTTGATGAAGCAGCGTCGTCAAATGATTTTGTCGGTAGTACCACCATTTTATGATAACGAATTGTACATCAAAACAATTCTTAAGCATCTAAATTCTGCTCTAAAAAGATTTCGAGCACCACCACAAGTAATTATCGTTTCATATCATGGAATACCATTGTCATATCAATCTAGTGGTGATCCATATGGGTTCCAGTGCAAGTACACAACTTCACTTTTACGGTTTGTATTTGGAATTTGATGAATTAAGGAAATAATTCATAACAAAACACTGAGCAATGTTTAAACTACTTCAAAATTTTGATCTTTGTGGAATTAGGTAATTTCAGGCAAAGATGTCGAATTTCGAATTGTGAATTAATAACAACATTCCAGTCCCGATTTGGACCCGCAGAATGGTTGAAGCCGTACACTGAAGATACCGTCATAGAACTAGCAAAGTAAGTTTTCAGCTCAGACTTAACGTAATTTCGAATCATTACTTTATTGCATTATAGGCCAGAAAGATTTCAGTAGTTATTCATTTTAAAAGAGGAAGAATTTATCAACACGGTTTTGACATATTAAAACTTAATTTAAGGAGAGATCAAATGCTTGTTACGATGCGCTTTTTTTATTGCTAGGTATTCTTGAAACTGTAAACATCTCTATATTAATAGTTTATTAATTGCTACTATTAACTTGCTATAAGCAATAAAATTTCTATAGCTTCAAGTAGATTTGATCTGTTATTTTTGTAAAATGTTTTAGTTTAAGCCGTCTGAACCAGCTTGAAGCATCTTAATTCAGTAAAAATTTTTGTTTTATTTTTTTTTTTTTGAAATTTTAATGAATTTCTGGTTTTTGAAAATTTTTTTGTAAACTTTGAGGCGTGGAGTGAAACGAATCATGGTAATTGCACCCGGTTTCTTTAGCGATTGTCTGGAAACAATAGATGAATTGAAACTTCAACTTGCCGATTCTTTTCGGTATGTTAGTTTGTGATTAAAATTTGGCCGAAAAAGTATGCATTTATGTCTTGTAATTATATCTGTAAATTTTGAATCCCGATTCAACCCAAGTATAACTTTCTAGAAAACATGGTGGAGAAGAATACGTTTATGTGCCATGTTTAAATGATAGCACGGAAGCAATCGATATCCTTGAATCACTCTCTCGTAAACACATCCAATGTTTTCTGTAACTTCTACTAATCAGTAATATAATTTAATAGATCCCATTCCAGACATATTTGTAATCTATTAAAAATTCAAACCATTTCAATGTGATTTTATTACTGTGTCCTCTTCTCTTTATCTCTTTGTCTTTTCTATTTGTCACTGTGAAAAATACACGAATTGATGTCAAACGAAAATAATTACATCTCCATCCGTTGGCTTATGTCATAACATAGCATAAATTCAATCAAATGTACGGCAAGGAACTATTTTACGCTACATCCTCATTAATAAATCTTGAAATATAATCATATTCTAGTTACAAACTGATTTACTATAATATTACAATAACGACATTGTAAAAATGAGTTATAATTTGAATACCTTCTTAATTTATCTGTTCGTTATTCCATATGATTTTTTTCATGATCAAACATGCATTATTCAGACAACATTATAGATTATTATAATGTTTGCTACTTACATCAGTTATGTCACTTACGTCATCTGTTATGTTCATACTTCTGGTCATTCTGACCATTCATTACACTTTCTGTCATCTGTGATGAAGAGCTGTGATATAAATAGCAATGAATCTAATAACAATTCAGTTGCTTTGCTATAAACTATCCATCAGATTTTCGATTTACACAAAAAAAGCTCTAATCAATCACATTTTATTCAGCACTTTACAGACATACAAAAAGATATTGGAGCATCTGTTAAATGAGGTAATAAAATGACAACAATCATAAACAAGCAATCTTATAAGGATTATTTTTTTTCGTATATAAGGATTTTTTCTACAAATTTGGCACTAATATCATTTGGCACTAATAGCCTTTTTTAAAACATTTAATTGAACATGAAAAGTGTTTGCGTGTAACTTTAGCTTTAAGTTATGTTTGTTGACAAGAAGATCATCCTCGAAACAATTTGCACTATCATATGAATAGATAATGAAATTAAAATTAACAAAAGATAAGTGAAAGTCATACTACTAGGTTTCATTTCTAGGTAAACAAAATAAGATACTTAAAAGTAAAAAGTACTATATTGTTGATGATAAGCTAATTATGGAAAATGTGAGACAAAAATTCCATCGCTTTACAGAAGTTAGTTATTTTGAGAGTGAAAAAAAGAATCTTCTTTCAGATTTGTTTAGTTGTTAAGGTTTTATGAATGCCATTTTAAAACTATTTAAAAGCATTCTTAATTACTCTTAATTAAAAGAAGACTTAAAGCAATTTCCTGTATTTTCTCCTATTTTTAAAAAGTTAAAATAACCGAAAAGTTTCTACAACTAAATGACTAAATGAAGAAATGTGCTTTCTGATTCTTTCACATCTATTTCCACTCCATATAAAAATGGAATTCAAATAAGTTTTTAAAATGAAATTCGCAAAAAAAAATATTCAGCTGAATTCATTAATGGCAGTAATGTTATTAAAAGTGATCCAAATTGGGATAAGTGGCAATAATAGTATGGATGAAAAAGGTAAAAGTAAATAATTATATAAATAAGAAATTAAAAAATGCAATTTAATTAAAATGTCAAACTCATATCATTCCTTAGCAATTCATATTGCACAATAGTTGGATAAATTGCTTATTAATTCAAAAAAAATTTCGAGGTAAAAAAAAAAAGTTCGAGAAATAAAAAGAAATTATATTCGCTTGAATAATTCGAAAATACAATGAATTTAACTTATCTGAATTAATCTTTCTTTTTTTTTTCCTTTTCTTTCATTCAAATATTTGGAGTAGAATTTTATTTTTACTCATAAAGAAACGATGAATAGTTTAAGAGTTAATTATTACTTAGAAATTAAATTGAAAAAAGCAAAATTACAATTAGAATAAAGTGGTAAATGATGTGAAATGCATGAAAATGGGATAAATGATGAATGTATATTTTAAATATTGTTAAATTTTATTCATTATTATTCCAACATTATCATTTTTTATCTTTCATCTTACTTATGATTAAGGCTTACTTATCACTAATTTTTGTTTTAGAGTATATAATTGAAAATTTGATTCAAAATTTGACCACTGGTCAAACACACATCATTATTGTAATTATAATACGATGAAATTGATAAAAATGCTTGCTAAAAGTTCTATTGTGACTAAATAATTTTGTTGTTTAATAATTTTCTTTCCCTTTTTTTTTTTTTTTTTTTTTTTGATAATTTAAATGAAAATAGCATATTTCAAAATGTTCCAAAATCTGACAAAAGTTAGCAAAAATTCAAATATGGCAGTAAGCAATGATGGAAAAATGAATTTTGACATGAAATTACCGCTTCAAGTTGCATTATTAGCGCCTTGCATCATAATCCTTCTCATCGATATCATAAAGTTGCTTATAAAGTGGACAACAGAAGCAACACCAACAGGACAGGAAAACAAGCACTGCAAAAAGGATTTATTGATTGATTGATTGATGAGATCAATCATCCGATAAGGTTATCTTATCATTGATGAATTGATTCTGCATTTGATGATAAACATCAGATAATTCATCCAGATGAAATTATATTCACTCTATGCCAAAAAATTCGATAATTACTATGTCAAATAAAAAACCAAAAGATGTATTTCATTTAAAATTCTATAATCATTTTTTGATAATTAAAAAAAAAAAAAAGTCATTTTAATAAATAAAATTTTTAATAATTTATTTTATTATAAGTGGGAATTAATTAAGAAAGCAAAACTTACAAGCTATTAAAATAAGTGAAGCAATAATAATAGCAATTAATGCACCAGTTGGAATAGCAAATGGACAACAAGATGGCTTCCATGAGCCTAAATATGGCCATGTACAGCACCAATTGTAGCTATCCCAATCTGTTGGCTGTGGACAGTAAGCCAAATATCCTGAATTTCCAAGAAAAAAAAAACAACTAACTAATTAGATTTTTTAATTAACATTTTTAATTAACTAAATTAAATTAAAAAATTACTATTAATTATGATGGACTTAAAACTTAAAAATTATTGCAATTAGAAAATATTATATAGTTAAGACAAAAAAAAAAAAAGTATTCGTAAATGCTTGAAGTATTTATGATATTAGCTGAATTAATTAGGAAGAATACCGTATCCCGATGGACACCACCAAATTTTTCTGTTACCAAGGCGTCCCTCGATATAATGTGACAATGGATTGTGTAGCTGACCACTCACTATATCACCTAAAATAAAGTGACCACTCACTAATCACCTAAAATAAAGTGACCACTCATTATATCACCTAAAATAAACTGACCAGTCACTATATCACCTAGAATAAAGTGACCACTCACTAATCACCTAAAATAAAGTGACCACTCACTAATCACCTAAAATAAAGTGACCACTCACTATATCACCTAAAATAAAGTGACCACTCACTATATCACCTAAAATAAAGTGACCACTCACTATATCACCTAAAATAAAGTGACCACTCAATATGTCATCTAAAATAAAATTTTGCAAATGTTAAATAGAATTATTAATAATCATATTGTTAATGACAATATTAGAATAATTGATAGTTAGTAATATCAATGTTATAATCAAGACTTAGATAAAGTTATATCAATTGTTTAGACAATTATTCTCATGCCAAATGCAAATATAGTTATATAGATTTTGTAGTTTTGGTTGATTAGTTAGAAACTTTTCTGGAAATTTACAGTTCCGGTTAAATCAAATTATTATTATAAATTTGTTTAATCAAATTATATATTGCTTTAATTGATCGAAAAAAAAAAAAAAAAACTTTTTCAATGTTTATAAATTTATTATCTTTACTTCTCTTTATCAAATTGAAAAAATCCAAATAAATTTCGATTAATCGAAATGGAAAAAAAAGTGATACTAAAATTCATTTAAAGAAAAAAATAATGGAAATTATTTTCGTGAGCAAAAAAAAAAAATTGCAAAACAGTTAATAATTTCTTCAAATTTAAGATAAATTTTTATAATAAAAATACTTACTTAGTGCAAATATTAAATAGCAGGGCCAAATATAAGTCGGTTTAATCAGCATATTTTGTTTAATAGATTCAGATTTTTCCACTGAATTTGATTTGTAATCGAATCTGAAAATTAAGCTGAAAATTGAGAGAAATTCTTTTTTTTTCCACTTCATTTTACCCAATCGATCGAGAAAATTAGCCCATCTTACAAAATTTATGAAACATTGCTAATATCAGTGTGAATTTTAAGTAAAATTAAATATTTTGCTTAATGAATGAAAGTGCTATGATAGAAATTATTCAATGGCTCTATTTTTAATTTAAAAAAAATAAAAAAATAAAATATAATTTACAAATATGAATTTAATAAATTAGCAAAATGAAATATTCCGATTATCGTTCATTTCAACAAATATGTGATGTAAAGAATTTATATTTTAATCTGTCATCCATAATTTTAATTTATCATCCATATGAAAAATGAAAATGAATTTATCTTCTGCAATTGACAATTTCGTGAAATTTCAATTTTTCGAATTCTTTTTTTAGAAAAAAAAAAATGATGATGAATGCTTAGTTTAACGCATACTGAAAAGAGCAATGAAATAATGTTGAAAAATCAAAAAAAAAAAAAAAAATGGAGTGAATAAAAACACTGATAGTGTTATCAGTGATCAGTTTTAAACTAATCAATATTACATGATGATATGCTTAGAAAATTATCATTTCTCCATATGGTTGTAGTGATAACAGAATCATTAATGAACGATGGGAATAGAATCATAAAGATAGAATGAAACACAATTTGAAATAAATTTATTATTAAAATAAATTTCTATCTAACAAGTACATTAATGAAGGAAATTGTGAATCATAATAGAATTTATGTTAAGACTTTTTTAATTAAAAGTAATTAATAAGTAATGAATAGCAATAATAATCTAATGATAATAATAAATAAATAAATAAATAAATAAAATAATAATAATAAATAGTCCTAAAGTTATAGGATACTATTTTCATTATCACAAATTAAATCAGTGTTATCAATTTTTGACCTCACTTCATTACTCTTCAATTTTTTGCTTCATACATTGAAGATAACGATCTAAGTATTACTATATTACTGAAATAATTATGCTTACCTATATTTCTCTTGTCTTAAGCTTATTAATTTAAATTAAAACATAAAATGAATGATACAGTTTTGTTACATCCAATGATAAGTAATCAAATAATATTAAGTTAAAAGAAGTAAGAAAAACAACAAAAAAAAAAAAACGAGTATAAGAATTATTAATTTTATCCTACAACTTAATTGGTTTAATTAGATTCTCGAGAAAAGTAAACATTCTCGACTGCTTTTATTGAAGATAAACTGATCAGATGAAATATATCAGTGTAAAATTTGATGATGAAATGAAAATATTGAAAGCATTATGCTAATGCAAACATGAAGAAGCATTGATAGAAGGTCTATTCTATCCATATCAGTGATGAGTAATTCATTTTTTTCATCAATGAATCATACATTCAAAAAGATTAAAGTGTCAGTGCTTAGCCATCAAATGGAATATACAACTTTATTTATACATTAATTACGTGTGATACGCCTGCTTTTAACGTTTAAAGTTTAATGTTTATGTAATTACTTAGATAAATGTTTAAGTATGAATTTCTTCATTTGATAGCTATTATATTTTCATATTGTATACAAAATTTTTGTTATAGATGAAAAATTACTAAAGACAATGATTTATGACACTTTTCTTTAGCATAAAGGAATTAGTTTGAATTTAAACAATACACTTATCAGTTATGTGAAATTAGACAATTAATTAATAATCATTAAATTAATCAAATTGATATTAACTAATCATTAAATTAATCAAATTGATATTAAGTTATCAGTTATGTGAAATTAGACAATTAATTAATAATCATTAAATTAATCAAATTGATATTAACTAATCATTAAATTAATCAAATTGATATTAAGTTATCAGTTATGTGAAATTAGACAATTAATTAATAATCATTAAATTAATCAAATTGATATTAAGTTATCAGTTATGTGAAGTTAGACAATTAATTAATAATCATTAAATTAATCAAATTGATATTAAGTTATCAGTTATGTGAAATTAGACAATTAATTAACAATCATTAAATTAATCAAATTGATATTAAGTTATCAGTTATGTGAAATTAGACAATTAATTAATAATCATTAAATTAATCAAATTGATATTAACTAATCATTAAATTAATCAAATTGATATTAAGTTATCAGTTATGTGAAATTAGACAATTAATTAATAATCATTAAATTAATCAAATTGATATTAAGTTATCCGTTATGTGAAATTAGACAATTAATTAATAATCATTAAATTAATCAAATTGATATTAAGTTATCAGTTATGTGAAATTAGACAATTAATTAATAATCATTAAATTAATCAAATTGATATTAACTAATCATTAAATTAATCAAATTGATATTAAGTTATCAGTTATGTGAAATTAGACAATTAATTAATAATCATTAAATTAATCAAATTGATATTAACTAATCATTAAATTAATCAAATTGATATTAAGTTATCAGTTATGTGAAATTAGACAATTAATTAATAATCATTAAATTAATCAAATTGATATTAACTAATCATTAAATTAATCAAATTGATATTAAGTTATCAGTTATGTGAAATTAGACAATTAATTAATAATCATTAAATTAATCAATTTGATATTAATATATTTTGAGTAAGCCATTTTCTCACTAATTTTATCATTTATACGTCAAAACAATATGTAATTTAACAGTAAGAATAATCCATTTATTAGTTTAAATTTCTTTTTTTCTTTTGCAAAACGATTAAAAAAATATTTTATTGAATGCACTGATTATTATTGAATAGTAGTATCCAAGGCATTGTCAATTTTATTTCCATAAAAGTTAACATTTAATGATGCATATTTGATGAATCGATAGAGTTATGAACAGAAAATATTTAATAAACAATTGTATGAGTCATTCTGATCAATTCCAATTGGATGAGTCATTCTGATCGATATATGATCAATTCCGATCAGTACTTACATATTTAACTTTATGCCTTATATAAATGAATCAAATTTTTAATCATTTGAAAATAATCGATTCATTTATGATTTTTAATGAAGTTTTTAGTACAAATTTAGCATCAATTAGTAAAGAAAGTAAATTTTATACCATAAATTAATGTAAGAAATCAATTATTTAGAATTTTTGCTTTCTTTGAATTTCTTAATTGTATAAAGAAAGTTATGTGATAAAATTTAAAAAATCATTTTAAATTTGATAAAACTAATATAAGTGGAACATACTGCTCGTCGCTGTATCACACAAAATGAAATATTTGCGCTCATTTGCTTACTAATCAAATAAAGATTCCTGTGATAAACAATTCATACATCCGAAATTACATATAGTTATATAATTATTATAAATTTTGATAATTAAAATTTATTGAAATGTTAAAATAAGGTTTTAATTTTAATTTGCATACAAAGTATTTTCATTTTATCAAACGTTCAATTTCCGTAAATAATTGCTAAGTGAAGAAGAAAAAAAAAAATCTTACTAATACTAATTAAAATAATGAAATTTGGTCCTTCTGCAAATAGATAAATGGAATTTTTCAATTTTTTTTTTTATTTGAAAAAAGGAGGTAAAACGAAAAGAGAATGAAACTGAAGTAGAAAGAAAGGGAGAGAGAGAGAGAGAGAGGGAGGGAGAGAGAAAGATAGAAAGAGGGAAAGAAAGGAAAATAAATGGTATGCTTGGCGTGCTTTGGGAATTAACGGTCGTCTGCTCATCACATCTTACTTAAGTAAACAAAACAACCACTTGTTGTATGCTTGCTTAGACTAAAACATTTATGTTAAAGCTTAAAATTGCGACGATGACTGCAGCTGCAACTGCAACTGCAACTACAGGTGCAATTGCAGGTGCCACTAGTACTACTAGTATTATTATTAATACAGTGTTAGATAATACACATAAATTTTAATGCTGGCATTTAAAGCAATAAATGTAAAAGGAGAATTGTAAATATGTCGTTAAGCCAAGATGTCCACTTTTAATCCTTCGTTCTCAATTAAATATTCGATGACAGAAATAAAACAGAAAGAAATAGGAAAAAAAGGAGAGAAAGAGAAAGAATTGATGATTGCTAATATAATAATTAAATTAATTGATTATAAGTGATGTGATATGTATTGGAAATATATTGGAAGGTAAAATAAATTAAGAATAAATAAATAAGTAAATGAAATTATTTATTAGCTAAAAAAACTCAAATTTATGGTATATTTTATTTCATTTTCTTGTGTATATTTTACATTTTATTTTTTTATTTTTTGCAAAGTAAATGACTGAATAAATTTAATAATGCAATGGTTAGAGTTAACATTGATTCAGTGAAAATAAATTCATTAAATTTGAATTTACTTAATTTCAACAAAATGGAATTATTTATAGAATCGAATCATCTATTGAGATAGCAATTTTCATTGTGTGCTATGTTCGAAAATGCTCGTATGATGATGGCACCTTGGTTGTTTTGGGAAGGTGGTGGCAGGAAGGAATTTGGCAATTTTGTGAGGTGGAGGAATTATTCCAGAAATTTTGAACATATTGCTACTCCTAGAGAAAGTTGAGATTCTTTTAGGAAATGCGTTTCACGAGTTTCTGACTACGTATAATATTTTTATAATTGTATGTGTCTACTTATTATTATTTCATTAGTATAATATTTTATTGGTATGTTTATTTTGTATTAATTCGTTATAATATCAAGATTCAGATTGATTTATTGATGTTATATGCTCTCAAATATTCATAATTCGTAGTTGTCAGGTGATGTTGTTGCGATTGAGATTACCAGCAGGATGGCGAATGGTAAGCACAGGAACGCAAAGTTTCAAATCGGATAACTTAGTTAAGAATTTATTTCTGAAAAAGATCAAGGAATATGAGTCCAAGATGGCTGGAAAAGAAGGTGGACTTGTGGATGCCACACCTGAGGTACGATCGTTTTTTGATTTCAGCTGTGTGGTCAGCTATAGCAGCATTCGTCTGAAAGCTTCAAGGATTCAACCAAATGGCTTTCAATTTTTTATTGAATCAATGTGATTCATTAGAGCATCATTAGAGCATTCATTAGAGAAACAACCGTTCTTTTTTTAGAAGAATATAAGATCAAGCATTTTTTAATTTCTTTGCCACTTTTTATTTCATATTTAAGGAATTTTTGATAGTAAATGAATTTTATAATACTACAACACATTCTGTGATATGAACTAGAATGCATTTGACTTGTGAGTCATAGATATATTTAATATTTGATTGTTGGTCATTTCATTGACAAATGAATATAGCATAATTCATTGCAGACACATCGGTCATTGGAAGATCAGTTGCACCGTTTAGCTAGTAAGTATCACTTAGAAAATAAAGAAGTGGTGAACGAGTTACCAGTGAAGCAAATGGAAACTCCTTCTATTGAAAGTGCTGTGGCCGTGATGTTCGAGGGGAAAACAGTTGATGATTTGAATAAAGAATTGGAAAATGAAATTCAAAAATACACGGAAATGCGACGGAAGAAGCAAGCAGCGGAAGAGGAAATGCAGTCACATCTTCGAACTGTCAAGCAGTAATAGTCAGAAAAGCCTAAAAATAGTTTATCTTGACAAGCTTTTTTTTCAGAGGAGTTTAATTTGAAACGATAATGTATTGTCATTTTACTGCTGTCATTGACAGTGCATTGGTATTAGCTAATTTATAGTATGCATGAATAGTATGTAAATAAAAAGTTCTATTTTGGTTTACTTCTTTGTACTTTGAACTGGTCATGTGCCACAGCATTTTTGTTAATTTCCTTCTCCTAGAATTTGTTTATATTTAAGACATTTCATAGATTCTCATCTAATCATTGAAATGGGACGAGCATAAAGTAAAGTCCATTATTCTTTTGATGGTTTTGCTTTCCTTCATTTGAATTGTTTTTTTCGATACGGTATTTTTTATGAAAGGATTTACAAAACTACAGTTCGATGAAAAGATATAAATTAGAATTATCTTCGAGTAGTACGTTTTTCCACATTGCATATTGAGTTGTCATTCGTGTTCTTTTTTTTTTTTTTTTTCGGCTTTTATGCAAATATTAATCACTGTTGTGATGCGTGTTATTCACATGGTTTATAGCAAATCAGGGTTTTCAGTGTTAGACATGCGTCAAACGCGGGATGCGCATAACAAATTTACGAAAAAATGTGTTTCTAAACAACGTAAAAATGGAAAAATTGTAAAGGAAACTGTTGAATCTGTAACCGCGCGATATGCTGATTTTGCGAAAGTATGTTTTGATTTCAGGTTAATTTACTTAGTGTGTTCAGGTGTAAATTATTTTTGTTCGCAAGGAGATTTGAATTATAGGAAGATAGCAGGACATTTACTTCATTCTCGCGAATGCCGTTATCGGGATCGACACAACGAGGCCTTGCAGAAAACAATTTCATAAATCCCACTGACATCCAACGCGAGTCATTGCAATATTCATTGACCGGTGCTGATGTGGTTGGTGCTGCCAAAACAGGCAGTGGGAAAACACTTGCTTTCCTTATTCCGGCCAGTTTTGTTCATGCAGTTTTTTGTATTTATTCAGTAGATTTTCTTACAGATCTTTGCTTTTGGATCTGTTTTCATTTGTGGTTTTGCAGGTTTTGGAGTGTTTGTGGAGGCAGAGATGGTCGCGTACAGTTGACGGATTAGGTGCTTTGATTATCAGTCCTACCAGGGAGCTCGCTTTTCAAACGTTTCAAGTTTTGAACAAAATCGGAGCACACCATAATTTTTCTGTTGCTGTACTTATTGGAGGTATGTTTTATGCACTGCTAATATCATATATGTAATCACAAATGCTACTAGTGCGATGATTTCGTCTCCATTGCTAATCTTCCAAGTCATCTTTTGATAAAGATGCCAAAGTTTAAGGCTTATTTTCATTCTTCAGATGGGCAACATTATCTTGTTAAATTTCACCTGTAATTTTCTAAAGTAACTGAGAATTATTTATCATTATCTTTCTAGGAACTGATGTAGAATTTGAAAGTAAGCGGATAGGTTCGGTGAATATTGTGGTATGTACGCCTGGCAGGCTGTTGCAACATATGGACGAGAATAGTACATTTTCATGTGAACAGCTGCAAATTCTTGTCATTGATGAAGCTGACAGGATTTTAGACCTTGGTTTTTCGAGACAGGTAAGATATCATTCATTATAAACGACATATACTATAATTTTGGAACATATACAACAGTTTATGCGTTGTAGTATAAAGAACTTGGAATTAAAAGACCTTCCGTTAAGTTAAGTTCAAGAAAGATTTAACTGCTGCATTTTCTCGAGTGATAATGCATGATCGTAAATCTCTTTTCTGATTCGAAGACAGAATGCTGTGAAGGGAGCAGTGAAATCAAAAATGTAATGTAATTCATCCTTTTACTCGCTGCAGATGAATGCAATCTTGGAAAATTTGCCAAAAAACCGTCAGACGCTGCTTTTTTCGGCAACGCAAACCAAAAATGTGAAAGATTTAGTGCGTTTGGCTCTGAGAGATCCACTGTATATTTCTGCTCACGAAAATGCTCCTCAAGCTACACCAGAATCTTTGCAGCAGGTGAAGTGTTAATTGATTCTCCTAAATTTTTTTTTTAATACTTCCAGATAAGATTGTAGGATTTAAGAAGTATTCTAGGATTTTTGGAATTCTTTCTTTGCTAATCTTTTGCATAAATTTGCCGTCGTAAGTGATCGCTGGTTCACTTTGCTATGAACAAATATAAAAATCGAGTACTGATTTATAGTGAAGGAGTAGAGCAACAAAGATGTGAAATCAGCGAATCATGGAAATTGTTAAGGATGTTGTTCAAATTAAATGATAACAATTACTTGTTGAAAATAAACTATTTTTGCAGAGTTATTTTGTATGCAGTGATGAAGATAAATTAAATGCATTATGGTCATTTTTACTGAATCACCGAAAGAAGAAATCATTAATATTTGTTTCATGCTGCAAGCAGGTTGTTCTAATTCTTTATGCAATTTTATAATTTGTGCAGGTTATTTTTTTTTTTTGCAATTATGAAATATTCAGGCACGGTTCTTAACCGAAGCGTTCTGTCATTTGCGACCGGGCCTTTCATTGATGGGATTGTGGGGTACAATGAATCAAATGAAACGGCTAGAAGTTTTTAAAAAATTTAATAATAAAACATATGGAGCTGCAATGATTGCTACAGATGTTGCCAGTCGAGGATTAGACTTTGCTCGTGTTGACATTGTATTGCAGCTGGATTGTCCTGTAGATGTTGATGATTATATTCATAGGTTAATTTTTAGTTTTAAGCAGTTTTTGCTTCAAGAAAGAAAAAGACCATATTAATTAATGTTTTATCAAAAAGAATAATGGATTTATTTCACAATTTAATTATTTCATTGTTATGTTTAGAGTAGGACGTACTGCGCGAATGGATGCCAAGGGTGAAGCAATTTTAGTTCTCACGCCAGCGCAAGAACAAGCCATGCTTACACGACTGCAAGCAAGAAACATTTTAATCACTAAAATTAGGTTTGTTTTCGCAAAGTTGAAATTTATGCGCTGTTTTATGTAAAAATTAAACAAACACTTGAAAAGAATTAGGTAACTTTTTGGTTTAATTGTCATTTCGAAATTGGTACTGGATGAATTTGGTAGTTTTGATGTATCGAAGCCAGACTGCTATTACCATTCGGGAACTAAGAAGTGTAAATTTTTCATTCTAGTGTCAATGAAAAGCAAATAATGGATATCAGCAAACGTTTGCAGTCGGTAATTGCACAATATCCGGGAATGAAAGAATTCGCTCAGAGGGTTTGTTTATTCCCAAATCTTAAGACAATTTAATTTTTTCTTGAGAAGAATATTTTCTACTTCTTTTAGAGCTTTGTGGCTTATATTCGAACAATTTATCTGATGCGGAACAAAGATGTTTTCAATTTGGACACTGTTGATCTGGCATCATTGGCCAAGTACTGATCATTGGTTGTTTTTCATAATTTCAGAAATTCTTACCTTTTTTGATTATGTTCTTCCTAGTTTAAATTTGGCTACCCGAAACTTTTTTTCATTCAGTTTATATGACCTAAAGGCTTAAGTTATTTGTAAATACGACGTCTCAAGAGTTCATCTGTAAAGAAATGAGTAAAATATTGGCCAGTTGCACTTGATGTGTTTATTAATTGTTGACTGTCATTTTCTAGTTTTGCATTAACTTGCCTTTAGATATTTTTTTTTTTCGTTCCTTTATAGATCTTATGGACTTGCTGCTACACCGCGAGTTCGATTTTTGAAGCGAGTTGCAAATAAACAGAATTTACACGCAACCATAAGCCAAAAACAAGGAGAGAAAAGTGCTGAAGAATTAGTGGAAATGATGATTTCATCTGCAAAGGGAGGAAAAAAAGCGATGGTAAGTTTCTTTTCCATATTCCAGATTATTGGGTATTATGTTTACGTATTATTATTATATATTTGAATTATATTTCAGGAAAGTGATGAAGATGATAGTAATAATGAAGACGATAATATAGAGGATGAAGAAATTGATCTAGGATTAGGTACAAGTGAAAATAATGAAGCTAAGGAAAATCAGAGCGATTTCAATCTATCTGCAAGTGGTAGTGGTTTAGATGAAGGTAGCGACGATTTTCTGAAAATAATCCGAAAAAACGTGTTCAATATATTTCCAGACAAAGTTGGTTATATTATATGGCAACTCATTTTTTATTTCTAAGAGTTAATACTTTCAGTATTTTGTCTTTTATGGATCATAAATTACCGAAAGTACTGCTTAATTTTACAAAATATCAGTCGGCATCAATCATATGTCATGTTTTTGATTTATATACTTAGATTGCCGAGATGCCAGAAGAAACGAAAAGAGAATCAAGGAAACCTGTGACACGTCATGCATTGGCCAGGAAAATTTTGAAGAAAGGAGTGAAGTTGGGTGTGAAAAAGGTATTCACAGACGACGGAATGGAAATCGTAGTATGATTTTGTCGTTATTTTTTTTTAACATTATTCATTAAAAAAATTTTTTAATGATTTTTTAAGCGGAATATATATTTTAGTTTATAATTATTGCAGTATATTTGCGAAAATGAAGCACTCATTTTTGGATTTGGAATAGTCGATTCAAGTTTCGGTTTTTGTTGAGTTGATTTGCATCTTTTTTTTCTTTGAAGGAAAACAAATTGTTCCCTGCTACTGTCTCAAATGATGACGAATTGGTCGGTCTCGATGTAGATGAGGCAAGACGTCAAATGGTACAAATCGATCAGATTGATAAAATGACATATAAGGAGAAGCAAAAGATGTGGAGAAAGGTAGTTTTGATCTTTATTCTTATTTTTATGATTCAGTAATTTATTATATATTGGTTTTTTCTCTTGCTTTCTCCGTTTCATCTCTCAGGTAAGAATTTCTATGGATAGATTTACTCGTGGGAAGGTTAGACTTCAGTTTTTATTGGACAGCGTTTATTTCTTTTTCGTCAAAGTTTCTTAAATAAATATTTGATATTGTCAGAAAAAGAAAGAGAAACAGAAAGACAAGATAAAGAAATTACAAAACAAGGAGGGTGGAGCAATATTGGATTTGGGAGCTGAAGGGAGTGGTTCAGATGATGGCGAAGCGGATTTGTCGTGGTTGCCTGATCCTGATAGGCCAAAGAAGTATGACAAAGAATGGAATGAAGTTGAAGATAATTCCATGAATGAATCCGATGTATGTTTATTTCTGCGAGTTTAGTATTTAATTATGGTAGCAGTAAAGATGTTTTAGAAAGTTTATTGGATTTATTTCTGTTGAAGAAATATTATTTTAAAAATTCAACGAACATCATTGTGTAACTTTTTTCATTACTAGTAAATCTGTGGCAGCAGTGAACTTCATAATTTCACTAACATATTCTCTTTAGAAAGATATGGATGGTAATGCTAATGATAATAGTGAAATGAAATCAATACGAGGACGAAAAAGGAAACTATTGGATGATGAAGAAAGAGCTTTAGCATTATTGCGTTGTTCCTAATCTTCAAATATCAGCTTTCTTCATTTATAATGATATTTGTGTATTTTATATTACTTTAGTAAATTTTGCATATGTTGTGAACTGTGAATTGTTTAGTTCTTTATTGTGATTGAAAATAAAATAATTGGATTTTGTTTATAAGATTTTGTTTTGTTCAGTAACTTTTCTACCAGTATCTATCGAGAGCAATTCAGCATTTCATGTACATTTATATTTATCATAACTGTAATTAACTATTTTAGTATAATAATTATTGTACTGAATTTATAGACGTTCGGAAGGGATATTACAGAGCAGAATGGCAGAACCTTACAAGCCAGCAGCTCGTATTATGAGCGATAAAATGGAAAAGCGCTTCTCAAAAGATGTATTATATTGGCGACGTGTGGAAGTTAGTTTACTTGATTTTAGAGGCTATTTTTTAGCTTTGTTGGAATTTTGCAGCATTTACAAAAGAAAACAAAGTAATCAATCGTTGAATACAGAAGATGTTTTGTAGTTGATTTTAAAGAAATTTCATTTCAGCGTTTGGCAGTTTTTCAAGAGCCAGGTAATATTACTAGCACGTTTTTCTCTCCAACAGATAGCAACATGGTCGCTAGTACTTCTTCTGTCAAGGTTTTTTTTTTTTATACCTTACTACTTTCTGTTTATCTTTGAAAGTGATTATTCGAGAACTAAATAGCAACTCTGGGTGAAACAAAAAGAAATTCTTTCCAGCTAACAATTTATGATGCCACAATTTGTGAACCCTTAGTAACATACGGACGTTTCAAGCAAGCTGTTTATGGGGCAAGGCTTCGTCGTGATGGCAAACTGTTAGGTATGTTTTTTTCTTTTTTGTAATGATTTAATTTGTTGCCTATTTAAGAAATGGTAGCATATGAATTATCATGCGATTTTTTTTGCATAGTTTATCGAAAAAATTTAAAGTAGATATTAGTTATATAAAATGATTAGAGTCGTAGCTGTTCCGTAAAAGATGGAGTACTGTGGTACACTACATTTTAAAGGAATCATATCAGTTATTCACAAAGAGGAGAATATAGTTGGAAGTAATAATATAAGTTAAGGTAAGTTAAATGGTTATGAAAGTTTGATGTATTAATGGGACCTTAAATCTAGCACGGAGAAATATATTTCTTGCATCTGTAGTTCTCTGATACCGTAAAAATTGTTTTAACGATAGTTAAGAGGAATGTTTTCATTATTCATTATTCGAGTGGAATGAAGACTAAGCTGAGTACTATTTTAACCAATGAGAAATGTTATTATGTTTTAAATAATGGGAATTTTATTAAGTTCAGGAAAGCTTAGTTTGTGTATTTTCTTCCATTCCCACTTTTTAAGAGTTCCAGGTTTCTATGTAAAAACATACGTTTTGCTTGGCATATTTTTTTAAAAAAAGATTTTTTTTAGCTGTTGGTGACGAAGAAGGAAAGGTTCGTCTGTTTAATGTGCGAAAACAAGCAGCAACTTCTGACGGAAAGAAAGCTCCATTAAGAGTTTTTAAAGCTCACGAAAGTGCAGTCCATACGGTCCGTTGACATTTCATTTACTTCTACAAAAAATTTACTCTTTATATTCATGTATGATCTTATATGATGTATTGGTTTTAGTTTACATCATTAGCACTGTATTTCATTTAAATTTTTAGGTGGTTTTCACAAGATCTGGGCGAACACTTGTAACAATGGGTGATGAAGGTAGTATCAAATTATGGGATATTACTGAGACGAAGTCTACTCCACTTAAAGTATTCACTGCCGCTCATATGGATCACATTCGATGCAGTGATGCTTCTGTCCTTTCTGATCATCTATTCGTAAGCGGTAATTTCTGCTTTTGCTTTCTTTTTTTCTCACTTATGAGCCATACATCATATCTACTTCATCAAATTGATAAAAATGAATCAAGCTCAGCCCTCATAACCGGTGAACTGTAATTTTTCTATCTAAAATTTTAATTTTCTAGATGCATGTGACATTTGCATCACTAAAAAAACGGATAGCGAAATTTGAAATTTATCTGTAACTTTTGTTTCTTAGGTTCATACGATCATACAGCGAAAGTCTGGAATGCTGAAGCAGAGGAAGCTTTAATGTCTGTGGATCATGGCTCACCCATTGAACAAATTTTACTTCTTCCCGGTGACTCATTCATTGTTACAGCCGGCGGACAGCTCATTAAATTTTGGAATATTGCTTCTGGTGGTATTTTGCACCATACTCTTCATCATCATCACAAAACGGTAGATATATGTTATGTTTGAAATAAATTCAATTAGTTCTAAATTCTTTTTCCAAAAATAAGTAAACTTTTCTACAAAAAAAAAAAAAAAAAACCTTTTATAACAGGTTTATTCTTGTTTTCAATTATTTTTGCTAAATATTTTATCCTCTGTTATGATATATATTATTTTAAAAAACTTCCAGGTGACTTCACTTTGCCTTGCTTCAAAAGGTACTCGTCTTCTTTCGGGTGGCCTTGATAAAAGGGTAAATGTTTTCAGTCTCGACAGTGGTGACTACAAACTAGTACATTCGTTCAGTTTACCTGCTCAGGTACATATTATAATTTTACAACTACTTTAAACATCGTTAAAGTTCAGTTATTTTCAGTCGAAAATAACTATTTTTGTCAGTTTGGATGCTTTTTTAAATTTTCTTACTTAAATGTTATTAATAAAGCAAATATTTCCTTTAGTGTGGCATAGTACTGCTTTTTTAAAATTGGTATATATTTACTTTGTCATTCATTTCAGATACTTACGTTGTCGATTTCGTCAAATGACAAGTTCATTGCTATAGGTATGGGTAATTTATTGCAAATTTCCATGCGAAATGAACCAGGAAAGTTGGAACAATCTTTAGAAGCTGCACAAGCTGAAAATGCAGGACTTGAATACCATAAAAAGTACTTTTTACAAAATTTTAGAATTTTCATCTTTTCAAATTTAAATATATTTAAAAAAAATATATACTTTTGACAATGTTTTATCTTTAATATTATCAACAACATTATTTACACTTCGCCCGCAAAGTCATATTTCGGTTATCACTACAATACTTTATTTTAGATTGCCCCCAGATGTACCTGTCGTACGCCAACTATTTCGAGGTGGAACTGTAGAAAAGGCTGAGTTCTCTGCTGCTCGCATTCCGGAGGTTTTTCTCAACCTTGTTTAATCATGAATTGTTCATAATCATAAGGAAGAGAAGCTTAGCTACATTTTTTTATTATATTATTTATTTGTAAAAATGTTTAATTTCAGGCGAAATTGAATAAAGTTGATTTATTGTTGCGAAGATTTAAGCACTGGAAAGCAGTCGATGTTCTGTTTCGGGAGAAACACTATAAATCACGTCCTGATATTATTGTCGGAGCATTAATGCAGGTAGCATTAATGCATTTTGCTCCTCAATCACTATTTTTGTTTCATCAAGTTTTCTTAATCATCAGTAATTAAGATTTAGAGTTATGTATTATTAATCGTAGATTCAGTAAGATACTAGAAACAGTTGCAATCTAAAAAATACGATTCCCTTACACCTTATTTCTTCAGATTTATAAACGTGGAGCATTAACGGTGGCGCTGTCAGGACGTAAGTCAGATACCATTCATCCAATACTTGTCTTTCTGATGCAGAATTTCTTTCGCCCCGAATATCTGCATATATTACTGAAGACAATAACCATTATGTGTGGTTAGTTCTATTTTATTATAGTTCACACTGCTAAGTTAATTATTACAACTGCACGTTCTTTTTTTTTTTTTTTTCTCCAAATCCAAAAAAAAAAAAAAATATATATATATATATAATATCAATTGAGAATGGGGCAAAAAAAATGATCGAAAAAAGAAGGGAGGGGACTTTACTCAAAAGGGAATCATTAAGTATGTCACACTTTTCTAGAACCAAATGGATGTCTTATATGCTAAGTCACTACTTTAGCCTAAATAAATTTGAGTACATGCATGAGCAGACATGAAGCTGTTTTACTGGAACATATTTTGTTAAACATGTTACTTTTTTTTTAGAGAGAGAAAGAGAGAGAGAGCTAAATATTTTATGATTTGATTTACAGATATTTATGGGAATGAGAATATCGAGCAAAGAATTGCCAGAATATTTTCTAAACTTCATCGCGCAGTTCAGCGAGAAATTGAAGTTCGCAATAAGTTAGCTGAGGTAAACAACTGAGTTTTCTTTTCAATGTTCAACTTCGCATATTACTTTTAATGATCTACATAAAGTAGTTATATGTTACATCATCTAATACTAATACTATATGGTTATATTTTCATTTTTTAGTTACGTGGTATGTTAGATATGCTCATTCAAGTATCAGAAATGAACAATGGAAAATTGATAGATAATGAAGAAGATGATAGAATTTTTGGTGAAGTCGTTGTAACTCCTATTCCTTTTACAATGGATGCTAATGGACGAAGTAAGAATAACGGTTTTTCTAGTACTGCCTAAAGTTTTCTTTGAAAAATTTTCTAAGTAAACCTTCGATTTTCAGGTTTAGATAAAATTAAAATAAAGTGATATAACATTTTTCTCTTTTTAGTAATGCATTGTTTTTTGTTGTTTTTCTGTTTTATTTGGTACTAATACCTACACGGGAACATTTGATATGTCAGGTGTTGTTTGGTTACGGATTAGTTTGCATCGGCTTATCTTCTTCCTACTTGAAACGCATCTTTTGATTAGAACATTTCTATCCTTGGGGTTATTTCATCAATTTTTTGACTCCAATCAACAAGTAATTTTTGGTTTATTCAAAAACAGGCACTTAAAATTGTCGAAATAAAAGTAGCAATAATAGAAGGAAAATCAGAGCGGTATTTTCAAATATTTTTCCGGTATTATTGCAGTAATCGGTTTGACAAATACATTCGTCACCTATACCCCCTTTCCACAAAACGCTTGTTTCACAATATTCTAACAGTGGCTCACTGATTTGTTGACACATTTTTTGTACTCGTAGAATTCCTGAAGTAACTTTTTTATGCTCTTTATTGATAAATGTTCTGATTTATATGTCGCTGAAACACTCACTATAAAATTCATATAAGTACTTCAAACGATTAAGTGATATAAGTTTCGGTGTTCAGTATGAAGCAGTGAGTGATAAAGTTACAGTTTTTTAAGATATATGAAATAAAAAATGTTGGACTTATTTTTAAAACTTCAGTAATATCGCTTGACAACGTATGCAAATAATTTTATGAGCATAAATCTCTCATCAGAGTTTACCAAAATCACTTTGAAATAAAGTACATAACAAAAAGTTGAGTTGAAACATTCTTGCTTTAAGGCTCAATATTTTTACTAATTTAAAAGTTTTGTGTACGTATTTTATACTAATTGTAGTACTTACCGTCGATAAGAGCGGAACGCTTAATACATGCGGTACCAATACATGTTCCGCCGAAGCAGTTAATGTCTCCGATGCTATCGCACATGTAACATACCACCGAGTATCCTAAATCACTCATACTAATCTTTTTTGCAGATCTCCTGTTTATTTTCAATTTTTTAAAATATATGACATTTCGTTTCAATTCCCTAATTTTCATCCCATTAGAAAAAATTTCTTCTTTTGAAATGAGCTTTTTTTTCAAATTACATGCTGGACAAAATCAAAATATTGAAGATAATGTTGACACAAAAAATGACAAAATTCTGATTGCATAAGGAAAAATAACTGCTAATAATTAATTTATACAAATAATAATGATAACAGTTAACAGATCTCTATACTATAATGTTATTTTTACTATTATCATTATAACATTATTCTTAATGTAAAATGATAGAAAAAATAATGTAACCTTGTGGGATGACAATATAAAGTATATTGAAAAAGAGTAGAATCACTGTAAACATATATGAAGAGTTGAGTTAAAATGATGAACGAACTATTGGCAATTGAAGCTATAAGTAAGTACTTACTTTTATATAAAGTTATAAGAAACTAGTTCAATTGACACGATCGTCAATCATATAATGGAAACATGTTTTCTATATTGTCAATATCCAAAATTTCATTTTAAATTTTAAGATGATATTTGACTACTTATAAATTGATATATCAGAATATTTTATCATTTATTAGTATAGTTCACATCGATATTTCATTTCGAATTTGTCATCTTACTAATCTGCAATTAACAAAATTTACAGTAGTAATTATCGGTGTTAGTTTATAAATGAAATTAATAACATAAATAATTTATTATAAAAATAATCAATACCAAATTTATATGAAATATAAGGATTTACACGAATCACGTATACCGTTGTTTACACGGATTTCATCACGAGATCACAGTTATCAATGTTTGTAATGATCAATACTTAGTGATCATTTAAGTGCTGAGAGAGAGAGTGACAGAGAGGGGACAACATTAGATAATCGTTTTCATTCGATTAAAATGTCACAACTAATTTAATTAATTGTTGATATGAAAAAATGAACCTTAGCCTAGTGTGCCAATAATTTATGATAAATTTGAAAAATAAATAAATGAATGGATGGATTAAAGGAGAAAGAGAAGGAAATTAATTGCTATACCGTATCCGACGAATTATTCCTGGCGATTAAGGACAATAAGCCATAGAGAAATGATATGATGCTTCTCTGATATTTCATCCACTTCATTTGATTGAGTGAGTGGAGTACTTTACTCAATCAAATTCCTCTATCGAATTGATTATGTTACTTATACTTTTATCTGTTCACACTGATAATAAGTGTTACTCTATTTAAATAACTCTTACAAACTTACTTACTTTAAGAAAAAGAAAAAAATTTCATTTATTTATAAATAACATAGCAATTAAAAAAAAAAAAAATATTCGATATAAATCATTATTCATCCATCTATTTCATTTAAAATTTAATTAAAAAAAAAAAAAAAAAAACACTCAATATTTGTGTTATAACATCTTTCATAAAAATATACAATAAATTCAATAAATTTGTACAATAAATTCACTTTAAAATACTACTCTAAAATAAAAAAAAATAAAAAAAAACTTTTGAAAAATACTACTTTAAAATTTTCTTAAAATATATTTGAATAACTAATCGAAATGACCTGAAAGAGATTAGATGAAATGTGTCGGTAAACAAAAGAAAAAAAAAAAAAAAGAAAGAAAGCAAAAGCTATGCAAGATGAACAAATTAAGCAGTAGTTACGTTAAATTGTCAATGATACTATGAGTAAAGGAGAAGAAAAAAAAAAAAGCGACGTGAAGTGAAAGTGAAGAATTGCGTTATATTGCGTGAGCTATATGCTATGTTCGCTTGCAGAAAGGTAAAATGACGTGAGGTGACAACGAATTGCTCGTGAGGTGACAACGAATTGCTCGTTTTACATTGATCAAAGAAACCGGCCGCTTTCTATTTTACAATGCATATACTGTAATATGTACTGCATAAATAATAACATCATATATTCATTCTCTGGTTATCTTTCACTAATATATTTTATTTTATTATATAACCAAAAATTAATTCTTATTCAAACTAATTTACTTATTTTCCGTTATTTCAAATTTTTTTAGTAATTGATAATCGCTTTTTGATAATAATCAGTAATATATCTCATGTACGGTAATTTGATAAAATGATTATGATAATATACAAACGAAAATTGTGCAATTTAGAGTAAATCATTTGACTTCTTTAATTAGTATAATAATTTAAGTAAATATTAGTATTATATATTTAAATGTTTATTTATTTATTTATTTTTTTTTTTTTTAAAAAAAAAAAGGAAGAATTCAATTTTTTTTTACAGTATTATTGTTAATCATACGATCATAAATGGTGCTAGAATGATTTAAAACTAATAAAGGATGAAATTATGAGAAATATAAAGTTGTGAAAAAGCGGAAAAGAGGTCAACTGAAAAAAAAAAAAAAAAAAAAAGAGGAAAAAAAGATCCTTCAGAGATCGATGAGAAGAAGTATCATCGATATAGCGGATGACATAACCACGCCCTTGGATCATCATTTTAGCTAATAGAATTTCTTTTTGAAAATATTTGTTGATGAAAGTTAGTTTTGCTATCTAATTCGATGCTTCTCAGCAGTAAATGTTTCATTTCCAATAATTTAACTTGTATTTTTGCATTAATTTTGCTTAATTTTTAAATTTAAATTAATTATCAATTTGCATTTTATTGCATTTCATAGGGAATAGTTGTAAAAGAGTGAAGGAAGAAATACAGAGATCTTAATTTTGATTTAAGATTTAATTTAATTTTGAGTTTTTCTTTTTTTTTTAACTAATATTAATTTAAACATTAACATTTTCTCTTATCGTAGAATAATTTTAAATCTAATTTATTTTACAAATTAACAGCATTAATAAGTATTAGTATTTAAATTTTAGTTAATTTAGTGGGAACAAATTGTAAGTTATTTAATGAATTAGTAATATTAATTTAAATATCAATATCTCTTCTTTTTAATTCTTCACATCATTTCATACATTAAAAAATTTTAATATATAAAAATAAGTTTCAAAATTTTTTTTTCGTATTTTCTATGCACATCAAAAAATTTTAATATACAAAAATAAATTTTAAGTTATTTTAGTATTTTATACTAGGTCTAAGCATTAATATTTTTTCTCATTAATTATTAATATCAATTTATACGAAAGACATAGAAACGGGATTAAGTTATTTAATTAATTAGTAATATAAAATTAAATACTGATATTACTTCTCATCAATTCCTTGCATCATTTCATGCAAATGATATTAAACTAAATTCTATACTACTTTACTAGTTACCAATATTAATTCAAATATTTTATTAATGTTAATCCTAATTAATGTTAATCCAAGGCGGAGTGTCATAAAATATTTTGAAGGGATAATAGAAATAAACAAAATGAAAGAATGATAAATGATACAGAAGGTGAAGGATCATCACAAAATTTAAGTATGAAGAAACGAAATCAGTCTAATCGAAAGGTTTGTCATTGTTGTTTTCATTATTGAATGAAATTTAAAGTAAAAATAATAATTGAATAAAATATTGTTAACTAATGGAATATAAATGAATGAACTAATCTTAAGATATATTTAGAAAGTTAAAAATAATTTCTAGGAACGACGACGTAATGAAGAGATGAATCTTGCATATGCTCGATTACAACGTTGTGTACCACATATACCGCATGATCAGAAATTAGCTAAAATTAAAACTTTACGACTTGCTATGCTTTACATTAAGCATTTAGAAGCAGTAGTAGATGGATCTGTTCGGGTATGTAAAAAATTTTTTTTTTTTTTTTTCTTAAAATTTGCATTAAATTCATTCATTTCTAATATATACATGTATTTCATTTAAATGATGTAAAATTTTGAAAAATTAATTTCAATCAATTTAGTAAAATAGTGGTAAAAAAAAAAAATAAAATAATTGTATTTTTGAACATAATTAAACATGAAAAAAGTTATATTTTCTTTCTCTTTTGCTTGGTTGAATAATTATCTATGCAATTAACTAATTACTAATTAATTACTACGTGTGAAAAATTTGTAATGAAAGATTAAGAAGAAAAAAAAAATATATATATATATATATATGATGATAGAAATTATGAATGAGGATTAGAAAAGAATTTGAATTAAAACAAATTTTTGGGATCATTATATTATTATACCTGTCAATCAAGGTCATTTTTGTCCTTTCGAAGTATTCTTTTTAAGATTCGCTCTTCATCATCACACGAATTAAGACCGCTTGAAGTGGAAGATTTTGCATCAATTGCAATGGCTGAAATACAAGCAAGAAATAATTACAAGGGTAAGTAAAAATTAATAAAATGTTACCTCATTTCAATTTAGAATTATCATTACCACTTCTCTCTCTCTCTCTTTTTCTCTTTCCCTCCTTTTCTCGTTCTCTTTCTTTTTCTCCCTAATCTTATCCATTCATTTCATTTGACATATTTGTTTGTCAACATTGAGTGAAAAAAATGATTGATAAAAATGATAGTACATATTTGTGTTTGGATTTAATTCAATTTCTTTTAACATTTTTTTGAATTTTTTTCTTGAAATGTTTTATTTAACTATCATTTATCTTTATTACAGCAAAAAATGGAATTCAGATTGAAATTTTATCATATCAGTCTCAATTTATTTGTCATAGCAATGATAATCATTTGTCAATTAACAGCACTGAGTTAACTGATTTCTTCCTTTCCAATAAGTCAACAGATCCCTTTATCATAGATGAATGATAACATAATAATCATTCATAATGATCTTAAAACTGATCATTGAACTATTGACCTGAAATACGAATAGAAAAACGTGAAAATATCCTTCATTTATTCAGGTAGAGAAACAAATTGAAATTTTGTTGTCAACAATATTCACTTGACCTGTCATATGACATGGCGACAATCATGCATTAATAAATCATAGAATATACCTGTAAACAACTCTATTGTCTCCTGTTATATGACTAAATGAGCCATCCATCTTAAATACACCTCAGATGTAATTAATTAATTGCTCTAAATTGTCTCCTTTTATAATCTTGTCATATTCTTGCCGTCTTTATTTTGAACTTTCCGATGCTAATACTTAAGAAATATTGAGACAAAAAAAAAAAAAATAAGGAATCTTAAAGTTATCAAATATAATAACTTCAGGTTTCATTAACTCTCAAGCTTCATCTGAAGTAAACTAATCCTAAATTGGTGATTAATTCACTTCACGGATGCAATCATTATTTATTCAATCATCAATAATAGTAAACATTAATTCTACCGTATCAAATAACGACATTCAAAATATTTCAAAGTAATATAAAAGAATAAATTTTAGACCTAGCAGAGAAGGAATTGCAACGTGGCGTTCGAACGGAAGATATTTGTCGACAAACTGTACCAGAACGTTACGCACTGCAGGAAAAAACGACGCAAAATCACTTCTCATCAATTATACGATTTCCAGTAATACTTCATAATAATAATGCTACTTCTTCTACGTTTATTCATAATAACGGAATCTCTCCGACAGTAATTTCTAATAACGGAATCTCTCCTGCAGTAATTTCGAATAATGGAATCTCTCCGACAGCAATTCATAATAACAGAATCTCTCCGACAATAATTCATAATAACGGAATCTCTCCCACAGTAATTCATAATAACGGAATTTCTCCGACAGGAATTCATAATAACGGAATCTCTCCCACAATAATTCATAATAACGGAATCTCTCCGACAGCAATTCATAATAACGGAATGTCTCCGACAGTAATTTCTAATAACAGAATCTCTCCTACAGTAATTCCTAATAATGGAATATCTCCGACGATAGCTCATGATAATGATAATAATCATGATACCGCAATGTCGACTACAGTAATTCCTAGTAATGGAACGCAGCGGGCAATAATTCATAATACTGCTGCGGCCACTTCAACAGTAATCCGTAATAACGCAACTTCGCCAACCGTAATTCCTAGTAATGCAACATCACCGCCAGTAATTCATGATAATTCATCTCAGGTTTCATCGTTTTCCGGACAATCTGTCGCAGATAATTTAAATTATTTTTCTTTTCCTAATTAAATTCTGCAAAATCCTGTTTCATCACTTTCAAAAATTTCTTTCATACAACAAATATTGTTTTCCTAGTTTACATTTGCATTTCTCGACAGATCGGTTATTTATATAATATTCTTTCACTGGCAAAAATATGCAAATATTTGTATAGTATTTACATAGTATAAACCTTTTCGTGATCAACTCAACTATTATTGATTTTCCATTAATTGACTGTTTTGTTTTTTTTTCTATGAATGAAAAATTGTTGTATAAAAGTGATAAATATGAATTGTTCCCTCTTTTTCTTCTCTCTTTTTTTTAAAACATATATAAGTAAAGTTTACTGTTGATTCTTTCTTAATCCCATTTTTCTTCTATTTCCCCGAGTGTAGCACTGCTTGCGCCACGGGAAATCATAAACAGTTTATCATTTGAAGGATAAATGAATAATAATCCATAGGACGAAACAATGTGCCAATAGTTCGTGAACTTGAAGAATAATAGCACTGCAATGAAGTATTGAATTGCGCACTTAGCTCCATACATGCATATGACGTAATGCGCCCCATTCTTTCATGCAACTTTATTACTTTCATTGTTTAGATTGAATTGTACTATGTACAATGAATAGAAATACCTTAGACGGTAAGTAATCATAAAATGACAATATTTCATATGTAATAGCCAGAAAATCTTTCTAATTATGAGAAAATGTTACAAATTTGAAATGAATAGCAGATTGACATTTTATTGAAATTGTTATAATATATTGTGGATATGAATGAGAAATATCATTTAAATGATTTATATTTGAACTACTTAAGCATGATCATTCATTTTATCATGCATTTACATATGATTATATCCTTTATAATGATTATTAATTGTAATTGATTGGCCTTTATTATTATTAATATCGTCATTATTATTAATATTATTATTATTATTATTATCAATTGTTGTTACATTCATTAAAAAGTGCGCTATTTCATTAAAAATTTCATTAAAAAGTATATTTAGCATTATTGCTTTTCTTTTTTTCATCCATTTATCATCAGATTTCACAATCATAAAGAGTAATTCTTTTGTTTACATTAAAAAAAAAAATGCTTATGTTGTCAATGACCCTTAAGTAATCCTTCTTGGGAATGTCCTCTTTCCTCTCTGTCCACTACTTTAACGCGCAATGAACTCATCTACAAATCTCTAAAATCTGCCTGGAAAAATCAAAAAATAATCAATGGAATAGTTTAACTTTCTTCTTTGTGACTTTCATATACTCTTCAAATCTGTTTCATTTTGAAACAGAATTTACCGTAATTTTGAACAGATAATTAAAATAAATATTTTAAACAATATTTCAACTGGAAAATATATTATGGATAGTTTGTTTTATAAATGTATGAGTGTTAATTTAATGCAAAATTAATCTAATTCAATTAAATCATTCATAGCTTTACGAAATATCTGAAAAAGCACTAAAGTCATCAATTTCACAAGCAATTACATCTAAGAGAATGTCATCATTTGAGAAATAAAATCATTTCAGATTAAATTGTGTTTTCAGCAATGCCAAACTTTTTTTTTTTTTTTTTTTGCTAACTTTTAGAAATTTTTGATTAGACTAAGGCACCAAACTTTTTTTTTTTTTTTTGCTAACTTTTAGAAATTTTGATTAGACTAATTTCATAACATAATAAACAAATTTTAGGAATTAGAGGATCAACATATAAATATACTTTCAACACTAGTAAACAGTTCTTAAGCTTAGCTTTCACTTAGAAAGTCATTATTTTGCTAGAATATAAATTCAAACTTTGATTATCTTCAATACTAATTATTTAATTAGTCATTCATTTCATGTAGTATATTTTGATTTGAGTTACAACATCGGTGTTAACATCTCTATCTTACCTGTTCATTACCTGAACCGATGATGAAAATTAAAATACAACTGACAATTATGATAAAAAATTGTACAATTAATTTAAAAAAAAAAAAGAATTTAAGTAAATCTAATAATCAAAAAGATAGTTTAAAATTGATTAAATTTCATCAAATAAACTATAAAATTAAAGATTAAGTTGAAAAAATGAAAAGATGAGAAAATCGAAAAGATTAGGTATAATTAAAGGTGAATGTAAAGTGTAATAGATAACAATGCAATTAATTATTCACATGCATCCAAGGAAACGATGGATTATCGTCCAATTAATACAATCATAATTTGATGGGAAACAATTACACATTTATATTTGCCACCTAAATTTAAAAGTTAAAACAATTTAGGTTATTTTCTTCATTTTGTATGTGTCAATTCTTAATCCCTCGTTTTAATCTTTAAATTCTCATTTTGATCTCTAATCTCTCGCTTTTTTAACTGTTCAATACACATACGTCTGGTCAGTCGGAATGCATTATTCGGTTATCCGATATGTAAGTATTTCCGGTCAAAATGACAATCATTTATTCAACTAGTTCTATAATATTTGTGTGCTTCTACAGGATTCTCTCGACCTTTTGCTTGAAGTTCAGTGGTTGATCGGTTTCCTCCATAAAAAACTCCTTCGGAGTTCAATTCTCCCACCAGGTTCTGTTTACTTAATAACCTGTTTATTTCCCTCTCTCTCTCTCTCTCTCTCTCTCTCCTCGGCAGTGATGTATTTATTATGAGTTGAATTTCTTCAACTGATGGAAGCAACTGCGGAAGAACGCTTTAGACTGAGCCGAGAAACAATACAAGTAATGAGATTAAATCCACTCCTCTCCCTCTCTCTCAGCTCCTTTTAAGAAGAAAACAGAGAAAGGCGAATGAACTTCAAGAATTCTAAATTCATTCAGAAAGATAATTACTTTTGTTTTTCTGATTTTAAATGAAATTATACAATTTCAAACTTCATAAAGATAACAAGGCTAACATATTATTTATTGCTTGAAATTAGCATAAGTAAAAATCATTTACATTGTAAAAAACAGGACACTCAGAAATAATACTAAACAATTAAGATTGAAGACGGAAGCTTATTAAACAATTTGATGGAATCAAATTTCAACAACCAGAAATTATTAAAAAGTTAAACTGAAAAACTTATTAAAGCATATATATTAATGCAGGAATTAATCCAGGACATAACGTCAATTAATACAAAACAAATATTTATGAAAAAAAAAAACTATCAATTAATATTATGTCAGCAACAAAAGAAAAAAAAAAAAGGCAAAAAAGAGGAATGTGAAGTGGATAAAAAGAAGCACAAATGCAACAACAAAATGCAGCAATAGTTCAAATACCGAATAACATATTCATCTCTAGAAAACTTGAACGTGAATACAAAGTTTATGGAAAAAATTATTTTAATTATTATTATTATTATTACAAGAACTCCTCAAAGGCACAATGAACTAGTCAATGAACAGTTGATAAAAAGTGCACTGAAATTGTCATATCGAAGTTTTTACCGAATAAACAGCATTAAAATTTGCAAAGATCAAAACTTATTTATTTTTTTCAGTATGTCGTTTGCAGCGCAGAGTCTCATTTCATATTTCAGTGCGCGGCTGCGTGAGGTAGAGCGGAACTATACAGAATGAATTAAATTCGTTGATAATAAAAATTTGAATCCGCTCTTCCTACCAAAAAAAAAAGCTTTATATAACAGTTTGAATTTACTCCTTGATTAAAAATATAACCAAGTTCATCCATAATAAACTTCCCCTTCAACAACACATAGTTTCAACAATTGATTAGAAAAAATCTCTGATTAGAATCTGAACCTTGATTGTTGTACTAAACTTTTAAAACAATCTTAAAACAAAAATGTTTTTAAGGCTATTATTTGGTAGATTCCGGACCTGGAGGAGATGTGAGAGATCATGAATCTGATGTGGACCTAGAATACTTAGGAGACTTCGAAAACTTTGAACCTAAGAATGATTTAGGAGATTTTGGACTTTTTGGAGACTTTGGTGATGAGATCCGAATTCGTTTTGTTTCTGGAGATAAATCCTCAGCGCTAAGATTATGAGATCGTTCATTTCGATTTGGTTTTATGCTATGTTCTTCATAAAATTCGTTATCGCCTTCCACGCAGTTTTCTAGAACTGAAATGCACTACGGAAGTTAGAAATTGAAAGTATGACAAAATAACCTTTCTAATGTGATTATCTGTTTTTGTACAAACTGAAGAAATTGTAAAATGCTACCTTTTTGAAACTTTCTTTCTTACACCAGAATAACTAAGATTACAACTTACTTGAGAAGCATTTATATGAACTTTTCGACACTGTTTCGTCGGTGATTTCGTCTTTTATTGCTGAAATAAAAATATGCAAAAGTCAGGCCATAATTATGCAATCATTGCGAAAAAAAGTTATCATGACAAAGAGCTACAATACAACTTACGTTGCATTTGCACACTGGGAGCGTATGGTAAATGCCGCAGATGTTCAAAAATCGTCGACCTACAATAAATACAATTTTAATTCGACTGATTTATATGCCTTACAGTTAAAAGCAGCAACTACGAATATAAACTGAAAATTAATTGCAAAAGAAATTAAAAACACCTAGTCCTTAGAATATGATTCTAAAAAATCTACTGATATTCGTGACTCAATTACAGAAATTACATTTAAAACGAACTTTTTGAAACTCTTATAATTTTCGCATAAACTCCTGTATCATTTTTCTTTTCTTTTTTTTTTTTTTTGTTTGTGAAATGTTATAAGCAGCAATCATTTAAAACTTACTGCATTTTTTGAAGATAATCGGGTGTGTTCAGATTTGTCATATTTGATGGGATGATGTGGAGCTTGAAATCATTTGAGTAGTACTCAAAATAATCGTTGTACGGCAATTCTAAAGACAAAGCAACTTAAAATTTGAAATTGAAAATTGTACAGCAAAGAAACACTTCGAAAGCTGTAAAGAAAAAGCTGAAAGCTAAGAGAAAATTATAAAAGCAAAAATAAATCCCAGAAAATTGCAGCTTTAATAGAATGAATGAGCAGCTTACCATTTGATATTTCAACATCCAAAGCAATAGCTGTCTCATAAGCCCAGCAACGTGCAACATTACGAATGGTATAACCGCCACCACCAAGTAACAAAAGTGGTAAATTGAATTTCTTCATGAATTCAACACACTTGCCATGTCCTACAATTAAGAATGCAAAAACGTTTACTTTCATAGTTAAACAAAATGACGAATAAGATGAATCGCTGACATTTTAAAGCATTTTCATAAAGCATATATCTTTGAAGCATAAGGCTGTTACAACCAATCGGTAGAAGACTTTTCTGAGATTAGCTTTATGTTTAATATAGGATTACCTTTTAGAGAAAGATTGAAACATCCAAGTCTATCACCAACTAATGAATCAGCGCCACACTGTAAGACAATAGCTGATGGCTGGTAAGACAGCATAACCTAAAATGACACGGAGATTTGTTTTTGAGCAAAAGCGTAAATTTTGGATCAAGAATAAATGTAATGAATAATCCTTATGTACTGATGCTCAGATCGTATAGGTTAATACACCAAAACATCATTGATGATAAAATCTATTGTACTGTAACAAAACCTATTGCAGATATGTAATGATTCAAGCAAACTTAATATATAAACCTGCTCCATAACTGCCCTGAATATACTTTGATACGTGTCATCATCAATACCATCATGCAATGGACAATTTACAGCATAATATTTTCCTCGACCTGAGCCGATATCCTTAAAATATCTTTATTAAGCAATAAAATATTAGATATTAGAACACTTATACTCTTCTGATCCTACATTTCTAATGGTAATAACCATATAAAATTGTCATGCTGTACTAATTAGTTGAAAAAATACCATTCCTTAAAATAATAGTAAAACAACTAAAAAAAAAGAAAAACCTTTCAAAACAGCATCGAAAACTGAACGTTACCTGAATATCTCCAGTACCTGGAAAATATTCACCAAATTTGTGAAACGAAACGGTCATTACACGATCTGTTGTGTAGAATGCTTCTTCGACACCATCACCATGATGGACATCAATGTCGACATATAAAACACGCTGAAATTACACTGCTCGAATATGTTTCATATATGTATACAATAGCTAAAACAGAATGAAAATGAAATGGAAAATTTAGGTAAAAATATTAAAGTGAGATCCTTGAAGACTGAAATGAAGAAGGGTGCTAGTGAATAGCAGTTGATTCATGTGGTCCTAAGATATCGGTTAATGCCGTTTTAATAAACTAGAGGAATGAAGGTGTAATTCGTTTGATAAATTGAAAGAGAAACAGGTTAATATTCCCGTACCTGGGATTAATGTTATGAAGTATTTAATGCCGTGAGATTTTTGATTAGGCCAATATATGATGAATATCATTAATGATGAAAAATATGAGCGTTATATCAGTTTAATGTTTCCAATTATGTTTCGATCATTATAAAGATTTTTATCTTCATGGTTTTGTGGGTATATTAAGTAGATCTTTACTCTCCATATCATTAAAACTAAAATAAGTAAACGTAGCTAACCTGATGATGATTGAGAAGCTCAAGAATTGCTAAGACAATATCATTCGTGTAGCAGAATCCAGAAGCTTCACTTTTCTTGGCATGATGTAAACCACCCATCCAATTTATGGTAATATCTGCTTGCTTTTTGTTAAGTTTCGCTGCTGCGGCTTAAATAAAACATAAAATCATAAGCAATCCACTATATTACTTATCCTCATTTATGCTTTCAAATCAGTAATTCCGTGAAAATTATTCAATTAAATAATTCAATTTTATGATAACAATAAAACATAATTATTTCCTAGAAGGTACGAAGAAGCTTGGGGAAATAAGTCTCACCAAGAGAGCCACCGCAAGAAGTTTGGCAAAATTCATACATACCGTCAAAAACAGGGCAATCTTCGCCAACATTGTCTGCAAGAATTTAGAATAAACACTGCACATAATTAGAGAGCATCAGTATAGAAGGCAGAAGCTAAGAGAAATACTCGAAACACCATAGTTCCTAACTAACATCAATTCTAACGTAATCAAGGAATATTTGCAGTGGGAGAATCTAAACAAACGGCTACTTTTATGATTTAGACTTACATTAAACAGCTTAAATCGTAATCCATGCTTTTAAAATGAAATTACAACTGTGCATAAAATTCAAAAATTAGTAACATCGTTGACGAGCTTTCGCTGTATTGCTATCAATGGTATCTTCTGGTCGTGCGTTTTTTAAAAATGTTAAGTAATCGTTACTGTGATACTTCGTCATTTCCTCAAATGTCGCCACATGCGGTCTCTGAAATATAAACAATGGCAGGTATGGAAAAAGAAATTAACAGCAAACTCGAAAATATTACTCAAGCATTTTCCAAAATTAAGTTAAGACTGTAGGAAAACCAAAGGGACATACCTATATCATCAGTTTACTATAAAAGTTTAAAAATCATTTTAAAAAATCAGAAATTTTCCCTCACACCTTCTGTCAACTTAAAATTCTCGTCGCAACAATAAAACAAGTTTCAAGTCAATTTTTTAGAATGTTAAAGAAATATTTGTTTATAAATTCCCTCATAAAATAAGTGCTCTACATCTATATTTTCTAGCTGCATATTCGGATTTCAGAATTTTTTGGCTTTTTTAAAGAATTTTTAGGATATTTCTTTTTAAATTTGCTTTACTCTGAGAAGAAATCATTACGTGGAAGATTAAACGCAAGCCTCTAAATGTTTCATAAACTTTCTTCTAAACCAACCTAATCAATGCATTTGATGAATTTGACGAAAGTATTTTTTTAAAAATATCTCTAAATTCTCTAATTTCACAACATAATTCATGCAATTATAACAGCTGTAAAAGCTAACATAAACTTCCATTCGTCGATAAAGACCATAATTGAGAATGAGATTATGCGCCATCCGAATTCTGTGTGGCTTCATCGGATGCCCTTGGCCGTAGTAGTAATTCCCAACATCTCCTACAAATTTTACAAATTTGTTCTACGCGAAACAATTCCATAAACGGAAGCACCTAGATACCTCCTTTTTTTATTATGTAATGATTTTCAGTATTAAATAATAGTACCACAATGTATGAGATCTTATCTAATTCTTATATACCAGAGAATGCATCACTAATTTTTATTAATCAATTATTATATTACATAAACATATAACATCATACATTAAATTAGTGGCATAATAAATAATAATAATAACAATAATAATAATAATCACAATAATAATAATAATAATAAATAGCCTTTTTACAATCATAAAATACTAACCATCATAGTAGTATGCAACCCTGATTTTGCTATGAGCCTGAATAGCCATACCAATAATCATTCAACCTCAGTGATCAACAAAAATGATAATTCTTCAGCAGTCCAACTTTTCCGAACAAAAACTGAAATACAAACAGCATTTGCGGTTGAAATATTTTAAGCAATGGATAAGCTGAAAGCCATCTACATCAAACAAACAATTAACAATCATTGAAGCGAATATATCTGAAAAATTTCCTCTTAAAAACAATCCTCTTTCTTGAATAATCAAAAAAAAAAAAAAAAAAAAAGAAAAAACAAAGTCAGAACATCCATTAAATAATTAAAAGAACGATGACTGTAATGGTAAAGTTATAATTTGCATGAATTGAATCTAACCTATTTTTAAATATTTCCCAAATGATTCCTTCATCGATGCAATGCTATAAATACTAACATAATGGTCTATCCTATACCATATCTAACAATAAAATTAGTCGATTAGAAACAAGATTTACATTAATCTTAATGTATTAAAGATAAATTATAATAAAATTTAATAAAATAAAACGTACATGTTGTATGAATAAATATTCTTATAAATTGCTTCAATCGTAATAACTCCAACTTCTATTATCTCACTTTTTGCACCAATACATTTTTTTTTTTTCTTTTCATATTTCTATTTTCAGTTAAAATTTAAATTTTACAAACAAATTTGAATTTAATTTCATTTGACATTCACTATAAAGAAACACTTTTTTTCTCCTTCCCTAACAGTATGCAACTGGGATAATACCTATGACACGTATTTTTCACGGCTTCACGGCTACACATATATTCCCGTCTGCCAGTAGCACATATTCATCCCGATGTATGCATTTTCGATTACACGTATTCTTCACGGTTGCACATATTCCTCCTTTCAGCATCACGTACTCATTTCTATTACGGACGTGTTCGTAACGGTAGTAAACGAGAATAAATTTCTCACATCTTCTGTTTTCCAACACTTATCACATATCTATTCAGGTATTAATTAACCTATCACATTAATAATTAAAAAAACAAATAAATCAAAGCGCACGGACATAAAATTAGAATATACTTTATGACACGTACGATATGTTACTTTGACTTTGATTTGGTCAAAAAGAACTAATTGATTGCTTCATTTTCCTCCACTGTTAAATATTTATAAAATTAGCACTGTCATTAATTACGACAAGTTTACGTACGTGTTATGTCACGTTTTACCAAACAAATCTTACTTCACCTATCTTTCAATGTTTGCTCATTGATTCAATTTTCTTTCATACTGGTTCATTCAATATTTCACGCATTGTGTCACATTTAAGGAGTTTGTGTTATGGTGCAGTGTTGTCATTTATTTTTGTTCGTTTTTATTCTTAAATTCTTAATTTCATTTGTAACATTGTTTGACTTATAGAAAGTATATTCATATATTTTATGAAATATTTGTTATCAATTCTTATCAGTCTTAATTGTATTTACTGTGCTATATTTCCATTGCATTATTCATTATATAGTCTAGAATTGTAATGTTTCCAAATATATTTAATCCTTTAAAAATAGCTTCGTTTCACAAAATGTTGTCATTCTTCATTATCAATCATTTTGTGATTTGATTTTAAATTTACTAATATAAATATTATGTGCATGAAATTTCCTCCTCATGTCAGTTTTATTTTTCCTAATTTATATTTTATTTCCAACACTTCTTACTTTTGCTTAATTTTATTTGCTAATTTTTATCCATTTGATGATATTAAAATTACCATCTAATATCGTGCTGGTTGTATTAAATTTTAAATTGAAGTTGGAATATAATTAACAAGAAAATGGCAGAAACCGGTGAAACGGAGAATGATTTGTCGGCATTGTTGGATAGTGCTTTGGCAGATTTTGGTCGTACTCGTAATACGGATGATGAACTGGATTCAATGATGAATACAATGGATCAGCAAGCTGTACAAAAGGCGGTTCAGAAATTTGATGATGTAATGAAAACAGTTCAAAGATCCAGCAGTCGTACGGTACTGTTTCATATTTTCTTGTTTATGGTTTTCAGTTTTTATTCCTAATACCTATGTTTTTACAACTCTCACAATGCATTCCCTTTTAATGAGAAAAATATTAGCAGAAGAAAGTGAAATGAGAGTATTTTACTGTATTTTTTCATTTTTGCAAATTAGTTTTGCAATGTTTTAATGATCTGCGATATTGAGTTTTGAGATTTGTAGAAATTTGTCTTTAGGTGCTAAGCTCTTATCAGTCGTTTCTATCTCAGTTTATATTTTTTGTAGCATTACGATCTTGAAAAGATTTTGATATGTAATAATTACAGAGTGTTAATTCATCTGAAACAATACAAATGACTGTGGATGAGCGCAAAGCGGCCGAAAATTTCCAAAACATGCTTAAAACATTGATTGAATCTGAGCAAAAAGCATTAGACGAACATCCGCCAAATAAGGATGACCAGCATAGCTATGATCAGGATAGTGCTGAAGCTTTTATTAGGCAACTAAAAGTGAGTTCTTTGTTTGTTATCATGAATCTTGCATTATTTTGAATTGTAAAAGTGATTCTGAATTGAATTGTTCAGAATTTGTAACTAAATGTTTTGAATTGTGAACTGAATTGTTTTCTGAATTGCGGTGCAACTAAATGTTTTGTTGGCAACTTTTCTGGAAGATATATTTGGAATTTTGCTGAAGTGAATTTGCAAATTGTCAAGATAAAACCCTTTATTTTACAGAATTTATCCGAACAAGATCCAGCTAATATAACGGACGAATCGCAGTGTAAAACGTTAATAAATCTTGTTCAAGCGTTCTTTTCAAAAGATTTGATGTATCCACCTTTGAAGCAGCTTTTGGAGAGATTTGTTAAGTATGTCTCTAATATTTGCTACTCCACTTACGTTATTTATCTTTAGTGATAAAAAATTTGTGTGAATTTATGTGTTATATACTGTGTAAATTATTAAGTTGTTGGACGGTTGGAATTGTTGAGAATTTCATTAAGAAATAGAATTCTAATTTTTTTTTTTCTCAGATAAGATTAGTGCTAATATGGAGTAAAGAATAAATTTATTTTTACTATACTGTTAAAAATAATTCTAAAATCATGCATTTAGAATTACTTTTTTTAACAATACAAATTGTTGAAGGAGTGCTTCGATTTTATGAGTTAGCATTTTCAGCTATACAGCAGAACACAGTGAGTTAGACGTAGAAACGAAGGCTCGTTATGAAAAACAGATTTGTGTAATACAACGTATATGTTTGGAATATGAGAAGGACGATAGCGAAGATTTGGAAGAAATGAAACGAAGATTTGATACTATCACCACATTAATGCTGGAATTGCAATCGTATGGGTATCCTCCCGAGGATTTAGTGGGTGAAGCACCCCCTGGCTGGATTACGGATCCTCAAACTGGTTTACCAAAAGTGGATGACATATCAAAGGCTGCCGAATCTTGCTCACTTATGTAGTTGTTAACTCCTTTTTTTTTCTGTCTTAGATCAGTTTTTATGTAGAGTATCACTTATTGTACATTTTCATGTAATTGTCTGCAAGAAGTTTTATTAAGTTGTTCTTTTGACTGTAGATGGGTATTTAGCTATTTCTTTTGATAATGAGAATGTAAAGTCGTATGTAAGAAGTACTGCAATTGCCACCTAAAAAAATTTGCTGTCATTAGGTTTTAGGTTTTTTTTTTCCCATTATTTCAGTGTTCATCCCTATTTTATAATGAAATTATATTTATTGTTGTGGAAACAGTGATAGCTATTATGTTCGACCTTAAGAATTCTTGTTGCGAACAAAAAAAATGAAGATTTAGGAAAATATTGGAGTACTTCAGTTGGTAGGTACTGTTGTTTTATAGCAAAGCTGATAACGATATATGTGCTTACATTTGGTACTAATGTCAACTGTAATAATGCTGTTATCAAAATTCATAAAAAATTCATTACATTATATTTAATTTCACTGTGTGGGACTCTTTTAATCCTCCAAATGCCCATATTTTTGTCATTATACTCGATATTTTAATCAGTACTGCAATTCTACATATTCTTTGATTTCGTTGATTTCAGGAAGTAATGTCCTAGGTTTAGTCTAATTATTTCAGGTTAAGGGTTCTTCGCAATGTCCGACAGTGGGGAATCTGGTGATGAACAACGAGACCAAGATGAAGTAGAGGATTTTGTAGATAGCCAGGTGTCTTATTTTTGATTTCGTCCTATGTAGGGATTCCACGTTTTGATTTGAGGCATTTAATACCTTGTAATCTCATTTTAGCCAACAGATAAAGATGATACAAGGCTTTTAAAGAGATATTATAGATGAAATAAGGCCAGAAAGTAGATTTGCACAATATGTTATTATAGAATATTTAGAATTAAAAAATGGCGTTCAGGAAAGGCCTCTGTTTTAGGTAGTAGTGCGATTTTTAGTTCAATGTGCTTTATTGTTCGTTCAAGGATGGCGTAATTTGGGGTCATTTCATGTTTCACAGTTCTTTGAATTATTTTTCAATGTCTGAAAATTTTTATGTTCAGGTAAATGCTTTGAACATTTATCTGAGTTAAAAGTAATGCAAAATCATTACAGGAAAAAAGCGATGATGAGAGACCGGAAAGTGATGGTGAAGTTGTCAAAAATGGCAGAAAAAGAAAGGTTTCATTTGTTAACTTTTTTTTTTTTTTTAAATCGGTTCATAATTTTAATGATGATGATATCATCAGAAATCTTTTATATAATTAAGTATTGAACAAGTTACAGCACTTCGATGAAGATGAAGAAGATGAGGATGAAGAAGAGGATGACGATGATGATGATGATGATGAGGATGGCCATCATAGTAAAAAGTCTAAGAAGAGGAAGAAGGTAATTACCTGTATTTAATTGTTTTGGTTGCATCAGGTTGCACCAACTTTGATCAAAAAATATGAGTTTTAGCGACGTACAGGAGTACACCAATTTATTCTTGATGATGTGGAAGTTGATGAAGACGAGGAGGAAGAGGATGGTTTTGAAGAGGATGGCGACGAGATGGGCATTGATCCAAGAGAAAGAGAGGAGGCCGAAAGAATGATGAAGGAACAAGATGAAAGGAATCGTGAAGGACGTCGTCGAGACTTATTCAGGTAGTAGATATCGTAGTTTGTTTTAAATTTCTATGGGATTAACGTATGACTATTCAATGGCTTATTTTTTCAGTGGAATGAACGAAGACCAAATAGAAGATTATTTCAAGAAGAAATATGCAAATCAATCGTCCTATGCTAGTGTGATGGATGACGAAACTGCCCTAGATGACATAAGTCGTCATTCTTTACTTCCAAGCACAAATAAAGATCCGAATTTGTGGATTGTAAAATGCCGTTTGGGTGAGGAGAAACTGGTTGCACTACAACTTATGCGGAAATTCATCGCTTATGAAAACACAGATAATGTAAATTTTCATTATTCCTTTTGCTATGAAATGTTTCTTTTTTTTTTTTTTCCTTTTTTGGCAAGCTTAGATCAAGTAAAATTTGGTTTATAGTCTCTGCAAATCAAATCGGTGGTAGTAAAAGAAGGTCTGAAAGGAATGATTTACATCGAAGCATTCAAACAATCACATGTAGCAACAGCAATTACTGGAGTATCAGCTTTAAATCAGTTCCGAATAGCTATGGTACCAATTAAAGAAATGTGTGACACCCTGAAGGTAGCTAAAGATATTCCATCATTGAAGAATGGAATGTACGTTCGATTAAGAAGAACCATGTATCGCGATGATTTAGCTCAGGTTTTCACTTTTTTTTTCAAAATACTATTTTCTGTTAAGTAAAGTATAGAGTCAGATATGAGTACAGTCATTATTTACTAAACAGTTTTGTTTTGTTTTTTTCTTTTTTTTTTTTTTCTAGAGTACGAATAATTGGTAATTATCTTAATACTGTCCTTATTGTTTATATATTTTTTGAAAACAGGTTGATTGGGTGGATGTGGCACACAATAAGGTTTATTTGAAGTTGGTACCACGTATAGATTACACTCGCATGCGTGGAGCGCTTAGAGCACCGGTTGGTTGTGCATTTTTGTTATGTCTGTCTTCCTATGTACATTGTAAATTGGTTTAATGTTTCTTCTCTTGCATTATTGATATGCTGCTACATTTTTAGGATGAACCTCGTTTTGTAAAAATGAAACGAAGACCACAAGCACGATTATTTGATATTGAAAGAATTAAGTAAGTTTAATGATTGCACTGTGTCATTATTTGAAAATATTTTTCTTTGAAAGGACATTTCTGTAGCAGTTTATTTCCTTATATTTATATTTCATTGAATCGAAACAATAATCGGAATTAGGAAAGAGGTTCTATCAGTTTAGGCAAACTACTTGTGTTACCATTTAGTGATTCTCAATAGTCATTTTATCACAGTTATTAAGCATTAGTTTTCTGTCTTATATCGTTAGACGAATAAATACTATGATTTCAGAGAAATAGGAGGTGATGTATCAACAGACGGCGATTTCGTGACATTTGAAGGAAATCAATATCGTCGAGGATTTTTATATAAATGGTTTCCGTTGAATATTATCGTAAGTATCATCTCTCCATTTCGACATATTTTATTCACTATATCTTAATCTTCACTTTTAAAATCATTCATCATTTATTAGTTTATAATACTGTCTTAATTTCACAATTGTATCTCAAGGGATTCAGGAATCTTTTTTTTTTTTATCTCAATTTTAAGTAGATACTTTAGTAAAAGAAGTTGAAAATACTTTAGCGACTTTTTTTTTTTTTTTCAGCAGGTTGACGGTGTGAAACCTTCTCTGAGCGAACTGGAGAAATTCCAAGAAACAAGCGATGACTTGAAAAAAGAATGTTCGTTTCTTAGTTTATAACATCTCAGTGCTTTCTTTTACGCGTTGAGTTTTCATTAGTTTCGATAACTTCATAGAAATAATATATCATGTCTGTTTGTGATTGTTTATTTGAAACTGGAATAATAATTGGACATATTCAATTGATTTAATTGAAGAAATATTAATCCTTGCAGTAGAGGGAATGAAAGTAAAAGATTTATCGTGTATCTTTTCACCGGGAGATTACGTTGAAGTCGCAGATGGTGAACTTGTAAACTTGCGTGGTAGAGTTCAAAGTGTTGATGGCGAAAAAATTGTGATGTTGCCTGACCATGAAGATTTAAAAGTATTTTCTTTTTCTAATCATGAAAATAAGCAAAGCAATATCTTATAAACATTGAAAGCTTTCGTAATGCTTAATGAATTCTTATTGCTGATGAAACGATATGGTCACCAATCAGATCAAGAAATTGACCGTATGAGTAAATTTAAGGACTATTAGCATTGATAGGTCAAGAACAAAAGAAATATAGTTTACATAGAGGAATAAATTATGTATTCTGAACTTTTCAAAGTAGTGTATTTTGCAGGAGCCACTGACGTTAAATGCTTGTGAATTGAGAAAATTCTTCAAAACAGGTGATCATGTGAAAGTGATCAACGGTCGATACGAAGGAGATACCGGTTTGATTGTCCGTGTGGAAGATAATCTTGTCATTTTATTATCGGATTTAACAATGCACGAGGTAAACGGGAAATCTTTTACACAGAATCTCATTAGTTGGGATAAAAAAGAATTGCAAATTTAGCATGGGCTATCGATGGTAGAAAAGAACAAATACTGCCTCACTTCCTCAGAAATTAAACTGTCTTACATTAATTTCTCTATATAACGTCAAACTTGCTTTCTTTTATCTTATATTTTAGAAATTTGAATTGATTATTTTGGTATATGAAAGTATCTGTAGCGTTGATAATATTTTTATCTGCGTTTGATTATATATTAATATTACATTCGTCTTAGTTATTGGCTCACGATCTTAATTGGAATGTATTTTTAAGTAGAACTCACAATCAAACATTTTCATATATATATACTTTATTTTGTGATTAGGTTTTATTCTAAGGAGAACGTAGTAAATTTGGTATTTAAACAGTTCAAATTCTTTGTAATCAAATGTTATCTTTAATTGTTAGTTATATTTTCTTCAGTTGAAAGTATTACCACGTGATGTCCAACTTTGTGCTGATGTGACCACAGGTGTGGATTCCCTTGGACAGTTCCAGTATCAGGATCTTGTAATGCTGGATCAGCAGACAGCTGGTGTTATCGTTCGCTTAGAGAGAGAATATTTGGAAGTTTTGAATATGCATGGAAAGGTAATACACCTCATTTGTTTTTCACTACAATCTGCATTTTTATACAGGTTTTTATTATACATCTGTCTGAATTCCAGGTTGTACGAGTAAAACCGCAAGCAATTCACGGCAAAAAAGATACGCGCTTTGCACAAGCACTTGACAGTCAACAGAACAGCATTCAAGTGAAAGATACAGTTAAAGTTGTAGATGGACCTTATGCAGTAAGTTTTATTCGGAGCTTAGCTATTCTGCTTTATTA